CCCGCGGCCATGTGAAGAAGGCAGGCCCGTTTTGCTCAGATGTAGCGGCCGCTGACCTCTGACGGGCACCATACCCGTGGACCGTCGTCAGGTAGCTTGTGTACGTACGGTAGTGGGGTCGACTCGGCGGTAGCTGTTTGCAAGTCGTGATTGTCCAGAAACTGAGAGACAGAGAGACAGAGAGAGAGAGACCGGCGATCAAGACTGTGGGAGCAGCACACTTTGCCTGGTCGAGGCCATCTGGCAGCTTGTTGTGCCTTTACCGTCGTGGTTGGACGAGCTGGGCCTGCCAAAGGGTGCGCGACACCTCTGGTGATGACTCTTTGCTAGGCCTGGTCATCATCCATGCAATTACTATTCTGTACTGTTATCGCCTGGGCCGAGCGACGGTGGTGCCGGGGCCGGGGCGTGCAAGAAACCGTTGTCCTATGTAACTGTGTATGTGCCGAGTGACGGATGTGGTGCGGCAGAGGTGCATATATACATACGTGCAGGTGCGCGAGCCGATCGGACTTTACACGACCAGCGGGACCTTTGCACCTCCACCTCGGAAAGCCACCGGCGCTTTGTTGGCGGATCAGAGCGCCTTTGCCAGGCCCAGACCCAGACCCAGGCCAACCCAACCCAACCCAACCCAACCCAACCCGACCCGACCAGGCCAGGCCATGCTTTAAAACGCCAAGCCAGACCCATCGTGGCCTCCCCGCCGTCAACAACACCTACGGCCCTCCCGCTGCCAGCAACCCCGCACCCCGCCAAGCTCAGACGACCACCATGCCCATGCCAAAGACCACCAAGACCTACCGTCTCCGCTCCTTCGACAAGGATCTCGGCGGTCTGGTCCTCGACGACGTCCCGCTGCCCGATGCCCTCGGCGAGACGCAGGTGGTGAGTCGCCTGGCGACCTGAGCACCCTCCAACGCCTTTGCCAACGTTTGCCGCGCCACATGCCGGCCTCGAGCGCGTCCTGACCCGGCCACCCGTCTCTCCTCCTCTTCCACTCGGGGACCCTCTGCGCGCGGTGCCCAGCTGGTTCGCATCCATGCCGTCTCTCTCAACGCCCGCGACCTTCAGATCGCCACGGGCACCTACCCTGCTCCGGTCGCCTTTCCCTCGGGCCTGGTACCCCTCTCGGACGGAGCAGGAGAAGTACTGGCAACGGGCAGCCGCGTCGAGACGTGCAAACCAGGCGACCGCGTAGTCACCCACCTCTGCGCCGAGTGGACCCACGGCGAAATCGGTAATCAGATGCAACAGACTGCCTTGGGCGGCGGCAAGGACGGCGTCTTTGCTCAGCACGTCGTCCTGGACCAGGTGAGCATCCTGCTGTCTTTCATCTCCGTGACGCTGTGCTGCCCCCCCCCCCCCCTCCCCCCCCCGGACCGATCGATCATCCCGCTAACGCCGACTGCCCGACATTGACTGCCACGCAAATGACTACGACAACAACAACCACGACAACAACAGGGAAACCTCCTTCCCATTCCTTCGCACATGAGCTACGAAGAGGCCTCGACGCTGCCAGTGGCCGCCTTGACTGCCTACCACTGCCTCTTTGGCTTTGCCTCGACCCTGCAACCCGGACAGGCGATCCTGGTCGAGGGCACCGGCGGCGTCTCGCTCGCCGCTCTCCAGCTGGCACTGGCCGCCGGCGCCCGACCCATCGTCATCTCGTCGTCCGACGACAAGCTGCAGAGGTGCAAGCAGATGGGCGTCGCCCAGAGCGACCTCATCAACTACCGCACCAACCCCATGTGGCACGACGAGGTGCGCCGACTGACGCAGGGCAAGGGCGTCGACCATACCATTGAAATCGGCGGCAGGGACACGCTCGTCAAGGCCACGCTCGCCACGCGCCCCTATGGCAGCGTGTGGGTGGTGGGCTACATGGACGACTACAAGACGCCCTCGTCATCGACTTCGGAGCTTCCCGACATGGCCAAGGCGGTCCTCTACAGCCAGGCCGAGGTCAAGGGCGTCATGTGCGGAAGCTATCAGCTCTTCCAGCAGTTCCTCGCCGCCCACGCCGTCGCACACCAGCGGGTCGAGAGCGGCCTGGCAAAGACCAACTGGCTGCAGCCCGTCGTCGATCAGGTCTTCGACTTCAACGACGCCAAACAGGCCTTCGAGACGCTCAGGAGCGGCAGTTTCTTTGGCAAGATTGTCGTCAGGGTTCAGCAGTGAACGCCGCCCGGCGCGCGCTGCGGCAGCAGCACTTCTGATCGTTGTGGGGCAGGTCGAGGCGGACGAGAGGCGTGGAATTCAAAGGCAAAAGTGAAACGACATCAAGCGGCGGCTAGAAGGCTCAATGGCGAGCGATGTCGAGTATCAAGGTCACGAAAAGTTCGTCGGAGACCTCGCGAGCGGTTCCCGGAGCGGAAAAAGGTGGCTGGTATGCGGGCGAGACGTGGGAATCAGGCAGGGTAAGAAGAGCCAGGGTGCCGAGGCAGCTGAAGGACTGGAACAAGAGCGTAGAGGGGTGGCAGAGGTCTGGGCATGGGATGAGCGGAAAAGTGGGTCTGAAGCCATGGCGATAGGAGGTGTTGAGCGGTGTGCAGGTGACTGCGGGCGGCGCAGATGGGCTTCCGAGGTTGCGAGCGAAGGGGGACATGCTGCCGCAACGGGCTGAGCCGATCCGTGTCTGCTAACGGCAGAGCTGGCCATGTGGTGATGGCTCGAGCAGCTGCGAAGAGCTTCGCTGTTAAAGTGCGGCGACGTTGACAATACAGAGCCGGTAGGCCGCATAGCCGTGCGTGTGCACGCTGTGCACGGCTCAACACTAGCCCGTAGCAGCGGCCATGCCGAAGACCAAAGCGGCAGGCTGCCGAGTCCGAGCTTGGCCTAGCGATCCTCGTTGATCGTCGAGGGTCGATGCTCGAGGGAGGATCTAGTGACCCCGCGCGCGGTTCTCCCTCTCTGCCTGCTTGATTCTCTCCTCGAGCGTCTTTGACTTGTGGAGCTGGGATGCGGTGAGCCTGTCGCGCTCGGCGCCTCCGCGGTCCGAGTAGCGCATGCCTTCGGCGACGGAGCCCTGGTAGGAGGAAGTGGTTCGGTGGAGCTCGTTGTTGCCCTTGCCGCTGCGGTTGGTGTCGGTGCGCTTCATCTTCTTGTCCTTGCCGGACATGCTAGACATGCAGGAACCCTGGATGGGACCGAGGTGGGTGGCAAGAAGGGTGAGCGCAAGGCCAAAAGGGGCGTCGAGGGTCAGCAGCGCAGAATGAGGCGAGGCAGTGAGGCAAGGGGGAGCAGGGCCGCGGATGGGGTCACACGCACCATGGTGGATGGAGATGCCGGAGGGAGCGATGGGACGAGGTGCGGTGTGGACGAGAGCTTGTGTGGTGGCGTGTAGAGCGGCCAGATGGATGTGAGCGAGAAGCGTAGTAGCAGAAGGGTCGATGCAGATCGTGGTGGTGGTGGTGGTGGTGGTAATGGAAGTGGTGGTAGCCGTGGCGAGGGAGAGGCCGACGGGCGTGACCTCTGCAGCGCCCCGTGGGAATGGCGTGGCCAGGCCAAAAGGCTGGCGGGGGAAAGAGGGGCGGCGGGGGGGGTTTGGCCCTCAGAGGACAGGCCCAGTGCTGCTGCTGCCGTAGCCTGATGAGCCTGCCAAAATTGAGGGAGGGGTTGACCCGGCCAAGTGGAGTTTGGACAGAGGCTCGTCTGCCGGCCAGACGCATCACATCGCATCGCCAGCCAGAGCAAGCAAGGCCCAGCAAGGCCCAGCAAGGCCCGGCCAAGCCTCGACTGGCCTCGACTTGGCCGCGAACCAACCCCCCCCCCCTGGCTCGCCCAACTCTACCGTACCGCCTTGCCTGCATCTTGGACGGACGGGCCGACGATGGGTGCACGGGCGCGTACATACAGATGCTGCGAGCCAAGCGCACGCACGCGCCTTGACCAGGGCCGTGACCCGCAACCCCACACACAACAGCCTCGAGGCGGGCAACTTGATGCCAGCATGGCAAGTGCGCCAGTGTCAAGGCGATTGGGCTGCGGGTAAGTATCGCCCTTATTTTCTCACTCTGCGTCTCTGCCCTCGCTCGACCCTGCTACCGGTAGCACCCAGCAGAGACCAGCTTGGCGGCCAAAGTCTGGGCGGCGGCCCTCGTGTGGAGAGAAACGAAGGCCTGTGCCGAGTTGGCTGGGTTCCCCGCCCCATCTCGCACAACAAGTCTGAGTGCCCCCTTCCATGTGGCGCGGCTGAGACGCCAAGCTCAGATAACCGTAGAGCAGACCCAAAGAAGGCAGGCTAAGGGTGGAGCATCGCCTCGTTACGTGATTCTAGACTGGGGAGACTTGTTGCCTCCCGTGGCGACGACAGACGTCTCGAAGCGTGATGGCCACCATAGGCGATCGGGAGCAAAGTGTCGACGTACGTACGTTTGGGCGAACGGCGCGGTGCGGTCATCCATGCTGTAATCGTGCGTGGACGACGACCGGCCGGTTTCGTGTGCAACGCGTACTGTATGTGCGTGCGTTTTCCGTGGCCGAATCGGGGGTCCAGGTTAGGGTCTAGGCTCGATCGGGGCCGCGCCACCTCGTTCCACAGGCGCCATCCCTTAAGATTATTGTCCTTTGCCAGGTCAGTCAGAGTAGTGTGTATTCATCCTTTCTCCCGTGTGGCCGCCACTCTGCTGTGGGTGGCAGCACCTCGCGCCGGATCACCTAGCGTGCTTCGTGCACCTCCCAGACCTACATAGTTCGCTCTCTTCGCACTGGCAGGCCGGTCGAATGCATCCTAACGGCTATTCATTGCTTCTCTCTGTCCCCTCTTCACCACGATCACCACGAGCGCTATTCCTTTCGACGTTCCAGATTCTCCTTCCCGTTCAAGGTCGGAAAGCATCGGTCACGTCCATCAGCAGCATCGCTCGCTCCCCTGGCCCTCGGATCGCACATCCTAGCCCCTTTCGACTGCGCTTTTGTTCGCGCATGCCGGCCCTCTCGACCTGGTCACCATGACAGATCGCACAGCATCGAGCCATCCCTCGGTGGCCCCCCAGACCTCCGTCTCACGCGACGTCGCTCCTCCGCCGACCACACCCTCGTCGGCCTCGCCCCCAGCTCTCCAGCAGGCGGCTGCGGCCACGCCCCACGTCGTCGCTCAAGATCAGCCCGACTCGCTGGCAACCCAGATCCAACACCACGGCCAGGTTTCTGTCAACACGACGAATCCCGACGGTTCAAAGCAACCGGTCAAGGTCGTCGTCGAGCAGCAACGCCCCGCCCTCGCCGACCTGCCCTCCGACGCGCCCGCCGCCTGCAAGGCCGATGCCGCAATCTACTCTTCCGGCAAGTAGCCTCGACCTGTGCGCTTCCGGTGACGCCTCCAACGGCGTGTGAGGCAATGCAGTGATCCACGACGGGTGATTGAGCACACAAGGGGCTGCAAATAAGCCAAGAAACTCGATGGGACTGAGCAGACAGTGCACGCACGGCATATATACAGTGCTGGCTAGTCAATGGTGGCGTCGTGGTCGTGGTCGTGGTTGTGGTCGTGTTTCGTGCGGTCATCATGGCAACCTTGGGCGTCGACCCTCTCGTGCGGCGGCTCCGTTGGCACTCGCTCTCTTTAGACGGGGCTTGACCTCTGCGCCCAGCGGCGCCCGTTGAGACGCACGCGCTCAAGCGGACGAGGAAAGTCCTCCAGAGGCCCTCCGCCACCATCCCAGGGCCGCCACACCTCCCGCCAGCGCCATGCCGAGGAGAGCGGCGCCGCTCACAAACGCCAATGTGCCGGCGTCCGGATCTGCCGCGGCGTTCTTTCCGCTGCGACCACCTGGCCGCATAGCAGAGCGGTTCCCCCTCGACCGGCGCCCGGAACCCCCCTCTAGGTCGGCCGACTTCAGCGACGAAGCTGGCGATCCCTTTGCACCCTTGCTGCGGCTGCTCGTCTTCTTGTGCGCGCCGCTGCGTAAACCTGTCGCAGACGTTCCGCTGCCGAGCATCTGGCCCAGGCTTCCCAGCAGGCTAGTCGCACCGTCGGACCCGGGACCTTGCCGTCTGGCTTTCGAGCGATGCTTGCTGACCTGGCTGCGGTGCAGGCCGTCCCCTTTCGACGCAGTCAGCTCACCATCGCTATCAAAGACGAGATCTCCTCCTTGACTCTCGCCCGCGAGGCTGCCCATCTCCTCGGCCTGCTTGATGCCGCGCCGGTCCAGGCTTCTGCGTCGCGCCTCTTCATAATCGATCTGAAGGGCTTCAGCCCATTCCTGCGCGGAGATCTGGCCTCGAAGAGACTCGTCGAGCCTCACGGCTTCTTCCAAGAATTGCAGCGGTCCGGGCACCACCGCATCGGAGGCTCCCGTAGGGGCGAGGAACTCGACCTGATCCTCTCCAGAGCCGTGTCGGCCGGACGGATGGATTGGGCTCGCCGCCGGCGACGAGGTGGGCGAAGCGCCACCAGCCCTGAAGCTGTCGATGGACGGGACGCTGCCGCGCAGTGAAGGTGGAGATCCTGAACGCACGCGTCCGCCGTGCGACGGAGGCGCCGACGATGTACGACTTGAGCCCGACGACGAGAGAACGACACTGGACTTGCGCTTCAGGCCACCCGCGAGGCGCGGCCGTGGTGCCGTAGCATCGACAAAGGGCGAGTTGAGCTGACCCAGCGGAAACGCTAGCAGAGAACGTGTCTGCGAGGCCGAAGGCAGCTGAAGGCGGGCGTAAGAAAGGTAGAGCCTGGCCAGAGCTTTGGAGCCTCCGAGCGAGGCGATCAGGCGTTGCCGCTGCGTTTCAACGGTCGATCTGGCTGCAAAAGCCTTCGAAAGCTGCGAGTGCGTCTGGTCCGTATCACGAGGGCGGAAGGTATCGGCCGAACCTTGCGTGGCCATTTCAGGGGCTCTCGGCGGCGTCCCCGAGGTTTTGACGGCAGAGAGATCCTCGGCGACTGACGCTGCGCTCAGAAGGGGCAGGTAGTCTTGGACCAGTCGCTCCGTCGCCAGAGCGATTTCGCCCACGCGCCAGGCTCGGGCAAAATACTCGAAAGCCTCCGGGAGCGCACCTGCCCCGTGCCCCGGTGCGCCCAGGTGGCGGCGCTCTTGGCCAGCGGATCGTGCTGACGACGAGTCGGCCACCTGGAGTCCGATGAGCGAAAGCGTGGTTGGGTCCATGTTGTACTTGGCCTCCATTTGCAGCTCTTGAAGACGCTCCACCTCGTCTGCCTCGGAGTCTGTTGTCGCAAGGGAGGAGTAATTCGCATCACCCCGGGTCTCGCGACCGCCTTGCGCCTTGGGCAGGGCCGTTGGATCGCTCGGCCGCGATCCCAGGACAGTGGTGCTGTCGTCGCTGGCCGTCGAGAGCACGCTCAATCTGCTCGTACTCGGACTGACTGCGCCAGGCCTTTCGTGATCATCCGTGTCATCGAGCGGCACGTCTGGCGCTGCAGCGAGGCTGTTGAGGTATGCCTTGACGGTCGCGCGAGAGGCGCCAGTGCCCCGCTCCGTACCCTGTGCCGGCTGCGGAGAGGCGAGGGCTTCGCCCAGAGCCCTGGCCAGCTCTCTCTCTGCTGTCTGCCTCGTTCGCCTCTCTTCCCTCTCGCGGACTGCGCTTCGTAGACGTGTCGCGATAAGGCTCTCGGTTGCCGGCAGCGCCGCGCCGTGTTGGAGCGGCGACGCAGCAGCACGTCGAAGGAACGCTGCGTCGGCGTTCTCGGTACGCAAGGGAGCTGGCCCGATGACGAGCAAAGGCCAGATGCCCGTGTCAATCTTGTCGAGGTGGATGGTGACGAGTCTCATCGCCGGCGGCTGAGCACTGGCAGGCTTGATTTTGCCATCCGTCCCCATGGTCATGTCCGCTTCGACCACCGGTCCCGAGCCCGAGCTTGCATCTGGTCCGCTCGAGGCGTCGTCGACGCCAATGCTGCTGGCTCGTCCGGCTCGCGAATCTCCAGCATCGCTGTCGAAGGTTGCTCCGGTCATGGCGAGGCTCGCCACCGAAGACTCCGGGTCGCTTGTCGCGGGAAAGCTCCTTTCGCCGCTTGTGTAGAACGCCTCGAGGTCGGACCTGACCCGTCGTGGTCGACGGCCAGCATAGTCGAAGTGATTGCCAGCCACAGCTGCGGCGTCGGGCTCCGAGAGCACGGCGCTATGGGCGAGATACCCAGCCGAGGATTCGTTCGATCCGACGTCGCTGGAGCTACTGGACCATCCGGTACCGGAAGAGGGCGCGGCGCTGGGTTGACTCGATCTTGAACCGGGAGGCAGGACCTCATAGCTAGACGCCGACCGCAGCGACACGAGCGAGGCATCCATGCTGCCGTAGCTCTGCGGCGAGGACTGCGTCGCTGGGCTACGAAGGCCTCGCTCGCTGCCGGATGACCGCGGACTGTGCTGTGGCAGGGACGCAGACGCCTCTGGGGCCGACTGGTCCAGGACGCCCTGGATCCCTCTGGACGTAGCGGACCCCTGGCCCGCGGGGTCGTCGGTGCTGCTTGTGCTACAGCCGTCTCCGTTGCTGCCGCTGCTGTGGCCAGCGTGAGCCTGGTGGCTGTCAGAGCGTCGTTCGGGTCTTTGCAAGGACCTGCTCGTCGACCGCTTCAGTCGGGAGCGGTTCTTGTCGCCAATGCGCCAGGACGACGTGGCGGTGTTGATGCGACCGTACAGCCGGGCCTTGATGATGGCGGGTTGCGAGCGGACCGCGGCAACGATGTGATCGCTGCCGATGGTCACCTCGAGATCGCGCGACGAGACGCCCTGGCCCACGAGAAAGAGGACGGTGGCCTGGTCGTGCGACTGGTGGAAAGTCCAGCCGTGCATGACGGGCTCGAGGGCCGCACGGCCGGTCGCCTCTGCACGCTCCATGATGCTGTCGATGCTGATTGAGCGGCCAGTCAGATGGGCTCTGCTAGGGTACGTTGGGCGAGAGTGGCGGCGCCGATGTCGGCCTGGACGTGATGACAGGGTCGAGGAAGGGCAAGGCGGACCGGGTCCTCTCTCAGTTTTGGGCTACGGCTGGTCTCGGCAGCATGGCCCCGTGAGAATGGCGTGAGAAGGGACTGTCGAGACGGGCCGATTTTGGTGTGCGGCGTCAAGAGTTGCGCCGAGTGTCGTCGTGGCTGGAGAGAACCCGACCGAACCCAGATGGATGCTGCAAGACGAGCGGATGGTGGCGGCGGCCGGCACATACATAGAGTAGACCTTGAGGGGCACCACTCTTGTCTGCCAGCCGGCAAGGGTCCAAAAAAAAGGGGGTCGCGTGTGGGGTCGGGTGTCGAGAGTGGGGTCAAGTGCGGCTCAGCAGGCAGCCCAGGCGCACAGCAAACACACATCCTCATGGCCAAAAGTGTGGAGAATGTTGTAAGTTGACCAGTAGTGCACCAGCCAGCTCGTTGAGATGATGGTGCAGCAGGCTTGACGAAGATGGCAACCACCAACACAAGCAGCCGCACAGAGCAACAGCGCACAGCAGCGGCAGCCACAGCAGTATGCTCTGGCAACATCTGCTGCGATACATCCATGCGGCCAGTCTCTGCTTGCTTATCAACACCATCAGAGGGCCTAGCCAGCCTTGCAAGGTGCCAGGGAATAGACAGAGGCTTGGAAAGCTTTCTCAGCGACCCATCCTGCTAGACTCGAAGGGTCAGACACTACCGCGATCTCATATCATGTTTCCGAGCGGCAGGGAAGCGGGACAAGGGGGATGCCTTCATGGCATTGTCGAGGACGCCTTTGCAGCACGCTCTGGTCGCGCTTCGATGCTTGGATAGGTTCGTCGAGGTGGTATAAGGAGGGGGGCGTCCAAGTGGTAAAAGGGTGAGCAACCGAGGCGGATGCACGACGGGCCTCGACAAACAAGCATCAATGATGTAAGTACTGTACAAGGGATCTGCAGGACCGCAGACCAAGACGGGGCCGTAGCGCGCTAGCGAGGGGCGTAGCCGGTAGCTCTACGAGAGTTGAGCGAGGCCGAGGGTCGGGGCAGCATGCTCGTGCGGCGCGACGGCGTGCCGCTGGAGCTGTCCGTCGACGGCGACTGCCAAGCTGCCGCCGACGATCTCGAGGCTGCTATCCGTCCTGAAGTCGCGCTCACATCGCCGCGTCCGAATGCGAATGGGGACGATGGACGTTCAGAGGTCGGCGCGAACGGGTTCGACATGCCCGCCCGGCTGTGACTGCTGCCGGCTAGGCTGTGATCGAGCCGCGGATCTTGACCCAGCATCGGCGACCCACGTCCCGGAGTGTTGGCACCGCCGCTCGGGTGACTCCGCTTGATAGGCTCGGGGTAGTAGGCCGGGCTTCCCTGCGAATAGAGCGCCGAAGGCTGAGACTGCGATTGCACCATACCCGAAGAAGGTGCGCCCGCCTCGTACCAGGACATCGAGACTGTGCGATTGGAGAATGCGCGACCGTGCTGACCCGCCTGGTCAGCGACGCCCAGGCTGGGAGCCGAGTTAGAGCTGCTCAAAGCAAAGCCGGGGCCATTGCCCTCGCCCAGGTCGTCCTGGTCAAAGTCCATGGCGTCCAACGAGGGCTTGGACTCAAGGGCCGCCTGGCCCTGTGCGATGAGGGCATTCATCTTGTCCTGGAAGCGCTGGAACATGCCGTCCTCGTCATCGTCGTCTTCGTCGTCGCCGTGGCCAGCGGCTCCGGAGGACTGGCCGGAGCCCTCCGTCCGAACTTCCTCCTGAGCCGGTGGCGTGGATCGGAAGGCGTCGGGGATTGCCTTGCGTGGCGTGCCCGAAGACTGCGTCGCCCGGTGCGACTGAAACGTCGGCCGCCTTCGATTCCTCTGAGCCGACACAAACACTCGCTGCTTTCGCGCATTGGCGGGCGACTTGGGCGTCGAGGGGCCCGCAGCCAGGTCGTAGACCGGATAGGGCGGTGGCGGCTCGTCGAGGCCGCCAGGTGGCAGGTGCTTTTCTGGCAGCGTCTTGTGCGAAGGCAGCACTGGTCCGCCATCGGGTTCTTCGGCCTCGCCGTCGGCCCTCTTGCCCCACGTCGACCATAGCGAGTAGGCGGTGAGCGCAGCGGCGCCAGTGTAAAGCGCGGCGTTGAGTGCTGTGTCGACGATGGTGCCTGCCAGGCCGCGCCTGCGCTTTGAAGGCGGCCCTTCGTGGTGCTCGTCTTCGGCCACCTCGCTGACGGCTCCTCTACCGGCCGTCTTGCGCTGCTCCTGCAGCAGGGCCTGCTGAGCCGAGGGCATGCCGCGCGAAGAGATGGTGCCGTGGGCCGCCACCTGGGGTTCGAGCTCGGTGGCAGTGCGGAAGCTCGCTGGACTTCCGGCTGATGTGGTAGAGAAGGCGGTCTGGCTGTTGCTGGCAGGCAGCGAGTGGGAAGAGGCGTCTCTAGGCGGATTCTCCGCGCTACGCTGAACGCCACCGTCGAAGCTGGAAGGGCCATGGAAGGGCATCTGCATGCCTGACTGAAAGACAAAGTCGCTACGAGGGGCATGCGGGTATGCAGTGACTGACGCCGAGGCGAAGGATGTCGATGGCGACGAGCGGGTATCGGTCGGTGACGCGGACAGGCTGGTGGTGACCGAGGGATGCGATGACGGCTGGTCCCAGGGCATGGGGCGGTGGTCGGTAGCACCGGAGCGTATCGTCGATGTCCAGCCTCTCTTTTGGCCCGTCGACGGTCCCGCTCCATCCTGATGCAACATGCCGTCCTGTTGCGAAGACGAAGGAGGCGCTCGGTGGGCCGGATGCAGCGGCCCGCGGATCCTTCTGCGGCTGGGCATGCCGCCGTATCCGGGATTCATTATGGAGTCTAGAGGATCGAGACGGAGCGACAGCGGCGAGAGTGCCGTGCTATTATACACGGACAGCGATCGAAAGCACGATGCCGTGTTCCATGCGGGCGTACGAGGCGGCGGTTGACGGCGGTGAGGCGATGCGTGCTCTAAAGGTGACCGGCGGTGACGTTGCCGAAGTCAGTGCGAGTGGCGGGGGCGATTGTGCTGGTGGAGGAGCTGATGGAAAGCGGAGCGTTCTATGTTGTGACGTGCGAGCAGGAAGGTGTCGGTGCGGCGGAGACAGATGGATAGCGGGCTGTTTGGCGGAGCTGGGGATGATATATGGTGGTGATGACGGTGGTGGTGTTGGTGGCTGCTGAGGCCATGAGAGACAAGTCAAGGACCACCGGATACGTACGATGCTCTCGTCGCCTACGCACACATTTTTGGGGGGGCGCCCGCGAAATTGGCCTGGCAAGACCAACACGCCGTATGTAACGGCCTCGGGTCTGCCGCTCTTTTTGCGCGGGGTCGAGAGCCCCTGTCGCGACAAGGCGTGGCCTGGTCTTGTGCGTGGCCTTGTCACTCTGACCGCCAGCGGGTCCAGGATGAGAGGAAAGCTGGTCGCCGTCACCTCGCCTCTCTCTCTTTCTTTGCACTCACACACTGTAGCTCGCCGGATTGGCTAGGCTGGCGATGCTGGCTGGCAGCGAGGGGCGAGCCTGCTTGAACGTTTGCAGGCCTGCAGGCAGGTCCGACGTCGGCGGCGCACGACCGCGCGTAAGGAGCTGCTCGAGGGCGCCGGCCAAAAAAACACCTGCGGCCTGCTGGGGGCGAGGCCTGGCCTGCCATCGGCGGAAGCGCACCGGCAACTCGAGGTGGAGAAAGCAACACGCGCAGATAGGTTAGACGTCTGTGCCCGCTCCACTCTTACTCCTACTACTCGATCTGCTCTCTCTTCCTACCATATTGTCTCGCTGTCTTGACCAATCTCGTCGCCGTCCTCGTCGCCCAACTGCCTGCTCTCGGCCTCGATCCAACAACCCTGTCCTGCTCCGTTCTCGGTCCTGCTCCGTCGCTGCGCACAAGGATGCCATCGGAATCAGCCGCAGCGCCTGCCCGCCCTGGTCAAGCCCACGCCCAACATGCCGTCGGCAGTGGCTCCGCCGCCGCACCCTCCGCCTCGTCATCATCATCTGCGCCGTCGTCGGCTGGGCCGAGGCAGGCGGCATCCACCCGAAACCTCAACCGCCTCGCCCGCGGCAATGCCGCCCACGCGCTGCGCTCCAGAGCCTCGCTCGAGTCCGATGGGATGGTGTCCAACAGCGACGACAGCGCCTCGCTTGGTACCATCCAGCTGCCGCGCAGGCAGCCCGTCTTCACCGCCCCGGCGGGCACCGCAGCCACTGCCCAACATCAGACGCAGCGGCAGCAGCGGCACCCGCACGCCCACGAGCAGCACTTGGCGACGACCGTAGAGCAGCAGCAGAGGCAGTCGAGCGGCAGCAGCCGACGCGGCCCACCCGCACCGAACGATAGCCCCAGCCACCACGTCTTCCGCGGTGCAAAGCTGCTCAACGTCAACAACCCGGCCAGCGACAGGCAGCACCAGAGTCACAACAACAGCAACGGCCGCCCCTCGTCGCGCATGTCGAACGTCTCCAACTCGAGCTTCAACAACTTTGACAGCCCGAAACCGAGGCAGCTGGCCAAGCTCGTCTCGGAAGCTGCGCCGGCCCGCTCGTCGCCGCCCCAGACGCCAAGGACAAGCCAGGCGCTCGCACCGGGCATGAACCCGGACGGCAGCCACAGCGTCATCCGCAACGACGACGATGCCAACAACAGCGGCCTCCTCGACCTCAGCCCCGTCCTCACCAGGCTGGGCAAGCGCCCCTCCAAGGCGGCGGTGCTCGGGACACCCGGCAGCATCAAGTACGCAACGCCGACCCACCTTCCAACGCGCCTGGGCAGGCCAGACTTTCGGCTACCTGCCGACGCGGCGAGATCAGCGCTGCGCGATGCTGCCTCAATGAAGGCGGAGGCCGCCACTGGCATGGTCGACGACGAGGCCATCAAGCAGGCGGACGAGAGCATCCTCGACCCGCAGTACCGCGATGCCGCCGCCGCCGCCTCCTTCGCAGCAGGCAATCACGTACCAGCACAAGATTCTGGTCGCGCAGCAAACGTCGACAGAGGCGCGGGCTTCGACGACGATGCCGATGCCGATGCCGATGCCGATGCCGATGCCGATGCCGCCGCCGACGAGTACGCCGAAGATGAAGATTTTGATCCGGACTTTAGCGAGACGCTCAATCGCCTCCGGCGGTGGCGCCACGACGCGATGCAGCAGCACCTCTACGAGACGGCCATCTTCTGGGGCGACAAGATCCTCTCGCTCGAAACATCGACCGCGGCCTACAACGACGCCTACCACCTCGCCCAATGCTACTTCTATACTCACCAGTACGCGCGGGCCGAACACCTGCTTACCAATCCGCTGCGGACGGGCGCATCGAGGCATGCCGCGGCGCAGCTGGCCAGATCTCGGGCCGAGTTCGACCAGGTCAAGCTGGCAAGCGCAGGTGCACCTTCGGCGCCCCTCGCGTCCGAGGCCGGCGAAGAGGGCGATGCTCTGCTTGATGCATTGGCTGCGACACGCTCGCAGACGCAGCTGCCAGCCTCGATCTTGGCCCGTTCCTCGACCAAAGGATCGGTGTATTCCGCGTCCACGGGAGGGAAGCGGAAAGAGCGCGGCTTTACCACGAGTGCCACCGGGTCGGCCTCATCGGACAACGAGAGCGCAAGCGGCATCGATGACGAAGCTCGTGGCGGTCGTATCCCGAACGGCCGCGCAAGGGGCACAGGCCTCAGAGGTAGCGGCAAGGCTGGGAACAATGCAAGCGGCGGAACGAGCACCGGCAGTGCCAGCGGCAGCGACGGTATGGATGCGGATGGCGACCCTGAGGTTGTCGATGCTAACGGTTCAGTCGTCATCAGGCCGCTCCGACGCTCTCGTGCCGGCAACGGGAAAGCGGGAGCTGCGCGGCAGGCGGGCGCTCGGGACGAGGAAGAGGCCGAGTCGGAACTTGACGAAATCGATGCCGACTTGATCGAGGTCAAGGACAAGGAGGCGCCGCCGCCAGACGGCCCAAGCCTCGTAAACCATAGCCTGGCGTGTCGGTATTTGGCGGCGCAGTGCCAGGTGCGCCTCGGCAAGTATCACGAGGCGCTTGACTTGGTCGGCGACAGCTCACAGTGGGCCGGTGCCGCCGGCAACAAGCGCCCGTCTTCGGACGGCGGCATCAAGCTGGGCTCGACCGTGGCCTTCCTGCGAGGTCAGATCTACCTGCGCCTCGAGGACCTCGCGCGCGCGAGGGACAGCTTCATGACGGCCCTCGCTCTCGACGTGAAAAACTACGAGGCCTTTTCGGCGCTCATCGACGGCAACATGCTGGGCGTGGACCAGCAGTGGAGCTTCGTCCAGGGCCTCGAATACCTCGCCCAAGCCGGCGACGACGAGGGCGCCGCCGAAGATTTCGAGTTCATCCGGCTCGTCTACACGACCCGGCTCTCGAAGCAGGGCAAGACCTACGCGCTCAACACGGCGGCGGCGCGGCGGCGGCTGGCATCAGAGTACGGCCTCAGCAACAACCCAGACGTGCTGCTCGGCCTGGCCGAAGAGCTCTTCTCGAGGCTCCGGTTCGCCGACGCCTTCAACGTGACGAGCCGCATCCTCGAGCTCGCGGCAGACCATCCGGGCGCGCTGCCCATCCACATCGCCTGCATCTACCACCTCAAGAACCTGCGGCCGACGCTCTTCATGCTGGCCCACCGCCTGACTGAGCTGGACCCCGAGTCGCCCATCTCGTGGTACGCCGTCGGCACGTGGTATGCTACGACGCGGCGGTGGGCCGATGCGCGCCGCTACTTCAGCAAGGCCTCGTTGCTGGATCCGCGGTTTGCGCCGTCGTGGATCGCGTTTGGACACACGTTTGCGATGGAGGGCGAGTCGGACCAGGCCATCACGGCGTACTCGACGGCGTCGCGCCTCTTTCCGCAGTCGCACCTGCCGAGGCTCTTCATTGGGATGGAACACCTGCACCAGGGCAACATCAGCCTAGCGAGGCTGTCGCTCGAGGGCAGCGCGCAGATCTGGGACGACGATCCGCTGACGGCCAACGAGCGGGGCGTGGTGGCATACCAGGCGAACGAGTGAGTGCAGCTTCGGCGGCCGGTAAGCCGCGCGGCCGCGCCCGTCAGAGAGACATCCCTGACTCCGAGTGTGCCCCCACCCCCCGCTCCCCTCATCGCTCCTCCAGCCTCCCAACTGCCATCTCCTTCTTCCGGCAGGCACTGCGCCTCGCGGAGAAGACGCAGGAGCCGGCATCGGCGTGGATGGGCACCCACCTAAACCTAGGGCTGGCCTACCGGCGCGCAGAGTGAGTATGTCGAGGGTGACGAGGACGCAGCGTGAGGGAACTGTCGCGGCTGACGAAGACCCCCGCCAACCCCTACGCGGCGCTACCGGCACCCGGTAGTGCGGACGAAGAGGCGCGCAAATCGCTCTTGATCGTGACCGAGCTGGATCCGCACTGCTACCTCGCCAAGCTGACGCTCGGCATGGTGGCGCACAAGCTGGGCGACCTCGAGGATGCGATCGGATGGTACCACGAGGTGCGTCTCTGCCATGCCTGGCTCAGATCCGACCCCCACCCGCTCCTTTTCGCTGGAACTTACGCCGCCGCCGTCTTGCCTCCTCTGACCACTCTGTGACTGCGACACTCTCTCACCAGGCACTGTCCATAAACCCACGCGACCAGTATGGCACGGACCTGCTCGACTTTGCGCTCGAGGAGAAAATCTCGAGTGGCATCGCGACGTTCACCGAGTCGCTCGACCCGGAGAACCGGCTGGCGCGCTCTCGTGCCGCTGCCGACGGCGGCGATGGCACTCCGACGGATGGGGCCACGATGTCGACGTCGTCGCCTTCCAAGGGCAAAGCGCGGCACCTCTCTCCGCGCGACACGACGCCGTATCGCGGGACAGCGGCGCCCTACGGCGACCAAGCCGGCACCACCGACCCTCGTCTGTGCCCCATAGCGACACCGCAGATCCGCTTCGACTCGCCCTCCCTCTCTCGATCAGCTTCGCAGTCGCACGTGGCCCGCACGCCCGGTGCAGCGAACAGGACGCGGCAGATTGGCGAGCTGACGACGGCCGAAATGAGCCTCGACATGTCGAGCGCCTCGTCGTCGGTCTACCGCGGCGGCGATGCGTCCATCGCTGCTCCTCGCGCCGCCGCTGATCAGGGTTATGGCGACGGCGGCCTCGACGGCGACGGCGATGGCGATGGCGACGATGACGGCGACCGCGACCACGACCGCGACGAGGTCGGCGGAGGCGAAGTTTCGATGGACACCAACGCGGAGCCCTCGGGATATGGCGAGACGAGCGCCATGGACGAGGAGAGCTTCGAGTAGAGGAGCATGGCGGCGGATACTCTCCGTGATCCTGTCGGGACGCGGCGCTCTAGACATCAATGAATAGCTGCGTGCGGCGCAATCAACGACGATGACGGCGAGGGATGTCTAAGGGTACGAGTGAAAGCATCTCACAAACAGGTACGCTGCGATCCGCCTTGCGTCTACCAGCCCTGCTCCTTTTCCAGCTGCAGCAGGCTCTCGATGGACTCGTCGAGCGTCGTCTTCCAGTCCTTGAACTTGATCCCGAGGTCCCTTTCGGCAGGGGCGGTGTCGAGGCTGGCGATCTGGTCGAGGTTGCGGAGCTGCTTGGTGGCCTCCTCCCAGCCCTTTGGCAGCCTGCCGCGGAGGTCGGGGAAGCGCTCGCTGATGTGGAGGACGGCGTGGGCCCAGGTGAACTTGCCGCCGCAGACGAGGTAGCGCTTTCCCATGACGTCGTCGGGGCCCTCGAGGAGGAGGGTATGGGCGTCTGCGACGTCGCGGGCGTGGCAGAAGAGGGGCAGCCTGTCCTCGGGCATGGCGTCGGCGCCCGAGACGAGGTTGTAGATGGTCCTGGACGACGTGTTGAGGTTTTGCTTGGTGACGCCCGGCTGCAGCGTCGGGCCGTAGATCATGGGCGGGTTGACGGTGGCCAGCGCGAACGAGGGACGCTCGGCGGCCACGTAGTCGTAGGCGGCCTGCTCGGCGAGCTTCTTGGAGACCGAGTAGGAAAAGGCGCCCGCGCCGCCCGCCTTGAGCGCATCTTCGTACGTCGAAGGGTTCCAGTCGGATGCGGTGTAGGTGAAGCCGGGGCGGTTGGGTCCGCCTTCCTCGCTGCGCGGGGTGGGAAAGGGCAGAGCCGGCGATGACGGGGGGAGGAAGGGAACAGGTCAGGACCCCTTTTCGCTGCTCAAATCCACCTCGGTTTCGATACGATACGGGGCCAGCCTGTCTGCCCGCATGCGTGGTCCGTGAGGGCGGACAGGGGCCCATGGAGGCAGTGACACTCACAAGTTGGTGACGGCGGCAAAGGACGAGGTGACGACGACGCGCTTTACGCCGCCCTGCTTCTTGGCGAAGCGGAGGAGGTTGAGGGTGCCCTCGACGGCGGGGATGAGGAGGTCCCTCTCTGCGTCCTCGACGTTGAGCTGGTAGGGGGACGCGACGTGGAGGATGTAGTCGACGCCGCGGACGGCGTCGAGGAGGTCGGACGTGGCCGTGTCGGCGACCTCTACGAGCTCGATGCGGTCGCGGTCCTTTGGCGCGAGGCGGGCGAGGAGGGCGTCGCGCTTCGAGAGGGAGCGCAGCGTTCCGCGCACGCGGTAGTTGTGCGGCGAGGCGAGGACCGAGTCGAGGACGTGGGCCGCCAGGAAGCCCGTGACTCCCGTGATGAGGACGAGGGGCGACGAGGACATGTTGGCGTGGGTGTTTTTGGCGGGGTGGGAGGGAAGTCGGTCAGACAAAGACGGATGGAGAGGTCAAGGGTGCGGGCAACGGGTGGTCGAGGCTGTGGGTTTATATCAAAGACCTATCGGCTGTAGGGCGATGGTGGGGAGGATGGGGACGAGACGGGCAAGAGCAGGGGCAGGCAAGAGAGCAGCAGCAGGTCGAAGGCCGTCGCCGAGGGGCCGAGCCAGGCTGCGCGTCGGCATCTGCCCGGGCTGGCAGGCCTGGCAGGCCTGGCGGCGCACGGACTCGGCAGCCAGGCCAACCTCCACGTCTGCGCATGTTCCGTGGGCGGCCGTCGGAACGGTCCGCGCGCCTCGACCTCTCGACTGTGTGTCGACTGTGCCTCACTGCTATGCTCGTCGTCGATGGTGCACTCGTTTGAGCTGCTTGGTTCGGCCCGGCCCGAAGGATCAAGACAGGGAGAGCCGAGACAGCTTTGCCCTCCGTGTTATCTCTATCCGCTTCTTTGCCGTCGGTTGGTCCGCAATCTGACGGACCTGGACCGGTCCCCATTCCCGCTGCGAGTCGCGCCGTCGTCGAGGTTTCTCTCTGGGTGCCGCTCGTTGCTGCACCGCAGAGCGATGCTCCACTACCTCCCAGTTGCCGGCTATGATGTGGTCGAGGGTCCTCGTCCTCGACCTCGAGCATCGCCGTCGTCTTGGCGCCAGTCTGCCAGCTTGCGCAGGACGTGCGCCGCAAACGACTCAAACACAACCCGCCTACGACCCCACGTCCACTGCGCCTCGACCCTCCACTCCTCCGCCCCGGCACGACGGGCCTGTCCGCCGCCGGCTTCGACGCAGAACGAGAGGCAGACTTCCGGCTCGGACATTGCGCCTTGCTCCTCGCCCGTTGCTTGGTCCGCCTGCCGTGCCGAGGCGGCGGAAGCGTCGCCCTGCCTTCTCGCCTTTTGGCGTCGTGCCGAACGCGTCCACGACTGTCGCCACGCCATCACGTCGACGCTCCGTCCCGCCTCGCCCACGGCGGCATGACAGTCGTCGAGGCCCAAAAGCACCGCCTTGATGGCCTCAAGGATTGCCAGGGCGGAGTCGAACTGGCTCGCCGCAAACGAGCACGTCCGGATGTTGCTTGGCGGCAGACTGGCCTCGAGCTTCGAGTCTTGAAGCCGACAGAGGCTCTGAGGCACGGGCAAGAAACACGACGATCCCATCAGCCGCTCGCGTCGCAACCTTTCAAGTGGTTCCTTCTCTGAAAGAGGGTCGAAGGGGTCGCATACTCACATCTGGCAACCGCACCCCGGCAAACGACCACGAGACGACCCACCGACCCGTCTGGCCCTGCACGAGCTTCGTCACCGCCCAGTTGTCAATCTGGAGCGTGACCAGTGGTGCAAGGAAGGGGCATGGCATGCATGCCGGTCAGACCTGCTGGGCGAATGCCGGGGCAGTCGCCGACCACCTGTGCCACGACAGAACTCACCCCGTGCGACTTGATCCCGTCCACGACGGCCGAGACGCTCGACAGCTTGCCCAGCATCGAAGTGTACCAGCCCACGCGTTGGCGGTTGGCGGGGAGCGCACTCTCCCGGACCATGCGCAGCACGAAGGCCACCTCGCCGCCTTCGGTCACCATCTCGTTTTCGCTACCGTGACAGACCTGGTTGCGAGTCGGCAATCGGAGTAAAGGGAACAAAGAAAGACGTCAGCACTGCCTTCGGCCCCTCCTTTCGGCGATCAGAAAACACCGCCTGAATGCCTGACTCTGGCACACTCACCGCGTTGGGCTTGGCGGTCTTGAAGCTGGCGCTGTACCGCATGTCCTCCTCACTCAAGTAGAAGGGAGGGTTGCACATGGTAAAGTCGAACCTCACCGGCCCGTCCCAGCTGGCCACCTCGCCGTCAGAGGGGATCAGGCAGTCTTCCCTGCTCCTGAGGAGCAGCTGGACACGCTGTGCCAATGCATGGTCGACCGTGACTGGACCGTGCTGATCGCCCTGCGCCGTGGTTCTAGAGCTGGAGACCACGACGCTGCGGTTGTTGGCGGGATCCTCGATCGTCTGGCGGGCGTGCGCCAGGCTGTCGGAGTCAATATCTGCCAAAGGCCATGCCGCAGGCATCATAACCGGAACGACAGTGGTCAGTAGGGACAGCAAGCCCGTGGATCGCCACCATCGCCTTCCTTCGACAGCGCTCACCAGTCGCGACAAACGTCCAGTCTGGCTCAACGGCACACCCCAGGAGCGGGTAGATGGCAGAGGCACCCGTGCCGCTATCGGCAGCGCCGGATCGGTGCGACGGTCAGCCAATCTGCGAGCTTCTCTTGAGGATATGCCTGCCGACTCACATGTCAAGTCCGCGGACCCCCCGGCGGCCCACGTCGATGTCTCGCTGCTCGGCGCCCTCTTCGCGGCTCACCGCTGAACGTGCCTGGCGGGCCGTTGCGATGACACGCGAGCAGGACGAGCTGCAGTCGAGCACCTTGCGCAGATAGAGAATGTAGTTGAGTCTGCGAGAGGTGAAAGAGCGCTCGTTCGACGTCAGACCGACGAGAGGCGAGACCGGGCGGGATGCGTGGCTGCACAGGGCTCACCTGTTCGGTATCTGTGGGACGAGATCGGGTCACCAGTGCGCGAGTCCGTCTTGAGTCACACGCCTTCACGTCGTCCTGCCCTTCACTGGACGGAACTCACTGTCGGACAAAGTCTCGCCTCGTGTAGTCGGACCGTCAAACCGAAGTCGTGGTAGAGCAAAGTCTCTGACAGACAACTGCGTGGGCGCGAAACGGGATGATCTGGGCACCTTCAGCAAAGTGCCGCCGTGTCCACCGGCTCGTCGAGGCAATGCTTACCGAACCGCTTGGGCATCCTGAAAGTCGAGCGTCGCGTCTGCATGCCCGAAAGCAGCACGGGAGCCTGCCGCGTCGCCAGGCACCGCTCGACGCTTGATGCTTCACGAAGTTAGGTGCACGCAGTGGACAGACAGTCAGTGACCCTCATGCAATGATCGCATCCGCAGACAAGCCAGACGGCAGGCTACTCACTGCTTGCCCAGCGTCAAAGGATAGAGATCGGCCAGCGCTGCAAAATTTGGTGGAGAGTCGCTGTAGGGATCGGGATCTGGCAAAGGGCGGCAAGAGCGTCAGGGGTCGACCGCTATGTACTTCGGGATCAATAAAGGCCAGCTCCGCTAGGCGCTCGGGGCTTGGCTTCGGACTCGAAGGACTGCATCTGACTCACTCAATCTGCCCGACGGCAGAGCTGGCGGATGCTGGCGACGCTTTCGATCGGGTTCATAGGCGCCACGAGGGTGTTCCGGTGCCGTCCTGGCAGAGGGTCGCTTCTTTCGGCTTCGGACGAGGATCTGCACGATCGGGAGTCGATGAGACAGGGGAGAGGCACAGACGCGCAAGCCGAGACCAAGTGGCAGAATGATCAGATCTTTGATAGTGTAGCGGGACTGTGGAGCGCGGCGTGGCTGTGGTCATCGACCCACCCTGTCTGCGTCGCCTCCTCGCTCCTGCCATACCCTATCGGCAACCACTTCGAGCGCCTCGTCCAGCTCCAAGCCTTCGCCTTCCACCTCCTGGGCGAAGAGCTCCTCGAGGTCCTTTCTCCTCGTCCGCCCCGGCTCTAGCGCGGCAGGACCGGCATCGCGCGTGCCTGCCCTCGTCCGTTCGACAAGCGACGGAGCTACGACCAGTTCCACCCGCACGCGCCCAAAGGGCCTCGTGGTACCCTGAAAGGGCTCTTGCGGCGGACCCTCGGCTACTTCTTCCTCGCCGGGGTCCTGCGACGGTGCGTCTTGCGGCTTTAGGGTAGGATCGGTCAAGCGGTCAGCGCGCCGATCGGTGTAATGAACCAGCACTTCGAGGCTTGACCTTGGCGCGTCGACGTCTGATTGAACCGCTTGCTCCTCCCCTCGTCTGCGCTTGGCGGCAGGTTCCGCCGTGGCAGGGTCGACATCGGGGCCTGCAGCAGGTGGCTTTTGTGCGCCGCTGCCCTGGTCCGAAGCGAAGACCTGCGGTATTTGCCAGACGACCCGGATCAGGTCGAAAGCGTCGCTGCCAGCAACGTTCAGCGAGGCCGGGGCCGGCGTGCCGCCGCCGCCGCCTGCTTTGGCGATGTCGGGAAGCTCGGCCTGGCTGAGAGCAACGACCTGCTCTCGGCGGGAGACAAACGCCTGGAGATGACAGTGTAGCGCCGAGAGGAAGGCCTCGACACCAGGAAGATTGTGGAAGTCGGCAAGCAGCGAGAGGCCGCCGTCGCTTCGTTGCCCGCTGCCAGAGCCTCCACCGGAGGCCGAGCCGTCCAAGACGGCGGGAATGTAACGCTCGAGGAGACCGACCAGCGGGACAAAGTGCGGCATCGTGTGCCGAATCAAGAGCAGGCCGTCGGCGACAGTGTCGAGAAAGTCTGCATTTGGCTCGCCCAGCGTGGTGCCTGCCAGCCTGGGCGCGTCCACCATCTGGCTAGGGCGAGCAAAGACGAGGTAGTAGGGCTCGTAGTAGCGACCTGGAAGAGGAGGCGAGGATGCGGGGGGTAGGGAGGAGCGTCAGAATTGACTTCTGGGCGTTGCCATCTCCGGAATTCGTGACACCTCTCCGCAGGGCGGATATGTCATGCTTACCACGGAAGAATGTGTCGAGACGGATGCCGAGACCCAGGCCAGAGTTGTTGCTGGGTTGGACGTCGTCGGGCTCTTGTTTGAGCTCCTTGCGCGTCTCTCTTGCCCTCCTTCCCACGTCGAGGTCGATCTCGAAGCATGTCCAGCCGGCGGAGCGGTAGATGACGGTCTTGTCCTCCATGCTGGCGAGTTCCCTTCCGAGCCTGTCGTTTTCCTCGTCGAGCCCGGGCCATTTGACGTCGGACAGGTCGGCGGGGAGCGCCTGGACATTTGCGAGCTCGACCTTGAGCGAGGCACGCTCCGCCTGAAGTTGGCTCTCTGTGGCGATTGCAGAGGCGTGCGGAGGACGGCGGCAGATGGTTGAGTACGGGTCGATGCCTGGGAGGGCACGCAGGCCGCCGATAGTCGTGTTTCGTGGCGAACTCGGCTGTGTACTCACGTCTGGCCTTGAGCGCGTCGAGGCCGGCGAGGCCGGCTTGAGCGGTGACGCTCATCTCTGAGCGTGTCGTCGACGACGTCTAGGCGTCGCTTGCTGGGCGCCTGAGTGCCTGCTGCGGGCTGATGGGATGAGGTTGGAAGGGAAGTTGCGAGGGACGCATCGAGGTGGAGGTCGGTGGAGAGCGGCGAGCGGTGAGCGGCGAGCTGGCGACCAACACGCACGCCCGCCTCTGGCCTACCTGCCTGCCTGCAGCCCTCTAGCCTGTCCATTTTTCTAGCCCATCGCGTCCGCTCGTGCACCGACGCGTCAGACGATCGGTTCCGAGAGCAAGGACCGAGGTTGGACGGACAGCCTACAACGCCGCCAGCATCGTTGCCGCTGCAGCGCTTGCTCGTTGGCATAGCGGGTTCGCGCTCGGATTGCGGTTAACCTCCTCGATTGCCAGTGGCAAGGGCTGAAGCGGTCGCGTCGGACGCCGCATCGACGGTCGAAGCCGCGCTGGCCTCCCCACGGTATTCCACGGCGCAGCTGGGCAAGGGGCCACCGCACGCTGACAGCCGGGCCCGAGATTCATCGTACATGCAGAGTACGTATCGGCAGCTCGTATGCCAAGCCGGCTTGTAGCTCGGGAGGCTCAGAGAGGAGCTTGGACCCTCGAGAGAGGTTGTGGCAAGGCAGAGCGGGCTGGAGGAAGATCGCCGTCGAGGACAGGACGGAGGAGGCGATAAAAGGGGCGGGAAACCCAGGAGGAAAATCTGCCGGCAGAGTCGCGCAACACGTGCGTCGAGCCGAAAACCAACACATCAACACGTACGCGCTCACCACCGTCTGCCGACCTCGCTCGCCGTCGGCATCCATCCGCCGCCTCTACATTCCAGCCATCCTGCTGAAGACGCCAGGCCATCGTGACCGCAACCTTTGGCCGACACCTCGTTGCGCTTATGTTGCGCACGGCTGAGGCTGGACGGAAGGAAAGCACCTCGAGCTCGCAGACAAAGCCAAGGGCAAGGCAACCAACCACCTCACAGACCCCCACCCCCCCTTCCGCTACCTACACACCACACGCTGCACCTCGCTTGCACCTCGTAATCAAGGCGGGAGGCTGGAAGGGCGCAAGGTATTGACGACGACACATCGGCCACCCCTGGTGCCCCGGAAAGGCGCCGACGCCGGGTAGCACGGTCTCGTTCAGTCCCGCACAGAGCCATGCCAATTGCCATCGTCCTCGGAACGTCCGAAGCTCGAAGTAGTGCACTCTAGAGGACGGCAGCTCCCTGGCAAGATCTGAAGCGTCCCGGAGACCACCAGTCGGCTTTGCGCTCTCTGCTCGCCAAACGACCGAGACGTTTCCCCACGCTGCGCCTGATCGGCTGCCACTCTCGTAGTACCTAGCCCTAGATCGAGCAAAGGCGGACCTGGCGGAGAGCGAGGCGGCCGTGATTCCGTGAAATACTCGGACGACTCGCCGGTCATCTACTTTTCGATGCTTTCTGAGCTTCTTCTGCTGCCCATCACGAATCGCCTGCGTCTGGCACCGATGACGCTGCATCGATGGCCATCGACGACGAGGCCCGAAGCAAGGCGCGGTATGGTAGTCGTGCCGGCCTCGCCTTCCGCTGGCCGGGGGCACCGAGGATCGACCTGCAGGTCAGGAATTGTGCCACCCCAGACCTTCGATCAAGGAACGGCCGGGGAAGCAAAACAACGACGACGACGCCAGGTAGGGGGGTTACGGGCATGAGCAAGCAAGCTTGCTTGCTGTCGCCGAGGCTGGGGTTCAGAGGGATCGACATGGCCCGGCCTCAGGCAGGCAGGCAGGCAGGCAGGCAGGCAGGCAGGCAGGCAGGCAGGCAGGCAGGCAGGCAGGCAGGCAGGCAGGCAGGCAGGCAGGCAGGCAGGCAGGCCGAGTGCCAGCTGCGTTCGCTTGCAGCAATTCCGGAGCAATCTGCACGTCAAGCTGCCTGTCGGTCGACTCGTGCAGGGCGTGGGCCGGGCTTGCGCTGCCCTGCCAGACGAGAAGAGCCAACTCCCAGCAGGCTAGGGCAGGCAGCCAAGGGTCCAGCCAGCCAAGGCGGTGGCCAGCAGGCCCAGCAATTTGACCTGGCGCAAACGATGTGGCGGCCCTCCGACAGGCAGAGAAGAGACACAGCACATACAGCTGCCGACCCCGAGCCGCCGCTACCTACCGCCGAGGCAAGGCACGGCCTTCTTTGCTTTGCCTGGTTGCTTTCTTGCTGAGGTCCTCCCCTCATCCGCTTGGTGAGCACGGCTGGCTGGCACGCACGCAGCCAACGGTCGGAAGATCTTCAACGTTGCCTCGACGCGCCATACGTTCTTCTGAAGGGGGACGATGAGCTTGGAACTTGGCCCGTCGGCGCCTGCCCGGACGTACGCTGAACGGCCAAGCGGGCACGACGACCCCCGGGTCACAAGCTGAGGCTGAATCGGCCTTGATAGGTCCTCGGCCTTGCCGCTTCAGAGATTGTCCAGGCCGAGCCACCTCCCCGCCGTCGGCGACAATCCATCCAGGTCTCTTCATCGACTCGGCGGCAGCGGACGGGGGAGAAGGAAGGCTGATTCGCACCGCGTCTACGCTCGGTTTGTTTGCGTCGGGCCAATCTAGAAGAAGCGGACTACGACCGGACAAGTGTAGGAAGCGGTAGGCCGCAGGCCAGAGGATGGAACAGGCCGTCGCGCCATATCATCCGCCAGCCAGCCTCACCGAAGAGAGAGCCCCACGGGCAAGAGGCGGCTGACCAACCACGCAAACCAGAGGCAGAGGCAGAGGCCGAGGCCGGTGAGCGTCATGCTGGCGGTAGCTACCGTACCGACCCATGTCCATGAGGCGCTCGGCGGCGGGCTGCGATGCGTACGCCGTCCTGATCGTGCCCATCGATGCTGCAGATCCAGGTCCGTACGCTACGCCCTAGCTGCACTACTCGCCATCGGCCTGGGCCGTCCGCTGTCGGTATGTCCCCTCTCTCCCTGCCTAGCTGGCTGCCTGACGCACACCCGTGGTTGCTGTGCATCCCCCTCAGGCACGGGCTAAGGTGAGCATCGTCCAGCGGCGATAGGATGTTTTGATCTGCCTCTCTCCTGCCTCCCGCACAGGCTCGCCGACATGCTTCTGTGGTCGCTGCGACGACGATCGGCCGTCGCCGCTCTGAGTCCGGACCTTTGTCTCTGCGGCTCGTCTTGCTCGGTCGACTGCCTCCTCCTACCGACACTTCTCTCTCCATCCTAGCCGACACGCTGATTCCTCGACATTTTCCCTTCCACTACCACCTTCCCTCCTCTCCATCCGAACCTCTCCCCTTGACCCCACTCCCCACCTCTCCCCACCTTTCCCCCATCCTCCTTCCCGGCCCTCTTGTGTCTTTCCATCGTCGTCTCTGAACCGCACACACTCATTTGCCAGCTTCTACAGCATCCTCGACTCGCAGCGATACCCGACACCGACACTGACAGCATCGACAGACCCAACGGAGCTTCCATCGACCTCCTATTCATCTCTCAAAAAAACAGCCAACAATTCACCCAACCTCGCACCAGTCGACCGCCTGATCCGATCGCGGATGCACACACCACTCTGAGCCTTCAACCACCAACTGCGACTACCACGGCCTTGATTCACCTGGACGTAGTTTCACTCGAAGGCCGACCACGACCATGTCAGCTCCGTACCGGCCTCCTGTGGTTCAGGCGATTCCGCCGTTCAAAGGTGGGCCTTTGCAGGCATCCGACGTGCAGAACCGGAGGCCCACGGTCTCTGAGGCGCATGCGGCCTATGCCAAACGCACAAACACGGCAGCCGCCACGTCGACGGGCAGGAGCAGCGGGGCCGAGACGGCGAGGAGCGGAGCACCGTCTCAGAGGCATGGCGCGGCCTACCCCACGACCACCGCAGACCGTCGGCAGACTGAGAGGAGGGAGCCGGCCGAAAAGCCGCGCCCCGCCTCGAGGCTCGAGCGCGAGAAGAAGCGGAACCACAACGACCCCAAGAACATCGGGCCATGGAAGCTGGACAAGCTGATTGGCCAGGGCGCTTCAGGTATGTGTCCGAACCGGCTGAAAGGCGTACGACAGACGCGTCGGCAAGGCCGATGGCGATCCGTACCTGACGTTTCACCATCTGCCACCCGCGACGACCGCATCTTTGCATCGTCAGGTCGCGTCAGGCTCGCAACCCACTCCGTCACGGGGCAGCAGGCGGCCGTCAAGATCATCCCGCGGACCCTCATCAACCAGAGCCGAATGAGCCTCCGTGATGCCGATGCCAAGGCCAACAAGATGATTCTCGGCATCGAGCGCGAGATCGTCATCATGAAGCTCATCGAGCATCCCAACCTGCTCGGCCTGTGGGACGTCTACGAGACCTCCAAGGAGCTGTGAGCACCCAAAGCAGGCGATGTCTCGGATAGGTGAAGGCCTCACGAGGCGCTGCGATGCTGATTCTTCTTTGCCTCGTTCGGTCTCGCGCAGGTACCTGATCATGGAGTACGTCGCTGGCGGTGAGCTCTTCGACCACCTCGTTGCCCAAGGGCGGCTGCAGCCCCCGGCTGCTAGGAGCTATTTCCGCCAGATCATCTTCGGTATGGACTATTGCCACCGCTTCAACATCTGCCACCGTGACCTCAAGCCCGAGAATCTCCTGCTCGATGCGTCGAAGCTCACCGTCAAGGTGGCCGACTTTGGCATGGCGGCACTCCAGCCCAGCGAAAAGATGCTCGAGACCAGCTGCGGCAGCCCGCACTACGCCAGCCCCGAGATTGTCAGCGGCAAGAGGTACAAGGGCTCCGCCAGCGACATCTGGAGCTGCGGTATCATCCTCTTTGCGCTCCTCTGCGGCAGGCTGCCGTTCGACGACCCCAACATCCAACAGCTGCTCGCCAAGGTGCGCGCAGGCAAGTTCGTGATGCCCGCCTGGCTCGAGCCCGAGTCCAAGGACCTGATCTGGCGGATGCTCGAGATCGACCCCGAGAAGCGCATCACGATGGCCGAGATCATGCGCCACCCTTGGTTCACCAACCACGGCACCGAGTCGGACCGCAACCCCGTGACGACGTCGTTCGAGAGCTTCGAGAACGAGACGGTCCAGCTCGAGGACATCGACATGGACATCCTCGGCAACCTCAAGACACTCTGGTCCGAGCTCAGCGAGGAGGACATCGTCCGCCAGCTCCTCTCTCCGGGTCCCAACTGGCAAAAGACGTTCTACACGCTCCTCGTCGCCCACCGCGAGAACCACTCGGCCGACGACGACGAGGACTTCGACGATGACCTTGGCCATCAGCAGCAACAGTCCGGCCCGTCGACTGCTCTCCTCACTGCTTCCAATGCCCGCAACCAACCCCGGGAGAAGGCACGTCCGCGGCGCTCCCTGGACGCTTCTGGCAGCGGATCCACGCCGGCCTCGCCGCGTCTGCCTGAACAGGAGGTCCGCAGCACGTCGCCAAGAAAGGCTGCCCCAGCGTCGCCCACCCCGCCGACCGCCCCGCGAAGCCGGCCAGGGTCGTCGATGGGCCACCGCCCCTCGACCGTCGAAGGCACCTCCGCAAAGCCAAGAGCTGCGGCTGCCGCCAACGTCTCTACCACGCCCAGACCCTTGCCCTCTCCGAACAAGGTGGACGCCGAGCGCTCCTTCCCCCCGGTCAAGCTGCAGCCCGCACCTGCGACTGCCATCGTGGCGCCAACCACGCCCAAAAAGGGCAGCGACTCGCCTCGCACGACTCTACAGCGGCGCGCCACGTCGCCGCGTCAGGAGGCGCGCAGCAGCAGCGGGACTCGTGGCACCGAGATCGAGAGGGGCGATCAGACAACACCCGTCAGGCCGAAGATGGCAAGGTCATCAGCATCCGAGGCGACGCCTCGCCCCGGCCCCCGAGCCTCGTCACGGCCAGTCTCGCCGTCCAAGCCGGGACCGTCTCACTCGTCGCGACCGACCAGCGTCTACCCCGCGCCGCCGGCAGTCCCCTCTATCCAGGTGCCTCAGGTCGGCGATGCGACCATGCAGCGCTTCTTCCAAGAGATTGCCGACGAGCTCGCCTCGATCCGGGCGACGGGAGACAAGCCGGACGCACTGCAATCCAAGATCAGCAAGCTGCAGGAGACGGTCAACAACACCGCCCGAAGCGCACCCTCGGCGCCGGACAGCGTTGCCAGCCCGGCGATGACCAACAACTCCGACCTGACCCAATTCGAGGACGCCGAGGACGACGTCAGCGAAGGCGAGAGCCTGCGGTCGATGCCCGACACACCCTACACGCCCAACACGCCGTTGACGCCGCTGAGCCCGCAGCTGAAGACGATCCCGCTCGTCGCGCCAGACAGGTCAGCATCTGCCGCCCGCCCGCCCGCCGCCGCCCCTCTGGAGATGGGCGGCACGACGAGGTCCATTCGCAGCACGCGTCAGGCGCCGAGTGTCGCCTCGGGGTCGACCTCGCGCCCTGCCAGCATCTTTAGCACGGGCAGCAGCGGTGCTGGTTCGATGCTGAGCCGAAAGCGGAGTCTGCTGAGCCGCAACAAGGACAAGTCGGAAGACCACGTCCAGCTCGACGGTCGCAACTCGATCGCTTACGAGCAGACGCAGGCCGGTGTCGTACCCTCAACTGCGCCTGGCAGCGCGACGGCAACGCCGCAGCTCCTGGATCACGACGGCTTCGTGGTGCCGCAACCCAAGGCACCCACGCGGCTGCAGCAGCGCAAGAATCCTGGCCTCGGTCTCGACATTGGCTCGTCCAACGCCTACGTGTCGAGTGCGCCCAGCCCGAACCCGTCGACGGCACCGTCTACGCCAGCCACGCCGTCAATGACGCCAAAGAACAGCTGGTTTGCCGGTCTGTTCAACTGGAAGCCCGCCACCCATACGCTCATGTCGACGGAAAACTTCAGCGAGACGCTCGTCGAGACCAGCCGGCTGCTGCAAAGCTACGGCGTCCGCGTGGTCCTCGAGGACTCGGAGCATCACGGCACGCTCAAGTGCACCGTCAACGAGTACCGGGAGTTCAACGGCGTCACGACGTCGGCCAAGCCGGTGCGCTTCCGGGTCGAGTTCACCATCCTCCCGGTCGGCTCGGCTGCCAACTCGCCGCACCTTGGACTCGGGCTCGCTCTGCCCAGTCCGGCGTTGGGCTCAAGCCGCAACGGGCACCCATCGCCCGCCCTGAGCAACTACTCGCGCCACAGTGCGGCGAGCGGCGGCAGCAGCGGCGGCGGCGGTCCAGTCAGCTCGTACGACTACGCCACCACGCAGCAGCACCACCGCGCCACCTACGGCTTCGCCACCAGCGTCACCCTGATCCAGGAGAAGGGGGCGTTGAGCACGTTCCGCCTGATCCACGGCCGATTGAGGCGGGAGTGGACGCTTGACCAGACGCCAGCCATGTCGGCCATCGTCTGAGCAAGCCTCGCCCCGCCTCTCTTGCATGCTTCGCGCTCGGCGTCGTGACTTGGCAGGACAGTCGCGTCTGCGCCAGCCTAGACTCCAATCACCGCGACGCAACCGCCATCAGCAGCGGGGACCGGCAGATCTCTCGTCCTCAGCATTTACGTCCTCCTCCTCGCCCCCTCCCGCTCTTCCCTCTAATCTCGTCCTCGTTGCCCTCATCTCCTGCCCGCCCCTCTGCTCGTGCGCGCGCTCCCTCCCACCTCTCTTTTGTCTGCCTATCTGTCCATTCTGCCGTCCCCTCATCCCACAACGTCAACCTACATGTCCTTTGCCCCATTCCACGCTCCCTCGACCTACCGCTGCATTCGCTCTTTTACTTCTCTCCCTCTCTCTCTATCTTTCTCTCTCTCTCTCCGCGCGTTCTAAGACCGACCCGTCAAGATCCGACCTCGATACACTCGCTCTCTTCCGCATCATCGCTCTCCGTCCTTCGTCTTCTATATAACCTCCGACTGCTGGAACACACGAGTTTGTCGCGTCGTAGCACAATACCTCGATTGATTCGTGAATGTCGTTTCGATCTGCAAGACAGACCGGTGTGGGCTGCGACACGTCCCGACACGGCATGGGCGTGGCGTTCTCGCGTCCTCGGCATCTGGGCGAGACGAAGATCCATATGCCGCGCAGGACCAAAGGCGCCCTGTTTTCACTTGATTGTCCTCAACTCAGCAACAGACGTCCTTGCATGGGCAAGGTGGTGGGTCAGGGCCCATCAGAAGACTGTCGCTTGCGCCTTCCCACCCGGCCTGACGAGGGGCAAAGAGGGGGGGGGGGGGATCATCGCTTCCCCCAAAAACACTCGTCCCGCAGCGCCGTAGATCCTCCGTCCAAGCCGCCCTTTGCACGAGATGGCATCAATAATGTCCCTGTTCGGACCCACGGTGCTACTCACCGCTTTCGGGACTACAAGGGAAGCCCTTCAGGATGGCCCTGACGGTGGGGCAGCCACTCGTAAATCCGCCCTGTCTGTCAGCAGGCTAAAATGATGTCCATCCGCATTCCCGCTCATGCAACCATTCGCCCTCCTCTGCCTTCACCTGGCGGCGTTCGCGTCGTCGAGTGTCGGCTCCTTCGCCACGGCGCCGCGCAAAGCCACCGGGCTGCTTCGAGAGCCCACCAGCAACTTTGCTCACTTTCTCCCGACCTCGCCTGCTCCTTTCGCAATCGACTCGGAGCCCGCCCGGACGGAGAATGCACGTGTGGTCTTTTGGACCATCGCCTCGACCACGCCCAGCAGGAGCGTGGCACCGTCGCCTTCGCGAACGACAACAACGGCGCTTGCGCCCAACCCCCGACTTCGTCCCCGCCACTTCGACGAGCTTCCGGCTGACACCTGGCCGGCGACCCGGTACCTTATCGCGCTAGGAATGATCCTCGCGCTTCTCACGGACGACAATGTCGCCGACGCTTGCGGCAGCGACGATGACGATGACGACAACAACCACAAGATCGCCCACGACGGCGCCCAGCCCGTCGCGAGGGCTGTCATCGGGCCAGCGCCTGTCGAGCAGGAGCCGGCTGTGGTCGACGCGGAATTTTTATCCTATGTGCTGGACGACGGAATCGAAGCGATCGACGACGAGACAGGCCGGATCATCGTGCCGCCCGGAGATAATGCCGGCGCGGCTTTGGACGATCCGGGCCCCGCTCTCGCGATCAACAGTCCTGTCGAGCAGGACTCAAAGCCCCTCGGCGGTACGGACGCGGACCAGACGGACCCAGCGGATGGGGAGCCCGCCTGGGACCGCCTGGAACCGCTCCTCGCCGACATTGCGATCGCCTCGACGGACGAGCAGCAAGCCCTGGACACCGACGCCGGAGATCGCGCCGCGCTTCTCGTTCCGGACTGCGCCCTCGCCGTCGGGAGCCCCATCGAGCAAGACATAGCCCTGGTCGCCGAGCAAGAGGCAGCGGTGGCCAACGACGATCAGGGCCACGCAGCGGCAAGCGGGGCACGCCCGGAGCCTGCCCCGGACGACGGCAAGAACGAGACGATAGCTGGCGACAGCATCGCGGCACGAGTACGGGCAAGAGGCCCCGGGGCCCGGATGCGTCGATGCGCGACGTACTACGAGGCGCCGTTGCGCCACAAGAAGAGGAGGCGAAAGAGGTCAAGACCGCAAGGCGACGAGGCGGCGACGATAGGACAAGGCGACGAGGCGACGACGATGGGACAAGGCGACGAGGCGACGACGATTGGACAAGGCGACGAGGTGGCGATGACGACGCAAGGTGGCGAGGCAAGGCGGCGGCTGCAACAGGTCAAGGCGGTGGCTGCGATGCCACGACGAGTCGATGCGATGAGGCGGGGGCAACAAGCCAAGGCGATGGCGGCGATGCGACGACGAATCGAGGCAACGAGGCGCCTGCAAGACGTCAAGAACACCAGTCGGCTGCGACTAGAACAAGGTAGCGAGGCGGCGACAAGTCCCGGCACCGGCGGCGAGCGGCAAGATGATGAGCTGGTGCCGAAGCCGTCGGACGGAGCGGGACTTGAAGCTTGCCCTGCACGCACCGGTGAGAGGTCCGTCGCTGCCGAGTGCGACAACGCTGACATCGCTTTTGCTTCTGAAGGATGATCCCCAGCAAACCCAGGTCCACCGCTCGACGTCAAGGTCACGGGTCGACACCAACATCAAGGATCGTGATCGCCACCAAGCCGAGGCGACAGCAACATCGAGGTCCAAGTATCTCCATCAAGATCAACGACCGCCGCTGCGACGACGCGGCGCCGCACGCCGCGGTCCGGCGGTGAGTAACCTACCTCGATCGAACGTTGGTGGTGGCTGGTAGTCAGGAGGCAGGCAAAGGAAGCAGGCAAAGGAAGCAGGCAGGTGTTGGTCTCGCGCGTGGGTGCGTGACTGCGAGCGTGCCTGCGTGCCTGCGTTGCGGTCGGACCAGGCCAGGCCAGGCGCGGGCGGGCGGCAGACCCTGCCTGGAAAACAGGGGGCACGGACCGCCCCAGCTAAACCGCTGTTTCGGGAAGCGCGTCCGAAGCCCGGGCGGGACGCATCCCGAAAGCGCGCGCCGGTGCTGGTGTTGGTGTCCCCGCAGGCCAGTCGAGTCGAGCGTTTCAGGGATGTCGCCTCGCAGCCAGCCAGAGTGGAGTCAAGTCGCCGACCGAATATGTCGAGCTGAACCACGCTCTGTGGTCAAGTCTGTGGCTCTTAATGGTTTGCTGGTGCGCCTGACCTGCCTGCCTGCCTGTCTGCCTTTTCACCCCTAACACGCGACGAACGCATCTGATGCGGCGCCAGGGTGAGGAGTGAGGCCAGTGTCAAGTGCCGGCAGCAGGTCAATCTGACGGCGTGGCAAGCTTGATCTAGACGACAACCACCACCACCACAAGACTACTCTGCTGTGCCAGCGCGCACGATGCGATCAAGCTGCGTGAAGACGTGATTATATGATTAGCGACGGTACAGGAAAGTGCGGGCCAGGGACGCGGCGCATGGGGATGATGGTGCGCAGACACAGGGTTGGCACCAAGGGCAACGGACGATAAGTTGAGTAGCCTCGAGGATTGCGGGAGACTGCCGTGAGCGCTTATGGTACACGCCAAGGCGATCCGATCAAAGCAGGACGGCGCCGACGGCGAGGAGGGTGGCGAACGCGACGGCCGCAACGTGGACCTTCTGCGCGTCGCCCGCCGACGAATCCGTGATGGACTGGCTGTTGCCATCACTGGCCTGCGGGTTGCTGCCGTCACCGCCCGTGTAGGCCGGGGCCTTCTGGATCGATCCCTGGCTCGTGACAAACTCGGGCACGCCCGTGGCCGGGCTGTAGGCCTGCACGGGCGCCGTGTCGTTGGTGACGCCGTCCCAGCACCACTTCTTCATGCAGCTGTCGCACGCCGCCGGCCGCGTCACCTTGTTCCTCTCAAACGAGCGCTGGAGCATGGCGCAGCCGAGGCAGGTCGCCCAGGTGTCGTCGGCACCGCCGAGCGTGGCGACGTCGACCGAGTTGTCGAGCACCGCCTGCGACTGCTTGCGAGAGTACTCGAGCTGGTAGGTCGAAGCGTTGGCGAGCGAAGTGTACGGGTACGACGGGATGTAGGCGATGATCGGCGTCTTGGCCCCGTCGAACGACGTGTCGCTGTTGGTCGCCGCGGCCGCGTCGCAGCCGAAGAACGTCGGTCGGGTGTTCAGGCCTCTGTTGACAAAGGTCGCGGTGCTCGGGAAGTCCGGGAGAGGGTACTGCTTGTAGACTTCGTCCTTGGCGCGAAGGCTCGACTGGTAGAGCGAGCTGCCGTTCGGCCAGGAAGAAACGTCTGCGCTCGAGTCGACGGCGAAGACAAAGTCGAGCCCTCGGGCGGGCTCTACCAGCGGCCACAGCGGCAGATTTAGGTCTGTCAGCCCAGCGTCGATCAAGGAGATGTTCCTGAGCTTGGCGACGGCGTTGTTGCCTTCGTTGTAGCCGTAGAAGGGGTTGGGGACGGTGCTGATGTCGTTCTGCTCCTTGGAGACGGCTTCGGCGATGCCCTTGATGACGTTGGCGATGAGGCTGTCGGTCTGTCCCTCGAGGAGCTGGAGGTAGAGGCCGCTGAAGAGGGTGGCCGAGGTGCCGACGACCCAGGGCAAGGTCTCGTAGCCGGCGACGCACTGGCCGTCGGGCAGGACGCTGGCGCCGTTGTCGAGGCTGGATCCGACGATCTCGATCGGGACAAAGGCGGCGACGTTGGGGTTCCACGATCCGAACTCGTTGGGGTTGAACTCCCAGATTGTGGTGTTGCGGCTGACGACGAGCTCGCCGGGCTCGCGCTGGTCGGCGAGGATGATGGGGTAGGGGTAGGACGCGGCTTTATAGTTGGACGTGTCTTTCACGTCGCTCCACGTGGTGGCGGCCTTGTTTTCGTAGGTCGAGTTGAGGACCTTTTGGGCGATCGAGAGGCCAAAGTAGTCGGTGATGCTGGTGCCGTAGTCGAGGTCGCGCTTCTTCTTGACGTCGAGGGCAATGTTGGTGTAGAAGCCGATCTTGCCGTCCTTTGGGATGACGAGGTTGCTCTCGAGGTTCCACACCTCGTCGTTGAGCGTCTGGGCGGTGGGCCAGTCGTTCATGGCCAGGGTGCTGGTGGCCCAGGACCCTCCCGAGAGGCCCGAGACATAGTCGGCCAGCTGGAGCAGACCGCCGGTGCCCCTGTCCTTGGCAGTCTGGTTCCGGCTGTCGAAGCCCATGGCGACTCCAGACCCGACAAGCATGGCGCGCAGGCCGCCTCCGCTCAGCGCGAAGCCGATGCGGGGCAGGTTGTCGACGTTGTCGGCGTACTGGGCCAGTCCACCGGGGACGCCATCCTGACCGCCGAGCTTGGCGCTGTTGGTGAGCCAGTCGATCCAGTCCTGCTTGCGGCTCTCGCGGTGGCGCTGGATGTAGTCGCGCTCGCCCTGGTTGAGGCGCTTCTTGGAGGCGTCGCGGATCAGGCCGGGCGACTGCTGCGAGGTGGTGGCGGGGCACTTTACGTTGCCGGGTGCGTAGGAGCCGGTGGGAGAGCTGCGCTTTTGCAGCTGGGCCTCGCGGATCTCGACGAGGTGCTCGAGCAGCTGGCGACGCTGGAAGGGCGACAGGTTTTGGAGGTGCTCCAGGCTCTCAGCCGAAAGGGATGTGGGCGTGGCGCTGGCGCCGCAAGCCAGCAGCGTCAGAGCTGCCAGCAGTGGCTTGAAGATCTGCATGGCGGTAGCTGGGGGTCCAGGCCGTGGCTGTACGGAGCGGCGGAGGACAGGTGGCGCGGAGAACGGGCGTCGGTCAACAGGACGGCGGCGGTGTCGTCGTCGTCGTCGAGGAGGAGGAAGAAGAGGAGGAGGAGGGGGAGGGAGGACAGAGGGGCGAGAAGGGGGGGGATGAACGGCTGGGTCCATGTCAGCGAGGGGGCCCTTTATGTTGCTCTCGGTGGCCTGCTGGCATGCCGCGTGGCAAAGCACCCACAAACACAGCCACCCACCCGTCCTCGGCGCTGTCGGCTCGGAACCACATCTCTCGACAGCGGACGTTCCATGCATGCTGCGCAGCCCTTGCGCTTTGGGTGCGGTTGCTTGGCACCGGCATGCGGGCCGAGCAGGCGGCTTGCGAAGCTGCGCTGAAACGAAGCACAGGCAGGGCGGAGCCCTCTACTCTTGTCGGCCCTGCCGTTGGCCGTCGCTCGGGTTTGGGAGGATCGGCCAACATCGAACGAGCGAGGCCAGGAGCGAGCGAGAAGCAAGAAGACAAAAAGGGTCCTCCGGAATGCAGGGCCGATGCAGAGCCAAGTCACGGCAGCGGCAGGCCGGCAGGCGAGAGGAAAAGCCCGGCTGGCCAAGGCAGGCTAAGGCAGGCGTCATAGGTTCGCTGCGCAGCTGGTCGATCCAGACGCCGTACTGTATGTGCGGCTTCGACGGCGCGCTCGCTCGCTCGCCCTTCTTGTGCCGCGGACCAGCACCGGCGGTTGTTCCGGTCTTCCGGACATTCAAAGTGGTAGGTACAGTATGTAGGGTACGAGGAGGCCACCGCCGCCGACGTCGGTCTTCGCTCTCATCCTTCTGGCTCGTCGAGTCTACCCACCGGAGAAATGGAGAGAGCGATACGGTGGCGCGCCGCTCTTGCGCATCCTTCGCATCGAGACGAGCAAGGGCGGGCCGGTCGCAACCAACGCAGACGTCAAGACGGCCCGTACGTGAACAGCACCTCAAGGAAGCACGTACGTCCATCTGCCGGTACGACGATCGTCATGCCTCCCCTCCTCATCCTTCCCCCGGCATCGCAACGATGGCCATCAGCGTTTGTGCTGTAGCTCAGGTCTTTGAGCGCGCGAGCAAGCGGCCGCCTGCGAAAAAAAAGAAGCGGCGGCCTCGACTGCTTAGCCTGTTTCCGTCGTGACATCAGACAGCTCCGAGGCCGCGCGCCAGGAACCAATAATCGAATCCTCCGATCCGATCCGATCCGTTGGAGTTCTTGGCCCGTCGACACCGCCTCGATGGCGGGGCCGCCCGCCATATCCTCAGCTCAGGTCAAGTTAAGTTGCGTGCGCCGTTCTGCTTGCTTGCTTTGCTTGCTTGCCTGCTTCTTTTCATGCTGCTTCGCTATGCGAGCGGCGCTGAGCCGTGCTGTGCTGCGCTTGGGTGGCTGCCGCTTTGCGGTTTGGCCCTTCGGCCGGGCCCGTCCGCTTCTTGCCATGCGGTCACACCTTGGCAGGGGTATGAACGGCACGATGCCAAGCACGACCGGCTCTCTCTCTCTCTCTTGCACCGGAGATGCCGATGCTGCCATCCACTGCTGTCGCGGCCGAAGATCCATGGAAGCCGCGTTGCAAGGTCTCCTGCGCCATCCCCTTCTACGCTCGCGGTTTTGGCTCTCGGGACGTGCTGGCCCTACCTGTCCGACCATACCATGCCACTGACCATGCCATTGCTTCCACTCAGGAGGCCCCTTGGCTTGTTGTGCGGTACAGCATGTGTACATCGTCAAGCCACCTCGGCGAGCACAGCCGCGCCCCATCCGACGAGACGATCGCACATACAGACAAAAAAAGGCCGGCGGGGCCGGGCTTCGGAGCGAATGCATGCATGCATGCATGACCTTCGTCCTTCAAATCGCGGCGGCTCGGCCCAAGCCCGCCTGGCGAGTCCGCGGCCAAGCTGGCCAGGCCAGGTCCGCCGGCACGGTCAAGCCGACTTGCCTCTTTATCGGAGCCGAGCTCTGAACGGCGCGACGCGTTGCCAGCCAGCCAGCCAGCCGGCCAGCCGGTTGGCCTGCCTGCCTGGCCAAGCTTGCAACCTTCAGAGAGGATGGACCCTGCCAGCCCGCCCGCTTCCCGACCTTCACTTCGTCGCTGCCAACCTCTCCTCATCCGCCGCCCTCTGGCCGCATCCCAAGCGCCATCTCACATCCATCGCCGGGCTGGAACAAGGCGCGCCGCCTCCACCTACACTCATCGCGCGCTCTCGAGATGCCCGGCCAACGCGGCATCACGCTGCGCGTGCGCAAACCCAATCAGACCACAGACGACCAGCCCCCTCTTGGCCCCGGCGGTGACACCAGCACCGCTCTCCGAGACGATCCGCACCCAACATCCAGCAGCAGCCTCTCTAGCATCGATGCAGGTGCTGTCACCGCCGAGCAGCAAAGGTCCCACGACAGCGACGCAGATGCCAACGGCGATGTTTCCATGTCGGCAGAGGCAGAAGTGGGCGCAGAGGCAGACACCGCCGGTAGCAGCAGCCAGCCAGCTCCTGCGGCGCCTGCACGCTCCAGGCGAGCTCGCGTTTCGAGGGCGCGGTCCACCGAGATCAAAGCCGAGATCCAGGCAAACGTGCAGGCCAGTCCTCGATCCCGACGTCGAAGAAGGCAGAGCTCGATGCAGGCCCCGAAGGAGGAGTTGGGCGAGGAGGATGGGGAGAGAGCGGACGAAGCAGGGAGCGTCAAGGGTGGTCCGTCACAGCAGGCGCCCATCAATGGACTAGCCGACGCGACAGGCGGAGAAGCGGGCGAGCGATCCGACGAGGACGACGGACGGGCCGACGAGGGAGACGATAAACCGCGCATCGAAGGCTCTCAACGGCCGAGCAGAGCAACAGCGAGGAGCAAGAGCCGGTCCGAGGCTGCAAGAGCCGGTGCAAAGGCTCGGGCATCCGTCGGTCGAGCCGGCAGGTGGAGGGCCGCTGGTCCTAGCAGGTCCAGGGCTAGGTCGAGGCAGGCCGTTGCAAGCGACGATGACGGCGGCGATGAGGGCGATGCCAGCGTTGCGGAGGCCCAGAGCAAGGATGCTGAGCCAGCAGAGGACGGCACAGCGGGTGAAGGCGAAGGCGAAGGCGAAGGCGACGGCAACGAAGATAATGCAAACGACAGCGCCAACGACGACGACGACGACGACGGCGACGAGGGCGCGGGGACAGGCGTTGATGCCGACGGCTTCAAGACCATCACGATCAAGGGCAAGGTGTACCGCCTAGAAGGAGACGAGGTGATCCTCGACAGCGACCCGGACGGCGACAAAAAGGTCGACGAAAAGGGACGCTTGCAGGGTGGCCGGCAGTACAAGGCGTACAACTTCACCTCTGATCTGCGCGATGACCCCGAGCGCGTCTACATGCTGTCGATTGACGCGGCGCGGGCGGCCAGCTACCGCGACTCGCTCTACTTTTTCCGCAAGAACCCGATGATTATCAAGATCACGCTCAAGCAGGGCGAAAAGGACAAGCTGATCGAGGACGGGCGGCTGAGCGGGCAGCTCAAGAGCCGCAACGTCACCATGGTGGCCGCCCGCAACGTCTACAAGCTGCACGGCGCCAGGTTCATCAGCGGAGGCAAGGCGGTCATCGACGACTACTACGAGGCGGCGGCTCGGGCGTCGGGCGTCAAGGAAGGCAAGACGGTGGGAGGCATGTCGGTCGAGGAGCAGGAGCGCAAGAAAGAGGCCGATCGGGAGCGCGACCGCTCCCGCCGGCGGCCGGACGCGTTCAGCTACGCGACGTACGACCCGCAGGGCGAGGTGGTGACGACCGTGTTTGGCGACGCCGGCCAGAGCCCGTTCGTCCGCGCGGGCAACTGGGTGTCGCGGAGGGCGTTGCTGCAGCGCTCGGACGTGACCGAGGAGAACTGGATGCTGGAGATGGCGCGCAGCGTGCGCGGGATGAATTCGGAGCTGGCTGAGACGAGGCGCGAGCGTCTGGTTGCCTTTCGCCACTTTGACGACGGTCTGCACGCCTCGGCGGCGGCGGCGGCGGTCGTCGACGAGCCGCTCGACGGCGAGGCCGACCCCGAGGACGACGAAGAGGCGGCCAACGACCGCCCGCCATGGGAGCGCGACAGCTTGGCAGACGCCGAGGACAAGGCGCGCAAGCGCAAGGCCAAGGCCGCCCAGCGACAGGGGGCCAAGAAGCAAAGGGGCCCGCCGATTGGCATCTTTGAGCCGAGCACGCACATGCCGCACTTTGGCCTCAGCACGCAGCCGACTTGGGCGCGGCTGGACAAGGTGAGCAGTCCGAGCGGGGCGAGAGCGAAGAGCGGTGTAGCGACAGACGCAGCTGACTGGCAGAGCTGTCCTCGGCCTTGCTTTGCCCTCTCACCTTTGCGCTCCGTCGGTGTGCCATGGCGAAACAACAGGTCGGTGCACGACCCCACTTTGTGCGCGACGAGGCTCAAGAGGCGGGCAGCGTGTGGCCGGTGCTTGGCGGGGACCGTGTAGGGTCGGGGGCGTGGGGTGTGGCGAGTTTCACGACCGAGGTGCTGCCGCCGCCGCCTCCTTCGCCGACGGTGCGAGTTGCTGGCGGCGTCGACGCGGGCGGTGGTCGAGACTTGTGACGAGTGCGTTTGATGCTGCTGCTGCCGTTGCCGCAATCGACAGCCTACCACCTTCCGCTGAGTGCGATGGGCGCAGACTGGCCGCTGTGGTCAATTGGCTGAGTCCAAGAGCCTTGGAGTGCGAGTGCGATGGGCCAGAGAGGATGAAGGGCGGCGCGCGTGGAGCTCGCTCGCTCGCCCGCCGGTCCGCAAGAGAGAGCTGTGGGGCGTCGGGGCCAGACGCGGGGCGTGTGTGTGTTTCAGATCGGGTCAAGGGCAGAAAAACTTGGAGGCGGGGCGAGACCAACACGGCCTGACGGCCGATGCCCGACGCCGCTTTCCCACCAATTCAAATGCGCATCTGCCATGGACAGAGGGCAGACTCGAGTGATGAGCTCCATACGATCGCCTGCGTGTATGGGGAGACCATGGGTGAAGCGGGTATAGCTGGAAGTGACCTCGCACCGTCGAGCAATCAGGCCGGGGCCATGGGCGGGCCACCAAGATGTGCGGCCCAACCTACGCGGCCGGGGCCGTGGTTGCCGCTGTGGCGGCGATGCCGACAACGACGATGGTCAGCCGTAGGTACGCATGGGCCCACGAGCCGTCATGGTGGCGAGCAGAGAGCCGTGAGCGGGGAGGAGGAGCAGGCAGCCAGCCAGCCAGCTTCGACGGCCAAGAGGTCAGAGAGGAGCAGCGGCGAGGGGTCCCATGCACGGGCGCCGCCTGCTTCGGCCTCGCCGGCTCCACGCACCCCGCGCTGACCCCTCGAAAGGCCTAAGTGGCAGCAGTCTGCTACCTACTGCTCCTCAAGAGGTGGTGGGTGCGCCGAGCCTTGGCTGCCGCTGCCCCTGCCGCTTACTCCCCCCTTCTCTCGTGACCCCCATCTGCGTATCCCCCGGCCTCCTCCCTCTTGGCGCCTCATGCCACCAACCATATCGACGACTCACCTCGACATTGGCGCACCATCACATCTCTTAGACCCTATCCACCAGCATCTCGGCGCATCATCCTCGTTCGGCCGCCGCCTCCGACTTTCTAGGACCACGCCCACTTAACCCTCGCAGAGGATTCGCACCTGGTCGCTCGACCGTCACGCCTTCGACACCCCACCGCAGCGCCGCAGCCATGGACGGGGATAAGGAAAACATCGCACTCGCGCCGCACACGGCAGATGCCGCCGCCACAGCTCCGACCAAGCAAGGCGCCGCAGCCCCGCCCCGCCCAAAGGCTCCTCTCGCAGCCGGCACCGTCTCGTTCCCATCAACCTCGAAGCCTGGAGAGCTCGACCAGGATCAGGACACCGACGCCACCGCCCCGGAAGGTCAGCCCAGACGCTCCGCCCTCTTCTACCCCTCGTCGGCCCTCGCGGCCAAGTCAAACCAAAAGCCCTTCTCTCGCAGCGCAGCAAAGAGGGACTCGGTCATGGCCCTCGGCAGCATCGGCTACCTCCAGCACCTCTACGCAAAGCAAGGGATGTGAGTGCAGCTGCGTCCTTGAAGCGCCGTCTCCGGCCTCACTCGCTCTTCCCGTACCCCTGATACTGCGGCTAACATCTGTCCACTAGAGCAGAGCGAGCAAGACCCGGCCCCTCACAAAAGGACCGATGACTCTGGCCATCGGCCTGGCCGGCGAGACGATGCTGGCTTCCACCCCAGAGTCGCCGTCAGAGAGCCCGACCCTGTCAAAGGCCAGCCTACGCAGAGGAGCCAGCGATGGTCAAGGTCTCGCAGAGGATGGCCTCGTCCTCGTGACAAGCCCGGATGACCAGCCCATCGAGCTTCCACCGAGCCCAAAGGCGCCAACCAGCACCCGCCTCCCATATCCGGTGGTGCCCAAGCCGGTCGAGGCGGACCCCGAGGCGCTATGGCCGATGCTGTTGCAGGACCTTGACACGACGTGAGCATCGCCGACTGCCTTGACCTCCCCCAATCGGGTATGTTAGGCCTTGTGGACGTAGGCTGTGCTGACGCTATGGTACTCCACCGGCCGCAAACGTGAACAGCTGTCAGCTGTGGGGCCTCTTGAACCTCGTCAAGAGGGACAAAGCATCGCCTTCCGGTGGTCGCCGATTGTCGATAGAGCCAGACTCTCGTCGGCCTTCGTCCCGCTCATCCATGTACAGCACAGACGGACTCGACGACGCAGCCCTCGAAACGCAGCCGATTGACCTGCTCGAGCTCATCAACGCGACTACCAAGACGATCCGGTCGGTGCGCAGCTACCTCCTGGCGCTACCGCCAGCCTCGCTTAGCGGCAAGCGCATCTCCGAGAACGCGCCTGGATCCAAGCCCAAAGATCAGTTCAAGCGGCAGAGCAGCTTCGGCAGCCTCTCGAGGCGGAGCAGCCTCTCGCCTCTCCCGCTCGAAAAGACCTATGGTAGCCTGTCGAGGCGGGTATCGTCGCCTCAGGGCGGCAGTCCGGGCTCGACGCGGGCTATGCCGAGCGCATGGCAGGCTCCAGGCTCTGCCTCCTCGCCATCGACATCTCCGGCCGACTCGACCGACGTGGCAGAAGATCCACTGACGTTGGTCCGCAAATCAGCGTTGGATGTGCTCAGTACCTTGCGTGAGCTGGAAGAGAAGCATCGTTTGCCGCCAGGCCACCCGGATTATGAAAAGGCCGAAGCCGAGACGGCCTCACTTGGCGAAGAGTCGGCCCTTGGGATCAACCTGGGCTCCAAAGACAACAGGATGCCGCCAGCGCCCGGCCTCCGAAGCCTTACATCGCTGGCCAACCCGAGCAGCTTGGACCTCGGCCTGAATGGCTCACCGGACAAGGGTAGTGGAGAAGGCTACCTGTACCAAACTGACCTCAAGCTGAGCGACCTTGGAAAGGAGAGGGAGTTCGTCAACAGCTACCTCACCACCGTCGACCGCGTCCTTTCCGTCGTGCAGAAGCTCAAGCCGACCAAACGGCCGAGCGCAAGGCTCGCGCTCAATGCCGAGGCGGAGCCAAGCCCTGAACCGAGCGGAGCCAATGCAGCGCCCGGCATCACGGTCGATGCGGCACGAGTGGGCAATGACGCGACGGACGCCGCGCACGATGTTCCGGCTTGGGCGCGCAAGGGAGAGTTTCAAGGTGGCGAGATTGGTGAGTGAGGGCGCGAACGGCTTTTGCTCCGATGGCTCAGATGCTGAAACCCCCGTGAGCGCGGCCTTGCGGAGCAGCACGAGTGCGAGCATTTCTGCTGGCCCATCTCTCCGCCGAAGACGGTTTCGAGCTGCTGCAGGTCTCGACCGAAGTGACCCAGAGCGACAATGTACTCGACATCAGCAAGGATCAGCTGCTCGATGCCCTCGTCGACGGATCGATGCTGTGCCACGCGTACAATGCGGCTCTGCGTCAGTCCAGCCGGCCCTGGGGCTTCATCCAGCCCAAGGAGATCCACGACCTCAAGGCGGCCGAGGCCGACGCTCTGGAGAAGCAGAAGATGCTCTTGAAGAAGGCCGAGGCGGAGCCGGAAGCGTTCCAGGTCAAGGACAAGAGCGGCAAGGACCGAAGGGGCGCCTCAGATGCTAGCTTCGCCGACCGGACCGAGACGGATCAGAAATCCGCTGCTGCGTCGCCCGAGGGCCTCAAGAAGCGGCCCGGGTGGACGTTCCGCAAGGCCGAGAACCTGCGCGTGTGGGCGGCGGCTCTGCGGCTACGCTACCACATACAGACGACGTCGATGAGCAGCCTCGAATCGCTCAATCAGCCCGTGCTCCCGGGACTGCAGCCTCCGGTCAAGCTGGGCCTGCACCCGCGCAGAGTCTACTCGGAAGCAGCAGCGTCGTCGTCGTCTCTCTCGCTCGCCTCGACCGACAGCGGCAGAGAGTCGGCACGGCCCAGCGTTGCCGGCTCGCGAGCGGGCCACGTCAATCAAGGCGCCATCGAGTTCGACCCCAAGCGGGTGGCGAGGAAGGAAGAGGGATGGGAGCAGATGCTCTACAACCTCGTCGTCCGCTGGGTGCATGCGGTTGCGAGCGAGGAGAGGGGAGAAGATGCCCGTTGAAACGGATCCGTCCTGTCAGACTAGGACCGACATACGTGGAATCGTGTCGTGCACTCGGCCTTGCTTCCAGAAAATGGAGTTATGTAGCTCGCGGAGACCGGCGGCGCAGTTGGAGTCCGCGGACATCGCGCAGACGGAGGTATCAAGACGATGCCGCCTGGGATTGCGACAGCGGGCCGACCTCTTGTCCTCCATGACGAGGCGACGAGTTGGTGACGCAAGAGCGATGATCGTAGGAGACAACAATGCTCGAGGCGCGGAGTGAGAGGCTGCCTTATCAACACAGGAGAGGAACACGAGGATGGAAAGGCAAGGCAGGCAGGCAGGCAGGCAGGCAGGCAGGCAGGCAGGCAGGCAGGCAGGCAGGACGGATGGATGGATGAATGGATGAATGGATGAACCCCTTTACGTGCTGTGACTGACTGGAGCTAGGAGACACTGGAAGAAGTCTAGATGGGGCCAAGAAATGTATGGGAATGCAAGGCGGGGGGGCATTGATGGAATACAAGTTGCTGCGGAAGGAGACACTGGGGGAGCGCGGAGGATCAGTTCTGGAAGAAGTGGGAGGGGAAGACGGCGGCACCGGCGAGGCTGGATGCATCGCGGTTCCTGCCGTCGTGGGACGAGACGGGGGCATGGTGGGGATGGGGCTGGAAGGCGCCGAGGTCGGCGGGGGAGTAGTGGAGGTAGTCGGCAGTGCGGAGGTCCGACGAAAGGTTGTTGAACGTCTGCTGGAGGTCGGTGACGGGCGACATCAGAGGCGCCTGTTGCTGCAGCACGGTCCATGGCGCCGAAGACATCTGAGGAATCGCCGCTGCCTCCTGCGACGCGGTCGAAGCCGGCGAGGACCACGACTCGAGCGCCGCGGAAGGCTTGGCAAAGCAGGACTCGTGCAGCGACGGCGTGGCCGAGGTTGAGGCGGGGATGTGGTATGAGGCGGGCTTCTGCGCCTCGTACTTGCCGACCTCGGGCGTCTTTTGCGCATAGTGCGCTGCAGCGACGGCCTCGAAGCTGAGCGAAGGCGGCAGCTCGCCCGCCGGGCTCTGCAGCGAGAAGTTGTCGTTCCACAGCTGGCTCGTCGTCTCTCGCCAGTTGGAGACGTAGCTGTCGTTGCTGGACAGGGCGAGGGCCTGGGCCGAACGGATCCGGTCGACGTCGTCGGTCTGCACCTTTTCCGCGCGCTTCTCGGCGATGCGCTGGACCAGGCCCACGGTGGCGAACTCGGCCACCGAGGGTCGCCGCAGCTGGTTGAGGTCGAGCGTGTGCGGTACCGAGCTGCGGCGGCGGAGCGAGAGCAGCGGCGCCTCGGCCGAGAAGCTGTCCTGCGTCGGGAACGGGATGCTGGCAAAGTCAAAGTGGCCGTGCGGTGCGGGCAGGTCGATGGGCCGGACGTGGGCAGAGGTCGGCACCGCCACGGGCAGCTCCGTCGAGTAGATGCTCGAGATGACAAACTCGGCGTTGGACGCGCTCGCCGGGCTCGGTGGCGGCTTGGCGTTGTCCGTGGGACGTGAAGCGTTGCCGGTAGGTATGCCGAAGAAGTAGTGGCTAGGGTAGCCCTCGGAGACGGACCCGTCCACTGATGTGTGACCAAGAGATCGGTCCGAGACTTCGGGCGTCTGTGGCTGGGAGACGGAGGACAGGTGGTATGGCAGCTGCTCGGTGGGGCCAAGATTGACTGTGCTGCTCCTCGGTCGGAAGCCGTGCAGCGATGCGCCGATGTGCGCCGGGACAATTTCTGTGTAGCTTGGCGAGACGGGCGCCGACGGCAGGTCGAGGTAGTGGCGCACAGAGCCGCTAGCCATGGCCCAGCTGCCCGGATGGAGCACAGAGAGCGGCGAGTTGCCGGCGTAGACCGAGAGCGCCGCGAGGCGCGCCTGCTTTTTCTCCTTGTTCCTTCGCTTGCGCTCTCGAGACATGAGGTTCTCGTGCTCGGTGACGGGCTCGTAGTCGCAGTGTCTGCGGAGGCGCTTGCACGTTGCGCACGAGGGCTGCGCACCGTCGCACTTGATCTTGCTACAAGGGCCAGCACGCACGGCCGGAGGGGAACAGGGAGGTGCAACAGTCAGGGCCGGAACGTCGGATTCCGTGACGGCGTCGCAGACGGCGATGGACTGCTGGGGATGCTCACCGGTGGCGACAGTGGACGCAGGCCATATTGATCCTGGCGCGTGACTTGACCTTTGGCTCCATGGCGAGCGAGGAGTCGCCCGAATCTGAGAAGTCGTCCTTCAGATCCGACGTCCTCTTTCTGTGAAACGTTGGCCGCTTGACGGCTCTCTCGGCAGCCATCGCGGTCGGTGCAGATGGTGTGGAAGGCTATGGTAGGTGGCGTCGAAAGGATGTCCCAGTGCGCAGTGGGGTCGAGTGACGGAGCAGCTGAATGGTGACGACGACGATGACAAGCGCGGATGGTGATGACGCTGCTGTTTGGATGCGAAAGTTGGAGAAGCGTTGTGAATGATCGTCGAGGCCGAAGGGGTGCGGGCGGTGGCGAGCAGGACGGTGAAGATGGGGGGTTCCTATATGTATACCGACCAGCGCAACGCCGGACGCTTGTCGGGTTCCAAACGGGCACCGCACGTTTGGAACCGCGACCTGATCAGCATCTGGACAAACAGGACGCACCGGGCGCTCTGATAGAGCGTTGGAGCGGGGAAGATGGACAGGTTGTCGCAACCGGGTAGCAGATCGGCGACGGCCTTTCCTGCGAGGAGAGCAGAGGCGTGCAACGGCGCCGGGCCCATGAGCTTCCTCGTCACGCTCGACCACCCAAGAGATGAGACGGGCCGGACTAACGAACGGCGGCTGAGAAGTAAAAGAGGACTCAGAGATCAGCGCCTTGCTTGTTGCGCAACGTGCTGGGAATAGATAGAGGTGAAACCGGGTGAGGCGACCCTTCTGACATGGGCGGAAGGAAACAGAGTCATGCCGGCCTTGCGAGGGCTCTTGCACTTTGGCGGCCTGGGCCTCGAAGCATGCCTAGCATGCGTGGCGACCGACGGAACGATGGGGCCGGTTGGGAAAACGCAGGCGGGCGGCGGGCAGGAAAGGGCAGAACGAAGAAAACGCAGAATAACGAAGAACTGGCGCCACGGCTGCAGGGCGCTTGACGGGTCACGGCATGCACCCGGCAGTCCGCAGCGCCTCCGGAGCTGGGCGTCTCTGCACCTCGCCGCCGTAAGAAGGGGCCTACCGCTGGGCTTGAATTACGATGGCGGATCTGGGTACTTCCAGCTCGAGAGCGGGTGCCTGACCCTTTCTTCACCATCAACAGCCATCTAGGTGCCGTACCACAGCACCGAGCCACACCCCTCACCACCGACCTTGGCGTGCCCGCTGCGCATCTGTCATGTGCCGTGGTCTGGGATGACTTCTTGCAAACATGACGGGTTGCCTTGTACAAACGGGGTATTCAGCTACACTTTGTACGGGCCTGACCAGTCCTCCTTGCGCTCGTCATTGTCATCGTTGTCCACAGCAGATGCACCGAGACAGACCTGGGCATTGGACACGAATATGAATGGTGACGTCTCGACGACGATGGCCGTTGTCTGAGATCTGCTCGTGGGCAGTACCCGCCATGTCTACCCTGCTCGAGGGGGAGGCGATGAGCGCTCGCAATCGTGATCGGCCTAGCCTCATTTTGAGGTCGTCAACGTTCCATCGGCTCGACGGTGAATGGTTTGCGTGGTATCGCTTGCCGACATGCTCGCCAAGCACAGGCTAAGTACTTACTTGCCACTGTAGTCGTGCTGCTTGGAGCTCGCTCTCCGCAGAGGGAGCGTGTGATGCACCGTAGTGGCGTTCGTCGGGAGGCTGCGAAGGCATGCGAGCCACCAGGTGATCACCTCCATACTTTCACATGATCAGTAGAGTTACGTGACTAGGTGCAGCTGTCGAGAATTTCTTGCCCACGGGGGTCGAGACGGTCGTGGGCCCTTGGAGGGAAGGAAGGAGGCCATTCAGCTCACGGCCAAACCCCGGACAATGGCCGTCGGCAAGGATAGGCCGCTAGAGTCTCTTGCACTTGAACCGAGCTGGGATGACGATGGATGCGAGCAACGAGGGGACAAGCAAGGCGGGTATGAAGAGAGCGCAACGGCGGTCAGGGAAAGGAGGACGGCGGATGGCTGGCGTGAGATGCAGCCGTCGAGAGAAAGCCCGCAACGAGGTGAGATGCCGTTCCGTCGGATGCACCTCGCGTCGGAGTCACACCCAAGTTTGGCGTGCAGCAGGCTGGTGATATATTATTTGAATTCCTTCCATGTAAGTGCCTGTGTGTACACCGTTGGACTTCCGCCAGCCACGGGGCAATCGTGGCCAGAGCCAGTGCTCGTGATCGTTGAGCACCCGTTTGCCTTCTCTGCTTCTGCAGCTGTCCGACTGTCGGCGTCGCAGCAGCACCACCAGCAGCGCGGCAGCGTCCGGTGTTTGCAAGGGAGCATGCAACCTGGAGGAAACTTCGAGGCGCGTCGACCCGCTCCCCCCGAAAAGAAGAACGACAAAGGGTGGCCTGTCGCGAGTTCTCGGCCCACCGCTCTGCCAGCGAACTGCGCTGCGAGGCCAGGCCAGGGCTGAGAGACCGGGGAGCGCGCGCGAGGAGATCTGGATTGTGGGGGTCTGGATCTCGCGGCGAGGCACCCAGCAACAATGACCAAGCGGCCACTCGTCAAGCCCTCGAACGCCGAGTCGATACGTACTTTCGACCGGTGCGCGCACTGCTTCAACCACTGCTTCAACCACTCATCGATCATACTTATCTTGAACGATGCTTGGCAGGTCAGGGTGGAGACACCAGGAGCGCAGGCGCAGAGCCGACGTGGCGAGGATTGCAGATGGAGTAACCGAGCCATGAAAACGGCCGTTTTCACTGGTACGGCTCCGGGCCGGATTGCATCGTGGGGCGACGCTAGCGTCCGGCAGCGCGTTGGGAAGATGTCAAGTTGGGGGAGCGTCTCCATGTGCGTAACAAGTGCCAAGAGGACTTTCCGCTCTGCCATCCGCCACCGAGGCCGGAGTCGTCCTGATATGGATACGCACTCCGACCCCGATCACCGATACGCTCGCACCCTGCCGTGTCCGGTGCGTGTATCAACAGCAGCAGTTTGCAGTCTCGGAAACATCGTGAGGGCTGAGACACGGAGCCGATCTCAATCTCGCCACAGGGCTCCCTCCCGACGCATGCCAGGCCTCAAGATGGAGTCCACTTCGCCATCAGCTTGTCCAAACTCGCGTGTGTACACCGGCACCTGTATCCTTCATGCACCACCAACGCTTCGGTTGCGGCGGATCCGCTCTGTCCGCCAGCAAGGAGATCGAAGCCGCAAGGAGCATCGGTTGCGGTACCGCTACAGCTCCGGGCGGTCTTCAAAGACTCGCCGCCTCGCGAGACCTCGTTTCGAGGGACTTGACCGGTCGCAGCTCGCTGCTGCTGCCCGCGGTCATCTTCGGCCCGAAACCCGCTCCCGAAGCCGCCGTCGTCGGCGAGCACGAGGCCAGTCCGCCGTCCTTTTTCCCATACATGTGTTTCATCACTCATCCACACGGCAAGCGCGTCGATAGTGGCCGTTCCGGGCCGCGCCTCGCTAGGCTTGGTGCAAACTGTAGGTAACCCAGCTCGACGATGATCCAGGACGCCCTGTATGCTTGTGAGGCGTTCGGTACAAGTTTGCGTAGCAGTGATGGCGGTCTGCCCCAAGCATGACACAGCCTCGAATCCGTCGCGAGCAGGTGATCCTGCTTCCGCCGGGACGGGCCAACCATCACGACCTGTTGAGCATAGAGGTCAGCCGCCTGCCGTATCGCAGCAGACGAGGGAAGCTTGAGACCCTCCTTGCATAGCCTAAGGAGTACCGAAGCCTTTGCGACCGCGAATGCAGATACGACACTCAGACTCGGGCAGCAACCGGGGGACAGGGTATCCAACAACCGAAGTGGGCCCATCGCCGCAACACCACCTCGTTGCGGGGACGACGATCAGCCCGCTCGGAAGTTCAGGGCCGGTCGAATCTGGAGACGGTTGTAATTAGCTCAGTCCCAACTGTCAGCTCGCAATTGCGAAGCTCCTCTGAGTCCACGGAACTCGCTATAGGAGAGGAGTCGCATTGCATGGCCGTTTATGGACGCAAGCCCTTTACTCCTGTATCAGCTACAGCTCGTCGCACAGATGCATGCCTGACTTCTTTACAAGCAGAGTAGCCGGCGGTGTGGTGCTTGCGTCTCGTCGTAACGCCTCTCTTGTGTACATGGCCTCGCAACCTCAGCGCTCCTTTGGCTGCACCGATGCGAAGGATGCTCACTACTCTTCCTCGTCCCGGCAAGCAGTTGAGTCTCTGCCGACCAGGAGAGCGATCAAGAAGCCTCGACTTGTCCCAAAGGAGGGGGACGCTGCAAGCCGTGGGCTTCTCACGAGGTACGCATTTCCGGCATTGTCTGCCACCTCAATTTACGTATGGGAAAACGGAGGTCGGGGTTCCTGAGCGGGGCCTGGAACCACTCTGCAGCCATGCACGCCGCTCGCACCGCGGAGATACCGGTACACGCGTGACAAAGTCTACTGTAGTTAACCCCTCCCTCATCGTGGTCAGTGTCCTGATCTCATACATGTAGCTTCCGTGTCCACAAGCTGGCCCGAGTGCGACTTGGTTGTCCAAAAGTAGCCGCCCTCCGTCAAGAGGCCACTGCTTTCTCCCTCTGGCGCAAAGCCGAGCGAGTAGCGAAGGCTCGCTTGTTTCGCTCTTTCCTGCGCCACACTTGTTCTTGCCCATTGTTCGTGATGATCCTCGTTATCGGGCGGATACGGCACGGTCGCTCAACTGACGGCAAGAAGGCACCAGGTCGTCTTCCGGTGTCTCTGAAGTTGTCAGTACTTCCAGAGGGTTGTGAAACAAGAGCGGACGTCGACGATGATCCTCCATCGGACCCGAGACTGATTCGTGTGCCCGGGACCACACTTGGCCCGCTATCGAAGAGCACCTCGAAAGCGACGGAATCGCTCCTCCCGACTCGCGCGCCGGCCTGTACCATCCCGGCAGGGCCGCTATTTTTGGCTCCTTTCGGCGGCTCCATACAGTATGTACTGCAGAGGGCCTAGAAGGATTGCACAGCCATGCAACATTGTGGCAGCGGGGCAAACGTGAGCCGGTCGACGACGACCTTGACGAGGACGAAAATAGTTTTGCCGCGGCAACGTTGGAGAGCTCTGCAGCGGGCGTTGTTCCTGAATCGCCTCAATCTGACAGGCAGGGGTAGGGCGACAGACGAGCGAAGCAAGCAATCAAGGGTCTTTCGGCGCTGTTCCTGTTGCAGGCATCTCCGCGGATTGTTGCTGTGCCTAGGGGCGGGCGCTTGAAAGACGATAAAGAGCCTGTCGGAGACGCCCTTGCGAGACCGAGACCAGAGATGGAGGGAGGAAGATCCAGGGGTGATCTGTCAGCAACGTGCAGCCAGCAGAGGGATAAGACGGCCAGAGGCGTGGGCGCATGGGCCGACGGATGGCCGCTCCTGGTGCAGAGGACGGGTCGGAGCTGCTTGGGACCCGCAGATGGCAGCATCCGACGGTGCCGACCGAAGCTGCTGGCTGGTGTGCGCATGATGTGTCTCTTCTGTTGGCTGGGAACCCGCTGCAGGGCAGAGGCAAGATCGTCTGCTCTGTGTGCGGCAGAGCGCTGCAAGGGCGGCCCATCATAGCATGGTCGCCAGCCTGCCGTTAAGGCACTCGCCAGGAAGGCTGCTACATAGCAGCGACTTGCCACGAGGTCACGGCCAGGCCACCAACCCCGCCCGCACCTGCAGGCTTGTCTCTGTGGCCGCAACGCCCAGCAGCGGCCCTCACGCGCTACTCACAGTACGAGACTGCTTTGTGTCCTGCGCCCATCCTGGCGTTGAATGTCTGACTCAGGTGCCCACATCGCCCCGCCGAACGGTCTCGGATCATCTCCGTTGTCACGGGTGCTTGGAAAGTTGAGCGAGCAGGCACTGGTTTTCTATCTCTTCCTTTATCCGCAGACCGTCGGATGGCAGGCCCGCCAAACGACCCACCGGCTGTTGGGCATGGAAACGTGGCAGCTCGCGTGGTGGCCACGAGGCGCACAGCAGAGGGTGGACCCTTGCTTGACCTAGACTTCGCTTGCTCGACTCGGACGACAAGTCCAAGGAGGGGTGCTGTACCTGGCGCGGCACTCCTGGCTGCTGTTGCTGTCGCTTCGGTCCGACTCCGCTCTCCTGGCGTCGAGGCCGTGACTGACCATACGAGGGTCCGCTATCGATGGGCGGCATCATAGTGATTTGATCATAAACATGAATGTCGCAAGGAGGTAGAAAGAGCGGGACGAACGTTCTGAAGATTGCTCGCCAAAGGGCACCCTTCTCCGGCCGGATTTTGCGCCCAGGCTGGGCCGAGCCGACCCCTCTCGCCGGCTACAGGGACCTCCGTAGATCGGGGGCGAGGCGTTGTCGCTTGAAACAGTACATCAAGGATGGGGAGGAGAGGCGCGCGCGGACAAGCCGGTTCGGTCGATGCGCTTTGTTGTCGGATTTGTCCGACCAGGAGTCCGACGTCCGATAGTTGCTCTGGCCGCACGCGAGCGAGCGGCAATGGAGCTATCTTGGTCTGATTGCGAAACAAGTACGTCCGCTTCGTCGCAGGAGCGTTGCTGCGTCGAGCATAGATGCCTCAGACAACGAGCATGGGCCTCGGGCCCACGTCCGTATGTAGTTACACGCAGCGTGCCGTGGAGTAGGCCCGCCAGACCGACCCCCCTTGCCTCGCCCGTTGGTGACAGGCGGTCGTGGCCGACGAACATGGCAGCTCGGCCTGGCGTCTGCCCATCCCGGCGGATGCGCGCCTACAGCGAGCACCGACCGCACGCCGAGCGACGCCGTGTTGCTCTCAAGTCACATCTTGCCACCGGGGCGAGGCCGACGCGGGGTCGGACATATCCCGACAGTCGAATGCGATACCGGTAGCGTGCCTTTTATTTGTACGTGGGTGCCTACAGCGGCGAGGCACTCGAATAGCGGGCGGTAGGGGGTCTAGCCCTTTCAAACCTGGCCGCGCAGCGAGCGGGCTGACAGGCGTAAAAACGCGGGCGACGAGAACGCTCGAGGCACGACGCAGGTACATGTACGCTACCCGACAGAAGAGTAGAGATCTCTCTCGTTACGTTCATCTGGCGGAAGGCGTCGGGCAGTGCTGGCGAACGCCGCGCACCGTTTCAGAACGCCGCTGCCGCCGCCAATCCGAGACCCGGCCAAGCTCGCAGGCAGGCTGGCTGAAGCCTCTCCGCTCGCTGTTGGCGACGTCGCCGTTGGTTTGATCTGGCCCAGCCAGCCCAGGGGGCAGTGCAAAGCTTCCGTGACAGCGCGACAAAGACGGCCGTCGTCGGCGGAACGCCAGCAGTGACACTTCGCCGTGGCGCGCGTGCGTGCAAGCGGTGCCGGTCGCTTGCCATTCTTCGCATCTCGTCGTGGCATGTGCTGGGAACCGCCTATCAAGCCGGGTCGTATCGTCGACCCGACGGAGGCGACCGAGCAAGCTCGAGGCCACGCCAGGCTGACTGGTTAGAGCCGCTCGCCAAGCAAGCAAGCAAGCAGGGGGGGGGAGCTTGTCGAGGGAGGAGCGCAGGCGAGGGAAATGCCTTGCAAAATTCGCCTGGAAAATCGGGCTTCGAAGCGGGGCTCGGAGCAGCCGGGGCAGCCTGCTCGTCTCGTTTCGCCTCGCGACCTTGTCGCTCGCTGGCTTGTTTGACACCAGCGGCCAACTGTACCGCAACGCATGGCTACAGCGCGGCGGTGGTGCTCCTTTCCCTGCCCTACCTGCCATCACTTTGTCCGGGATCGGACCTCAATCGGAGCCTCCTTGATCGGGGGTTGAGATGCGTATCGGCGCTCGTGTACCAGTCTGGGTGGCGACAGCTGCTGCGCCAGCTTCGTCGCCCCTTTCTCCGTTCGCATCTTGGCGTCCTCTTTCTCCTCCATCCCGACGGCAAGACTCGCCTTGGCTCGACGCCTCCTTTGCGACACTCCCTTGCGGCTATCCTTCCTTCCTTCTTTCCCCTTGTCTTGTTCAGCCGAGTCGCAGATCTTCCCAGGGCTGCCGAGACTCAGCCAGTCAAGACAACGCAAGCAAAGTTAAGGCCAAGCCGAGTCAAGCGGCGTCGGAGTGCGGCTGGCCAGGAACGTGGGCGTGATCGACGTGGGTGCCGAAACACTCACCTCGACCCGGTGCCGTACCATGCAAACACACGCTCCTCCTCTAACCGTCCCCTTCCACACCCAGAGTGCGGCGGTGCGTGCGTGCGTGTCGGGGCGTCCTCGAGGCGCGAGGTGAAGCTCACGGCCAGCACTCTTCCGCGAGGCCCGCGAGACCTGTCATCGCCTCCGCCTCTCGGGCATCGGCTTCGGCGTCGGCAAAGAGACCCGGGCGTGTGGATTCGAGCTCGGCCGTGTCACGACTGCGACATCCATCGCCGCCAAGCCTAGTACAGTAGTACAGCTCGTTCGGTCGGTTGCCCAGCTCGGAGACACGTCTCGTTTCGGTCCGTCCTTGGCTGTCTCGGTCCTCGTTCCACTCTCCGTCTCCGTCGCTCCAAGTCCGTCCGAGCAACACTCAGAGAAGTCCTCGCTTCGCTGGGTTCGGAGAGGGGCCTTCCAACGAAGAAAGAAAGAAGGCGACCCCTCGCAGACAATGCTGGCTTCGCAGACGATCTCGCGCCGCTCGCAGCCACCTCTCTCACGCTGGATATCGACACCTTTGCGGATGCCGCCCTCGGAACCGCATCGCGCTGTGCTTGCTTGACTCGGGCGCCTGTCGCCAGGCTTTGCACGAAACGCCTTCTGTCGTGCGACTGGTCCTGCCGTTTCCTCTGCAGTCAGAGAGACGATCACGCCCAACGGCCCGTCCGTGTCGGCAATAATGTTGTGTTTGTCGCGGCGGCCGCCAGAGGCGAGAGCTTAGCATGCCCTGCCAACGAGGGCTGCTCAGCCGTCGTGCTCGGCCGATTCCGGCACCGCGCGGCAGCACGGTAGGCTAAGCAGCAAGGTAGGTAGCATTCGTCGAGACGCAGAAGGGGGAAGATTAATGGCATGGTGCGATGCAAGGACAGAATCGCAGGGCCGCGGGCTGGGTCCGGGTCTCTATCCTGGCCTGCCTTACTTCTCCTTCTTGCCCTCGACAGCGACGGCCTCCCTCCACGCCTTTCTGGCCTTCCATCCCAGCTCCTCTTCGCCAGAGCACCACCACAGCGCCGCCGCACAGCCCGGACCGGCAATGATTGCGGCGGTGATGAAGCCGGCGGCGGTCTTCTCCAGCCAGGGCGATCCTGCGGGCGCCCGCGAGATGGCCTTGTCGCATTCAATGTCCAGCTGCGATCGCGGTGCGCCCGTCAGAGGGTGCTTGGACGCCTTGGAACGGAACGTCAGTCGTTCCAGAATCACCAGCGAGACGAGTGCGACCAGAGTGCCGGCAATGTCGAAGACAAAGAAGTGGGTGACGTCGTCGTACTTGTCCTTGTCCGTGACGAGGCCCCTGTTTGCGAGGACAGCAGGAGTGGGACAGGTTTCAATTTCTGCGCAGCGGTCTAGGTGTGCAGGAGCTCGGGCGGTGCATCGACACTCACACAATGATCCGATGAGCTCCATACCAGTAGGCGACGGTGGAGGCGAGGGCATACTTGCGGTAGCTGCAGAGTTGCGGCCAACATGCATCCGGGGTCGAGGTCAGTCAGAGCCTGTGGAAAGGCTGCGAGCGGGTGCGCGCCGCAGGGGCCGAGGACCTGACCACTCACTAGGACCACGTGCGCTCAAAGCTGTAGCTGACGCTCTCGGCATCCCAGCACATCAGCTCGTCGCGCGACGCCTTCTCAGTGTTGATGAGCGGCGTCGAGACCGAGGCGAGGACGACGGGGATCAGGAAGAGCGGGAAGAACTGGAACGCGACCTGGCATCGGAACCAGTTGTTGCCTTCGCGGTCCAGGAAGATGGAGCCGATGACAGTGGCGCCGGTGAGGAGGAGGGCGATGTTGCAGAGGTAGATGGAGCCGGGAGCGGTGGGGACCGGGGCGACAGCGGCCGAGGTGCGCTGCAGGGGACAGGGTGAAGAAAGATCCGGGGATTTGTAGGATGCGCACGACAGGGTCAGGGCCTGTGCTGCAGTGTTGCGATGGCAGGGAGCGGCGCGACTTGGACTCACCTTGAAGGCCAGGTATGATCCGAGCGTGTAGATACAGAGGCCGAGACTGACCGAGACCATTCCGAAGCCGAGGAGCTGGCCAATGGCGGCGATGAGGAAGATCCAGACTCCGCTGAAGAGGCCAGTCTTTCGGTTGGGCGAGACGGCCTGGTAGGTCAGCCTTGTCAGAAGCGGAATCATGAGCGAGGCAAGGACGGAAAGTGCCTGATAATGCGCGAAAGGACAGAGGCGAGGAAAGAGGGGTCAGTTTGGGCGGTTGCGCGACGGGATGTGGGTCTCGCTGCACTGCACGCACGCCGATGTTGAGGCGGCTGGCGACGGCCGACTTGAAAAAGGGGATGATGAGGCAGAAGAAGTTGTCAACCTGGGGCACAAGACCCCGGGTGATGTCGCTGCGGAGGCTCTGCCTGGACGGGACGGTGCAGGCCTCCATGAGGGTGGCGAGCGTGTTGGTCTGCGGGTCGTATGGCGGGGGGAGTGGGTCGAGGCGAGGGGACGTCGTGAGTTGGCGGGACAAGGACGCGACGCGCTGGGCGTTCGGAGGTGGATACATACGGGGGCATGCTTGATGGCGCCCTCCTCGAAGGCGATTCCGGCGGCGATGCCGAAGATGGGGATGGCGACGAGGCCGAGGTAGGCGGCTGCCGGCATTGCGAAGATGTCGTGTGCGTCGCCGTCGGGATTTGAGTGCGGGCTGGATGGCTTGCTGTCGATGTCCGATGCGACGCGACGATTGGGGAGGTGGTGGTGGGGAGAAGAAAGAGATGGCACAGAGGGGCGATGGAAACAAAAGAGAGGATGCCTCTGGCTGTGATGGACGGACGTCACGGAGACGGAAGAAGCAGACGAAGAAGAGGAACAGGTCGAGGCACGAAGAGGTGCCACGCATGCAGGAGGATTGGGGTGGGGAGGCGGCCCCGCCAGGCACGGCGGCCTGGCGCACGGTGGGCCAATCCTCTCTCCACGTTCCTCGAGGGCGGTCGAGGCCCGAGCCAGGCCTGGCAGGCCAGGCCACGCGCCTCGCGTTTGCCATGCATCATGTCCCGGGATCCGAATCCCGAAGCAACGCCCTTCGGCCCCCCTTTGCCTTTGCGGAACTCGGGCCGCTGCCATCTCGACGTCGTGCTTTCCCCCGCCCCCGCGGAACGGATCCGACGCTGGGTGCCTTGAACCGCCTTTTTCACGCGAGCGAGGCGAGGTCGGGGCCAGGCGTAGGCCACGGCAGCGGTGTGCGACCGGTCGCAAGTTGCAGCCGGTGGACCGCCCCCGACCTCCAGCCTGGCTGGCTGGCTGGCTGCGTTTCACACACACCGGCTACCTGCCTCGCCCCTCGATCCGCCCCTCATCAGACCAACACCTCGAATTCGGCCCCCTTCTCATCCCGTCCTCGCCTCGGCACCTGACTGACTACCCCGCAAACCGACCGACCGACCCCAGCGCACCGCACCGCATCGCACCGCATCGCACCACCCTCTTCTCCGCTCGCATCCCGTCCTTCCTCGCGGCCACCATCCTCGTCCGCATCACTGCCCCGAGCTTCAGCCAGCACCCTCCCTCACACTCCTTCCATGTCGTCTCTTGCATCCACCCGAAGACTCATCATCAACACCAGCAACAGGTCCAGCATCCCTTCCCGCATCCCGTCTGCCCTGCCCATCGCCTCGGCAACCGCAACCGCAACCGCAACCGCAAGGTCCTTCACCACCACCTCACCCGCCATGTTCGCCCTCTCGCCCTGGCGCGGCGCGCCCGGCAAGCAGCCAAAGACGTTCAGCGCCCAAAACTCGATGCCCAGGCTGCCCGTGCCCCCGCTCGAGCAGACCTTTGACAAGTACGTCAAGTCCATCTCGCCCTTCCTCCGCCAGCAGCACCAGCGCGGCGAGCTCAGCGGCTCCACCCCGGAACAGGAGCTCGAGAAGCGCAAGGGCTGGGTCCGCGAATTCCTAAAGGACGGCGGCCTCGGACACAGGCTCCAGCAGAGGCTCATCGACGTCGACCGCACCACCGACAACAACTGGCTCGACGACCGCTACTGGCTCCAGAAGGCCTACCACGAGTGGCGCGTCCCCCTCCTCGTCAACAGCAACTGGTGGCTTATGTTCACAAACGACCCCAACACGCCAAAGGAGATCGCAGAGCACCCCGGACACCCGCTCCAACACGGCAAGCTCGGCCTGGGCGGGCAACACTGGGACGACGCCGCCTGGGGCGTCCGCAGGGCCGCGTGGCTCACCTGGCGCTTCCTAGAGTTCAAGAGGAGGCTCGACTCGTAAGTTGACCGACGGTTCTGGCCGGGCACGTTGCATGTATGGCCCTGGGAGGCGCCGGTGCTGACTCCAGACCTCGAGACCGCCCCGCCCTCAACCCCCGCCTCTTCCCACGATTGCAGCGAAGACATCATGCCCGATGCTTCCAGAGCAGGTCCGTTTTGCATGCACCAGTACACGCGGTGAGTCCGCGCAGCAACCAGGCTGACCTCGGCATCGCAACTCCGCTCGTCTTCTCTGCCCTTTCCTACCCTTCGATCACGTCGCTGACGCCTCCGCTAGGTCGTTGGTTCAATCGTCCCGCACGCAGGCTGTACGGCGTGACCCGCATCCCCTCGCTGCCCCACGACTGGAACACGGCCACGCCGCACCCTGCGCCCGCGCGCCACATCACCGTCATCGTCCGCGACAACTATTACGAGCTCGAGGTGCTCCGCAAGGACGGCAGCATCCTCGGCGCCGACACCATCGAAAAGGCGTTCTGGGACATTGTCGAGGATGCCAAGAAGGGCGACGGGGCCGGAGTCGGCGTGCTCAGCTCCGACAGCCGGGACACCTGGACGCACGTGAGTTGGTTGGCCGGACTCGACTGCTTCAACCGGTTCTTCAGCCGGGGGAGATCCGACCTTGAACTTGGCCGCCGACCGCTGACTGAGCGCTTCCTCTCCTATTCCTCGCACTTCCACTTGGCCGCAGACCCGGGAGCACCTGCTGACCCTCGCGCCCGTCAACCGCGCCTCCATCAACTCGATCGAGGACAGCCTGTTTTCGGTCGCGCTTGACTCGAGCGTGCTCCCCCTCGCCGAAGGCCACCCTGCGCCCCCGCACAGCGCCACCCCGGTGTGGGTTGATGCGCTGGCCCGCAACGTCAGCGGAGCGGGGCGCGCCGGACACAACCGTTGGTTTGACAAGGCCCTCACCATTACCGTCGAGCCGAACGGCAGGGCGGGCATCATGGGCGAGCACTCGCCCTGCGATGCCCTGATCCCGAGCATCATCTGCGACTTTGCTGCCGCTGAGCCGTGCCCTCCGCCGGGCAGCGAGGTGCCGGCGGCGCAGAGCTCTCCGGGCGAGAGCGCCGGTTGGAAGAAGCTCGAGTGGCAGGTCGACCAGCAGACGCAGGCGTCGATTGCCAAGTCGGAGGCGGCGGCGCAGCAGCTCATCTCCGAGTCGGACATCCGCATGCTGTGGTTTGACGAGTACGGTGCCGAGTGGATCAAGAAGTACGGCAAGCAGAGCCCGGACGCCTACCTGCAGATGGCGCTGCAGCTGGCCTACGCCAAGGTGCACGGCAAGCAGACGTCGACCTACGAGACGGCGTCGACGCGCCTCTTCAAGCACGGCCGCACCGACGTGATCCGCAGCTTCAGCGACGAGGCGTACGACTTTGTGCGCGCGATGCTCGAGGGCAAGGACGCGCAGACGTCGTTTGCGCTGCTGAGCGCGGCGACCAAGGCGCACAACACGCAGACCAAGGAGAGCTCGATGGGCAAGGGCATCGACCGCCACATGACGGGCCTGCGGCTCGTCTACCGCGCCGACGACGACGGCGAGGTGCCCGCCATCTTTTCCGACCCGCTCTTTGCCGAGTCGCAGTCGTGGAGGCTGAGCACGAGCGGACTGAGCGCGGGCGACCGCTTCGCCGGCACCGGTTTTGGCACCGGCTACCCGACCGAGTCGTACGGCATCAATTACCTTGCGGGCGGCAAGCTGCTCAAGTTTGGCATCGAGTCCAAGAACGGCGCGACGACCCTGTTTGCGCAAAAGGTGGCCGAGGCGCTGCGCGACATGCGCGCCGTCTGCGAAAAGGCGGCCCCCGTCGAGGCCGAGGCGGCGCGTCTCTGATCGGCGCAGGGCGCAGATGCCGTCCCGCTGTTCGATCGAATGTTTTATAGTAGTATACCTGGCAAGATCGGGGGGTCAGAGTTCTGGGCCCGCCGGCCAGGCCAGGCCTAACTGATGTCGTCGTCTGTCGTGCGTGTGAGCGAGTGCTCGATTCGAGTGTTCGCGCGCGGATAGCGGGGGGCACGGAAGGGTCGATGGGCGGGTCCGGCTCGCCTGCCTCGTCAAGACCTCGCCTTGCGAGTTGCGACGACTGGAAGGTCTCGGCAACGCCTGGCTCCTCATTTGGCCGCCCAGCAGGCAGGCAGGCAGTCCAGGCAGCCCAGCCAACGTCTTTTGATTGCACCCGCGGCCAGAGCGACAGCGAAGCGAGGTGGAGCCAAGAATGTGGGGAAAAGCGGTGGTGGCGAACGGAGCGGGCTCACGGGTTGGACAGACACACGAAGCGTGTGGCGCTCTTCCGCCGTGCTGAGCACCGCACCGCACCGCAGCGCAGCGGAGCAAGCTGTGGGTGTCCGAGCCTGACTCGGTCGCACGATGTTAACTCCACCGATGGACCATGGAGACCCATATCCCCGCAACCTGTTCCATGGCAGGGGGGCAAGGAGCCATTGAGCGGGGAAGAAGGGTCCAGCATGTGAAGAGAGGGCGTGCATATGGATGGCGAACGACGATCTGTGGGGCCCCCTTGGCCCCTCACCTTCCTCGGTCTGCGGGGGCACGGGGAGCGATTCTGTAACCGAAATGAAACGACGAAGTGCGATCTGGTGAACGCGCTGCCCGTGCAATGACGACGCCACCACCACCACCGCCGCCAACGCCGACGACGACGATCTGGGGACCGTACGGTACGTGTCTTAGCTTACCCTCTGACCGATGGCGAGCGGACGGCAACGGCGAAGCGACGGCTTCAGTGCGGGGTAAGTAGAGCAAGATTGTTCAAAGTCCGTCCGCCCCCACCTGGCGCCGCCCTGCCTAGCCTACAGATCGAGTAGCTGCCTCTGGAGAGATTGAGCCGAGGAGAGGAGAGGGAGGGCAAGCTTTCACGCTACCGGGCGAGGCGGCGGGTAAGCATGACACCGCCGCTGCCTCCGTCCCCGTTCGCATCGTCAAGCCGGGCGAATTCCTCCGATGTTGACCGTACGCCGACGCTGCCACCTGCGGGCCCTCAGCCTCAGCCTACGGTGGTGCGTCCCTTTGTGCAACGCAGAGGTCCAAGTTGTCGAGGCCACGGTTGTCGGTGCTCGTAGGGTATTGCAATCCGGCTCCCTGTCGCTGACGGTCGGTGCTCGTAGGCTAGGGTATTGCAATCCGGCTCCCTGTCGCCAAGGGTGCCGAGGAACAGGCAAAGGCAGGAATCAGAGGCAATCCGCATCCCAGGAACGAGGGAGCGAGGCGAGCCAGCATGGGACGGTAAAACCACCGGAAGAGACCAGTCGAAAAAAAGGTCCGATCGAGCGAGGAAGCCCTGGGCGAGAAGAGAGACAGACAGAGAGGTGACAAGCGCCCGACGTCCGAGAGTAGTGCGATGGCGGGACAGGATACTGTAGATCTACGCTAGCGATGGCGGCTAAGGCGCACCCACCGGTACACGGCATGAAGCAAGCCGTCCAGCAAGCCCGCCAACGAGCGAGCGACATTTCCCGATTGGGAAAAAGAGGTTGGGAAATCGACCCTTGGCTGGCCGTTCCATCTTTCAGGAACCTGCTCCGCGGCCTGCTTGCCACGCCAGGCCAGGCCGCCGCGCCGCACTCCGTTCCGCAAAGGCGCAACGCGAGACGTTCTTCTTGGGGCCTGCGATGACGGCGCCCATTCTCGCGTTGATTATTGGCGCCGGTGAGAAGATTGGCTCAGCACCGACCCCCCGACCTGGTGATGGAAGCTGCATCGAGGCTAGTGTCGATGAATGGATGAGGCGTGACCCCTCCGGAGCAACCCTGGGACCCTCACCCTTTGCCCACAGCGACGGGCGGGAATGGTGGACGGATCTTTCGGACGGCCCGGTCCCGGCAAGAGCAGTACATACAGAACTGTACAGTAGTAGGGTAGTGCGAATTAGTATTCGGGGACGGGTCCCATATGATGGACCAACGAACGGTGCGAACGGTGCGGCGCTGGCTACCGGCCGCTAGTGCAGGTGAGAGACTGGCGCATGTTGATGGCGGTATCGATGATGCGGCGGCAGGGTGGCGGGCGGCCCTAGCGTGCGTATCATTGGGCTGGCGCCGTATGGGGTCCTGCGTGCAGAGCGCCGCCTGCGCGGGGGAGAATGGTGCAGGGGACATCGACGGTGAGCGTGACCACGGCGCTTGCTGGCCAGGAGAGCGATGCAAGCAAGCAGGCAGGCAGGCTGCCGCTGTGGATGCGCCAAGCGAAGGCATGTGGTGGCCATCGGTCGACGGTGGCCCGCCTGGCCTTGCGTCGCTGGCGACCGCGCTGCGGACGTCCCAGGCAGCCTACACGAGGCTATCGGACCGGTATAGGACCCACGCTGGCTGGTTCAGTCGACATCGAGCAGCTGGGCTGCTACCAGCTTACAGGTACCATGGGACAGGCTGCCGATGGACAGAGGAAGGCGCAGGCAGGACGGCGAGGCAGACGACCATGTACGACGGCGATCAACGCCTAACTGGCAGGCGGTCAGATGCGCGATGACCCGCCGACGTACGGTTGTGTCGGGGAAAAAAGACAGATTAGAGCGACGCAGGGCAGCACAGGCAGGCACGGCGTCTGTCCGTCCAACGGCGGAGCCTGAATCTCGACGCCCGCCCTTCCGCCCAATCGCGGAGAAAAAAAAAAAAGAGCGAGCGAGGCTACGACCGTCACGTAACCTTGGCTGCGGCCCCCCAAAATCGAGGGTGCCCGCCATCGCAGCCGCACCTGGCCGGCCTGCTGCTGGTCTGGTCACCATCATCCGCCAGAAGAGAGGCCTGGCCAGGCACCCTCGTCGGCTCCCGCTCCGACCCGCACCACCCGAACACAACCTGACCTGCACCTGCCTGCCGCATCGTCTGCAGCCAATTTACACACGAGGTCGTCATCGACTCGACCTTCGCCCGCGGGGGCGTGCGTGCGTGCGTGCGTGTCTGTCTGCGTGCGGCCGTCTCAAGCTCGACGGCCGCCGTCGTCAAGCTACAGCCTCTCTTCTGGCCCGCAGCACCCACCCCCAAACGAGGGTGTCACCCTCATGCAGCGCTGCGGACTTGCTTGGCCGGGGCGAGCGCAACCTGCCTGCCGTCCTCTCCTGGCTCGCTCGCGATGATGCCGTCCGCGCCCACCGCCCCGACGCCGATGCCGCTAGTCGGGTCGTATGTAGGTAACCACCCGAGCACCTCTCTCGCATACAGTACAGACAGCCCCGACGCCGCCCGCCGCCCTCGCGTTGTCAAGCACCCGCCCGTCTAGACGCCTATCCTCTGCTGGCCTGGCCCGCCAGCCTTCCTGTGCCTCTAGCTCTGCCCCGGCCGCCTTTCACCTCTCGACTGGGCCGACAGACAGGCAACCGGTCCCTGTGTCCGACGCTCGTGTGCTCTTCCTTGCTCGCTCCTCCTCAGTCCACCGCCGAGAAGGTACATATACACGCCATTGCTTGCACCCTGTACCTCCTCATCCTACCTAGAAGCCAATCCTATCTCTAGACCCTCTTCCAGCCACACTCCTCTACCCACCCTACCCCAACTCAACCCCTGCCACCATGTTCAGCACCGTCGTCCGCTTCTCGGCCGCCCTCGCCCGCCAGCCGGCCAAGACGACGCTGGCGTCGGCCACCTCGCCCTCGATCACCGCGGGCCTCACGACGTCGGCCTCGACCCAATCTTCCGCCCTCGTCGCCTCGCCTTTCACCGTCAACGAGGACGGCCGCGTCTGCAGCCGCAACAGGTTAGTGTCACGCGCGCGCACACGGCGCCGTCACCGCCTGCCGTCGGGTTGCGACCGCGATGGAATATGTCTCTGACCGTCCTGCACGCCCTTGTACTCCCCATCTCTCCCACCGACTCCCGCAGGAGGCAGCACGTCTACGACCCCGAGGCTCCCCTGCCCCCCTCGGCGTCCCAGAACTGGGCAAACGCCGCCGCCAGGAACAAGGACGCCCGCGATCTCGCCGGATTCTAGACGATCCACCATCACCGTCCGTCGAGGCTTGACTCTCCCAAGACTCGGAACCCTACTTCTTGACCGCCCGTGTATTATTACCACCAGCAAGACAGGCCACCCCGCTGCCCAAGACTGGCGTCGCGCGCTCCAGAGGGGGCATCACGGCGTCTCACGCTCGCGCCTTTTCTCTCACGCGTCGCGGCCCCCTTGCAACAGCCGGCCTCCCAGCAGCATCCGTTTCGATTGCATCGCATCTCATCGCCGCCCCCTCTTCCCACATCGCATCCATGTACTCTGATGATGGCCTCCGGCACCCTTTCGACCGCTTCTCTATTCGTCGAAATCGAAGAAGGAGTTGAAAAACACACATGCTGACTCGTCCCGAATCGCGTGTCGTCGGGTGCGAAGTCGCTGCAGAGCTCTCGAAGCAGTTGGAATGTCGTCTGGCACATCGCCGTGCGCATGTCGGACGCACCTCCTCTCGTTACCCCGTACCCACTCGACGAGGATGAGATATCGCCGCGAGGAATACCGGGGGTTGGCTTCGTCCTGACCTCCTTCGTGGGGTGGGTGGCGTGAAGCCAAGAAGGAGGACAGGGAAGCACGTGGCGTCCAGGGTATCCACTGCGTCCTGTTTCGTCCTCGTCGTGCCTGCCTGCCCGCGCGCAGTCGCTCCCCGATAGACCATGACGATACACGCAGCGTGTCCGTTCTATCAACTTGGGGGACGGAACCACGAGGGGACAAGATGACGAAAGAGGGACGAGGACGCGGTGGAGGGGTTCAATCTTAGCCAGAATCAACGCATACGCTTCCTTCCTTTCCGTCCCACCCGGTTCCTCGGAGATCCACATCCAACCCACGCTGTTTGCCCCCGTCTCTCGCCCCGTTTGCTTCCCATACCCCCCGTCGAGACGGAGGAGGAATCGAAACGGGCTCGAGATGCATGAGCAGGCGAGGCAGAGGGGGCCCCGAGGAGCAGAGCAAGAGGGAATATGGCAGCAATGGAGCTTTGCTGTGAAGCACCTTGGCGCGGCTGGGGGGGGTGGGGGGGGGGGGGGACGGGGGGGAGGGGAGGGGGGAGGAGGAGGAGGGAAGGGGAGGGAAGGGAAGGGGAGGGAAAGGGGTGGGACGACGCAGCAGGAGACGCAAACGCAACTGGGCGGACTTGCAGACCTGCAGTGACCCCCCATCTGGATCATCGGTGCAAAGCAGGAACGCTGCGGTGGTATGTGATTCTCAGCGGCCGCCTCGTCGGTGACCCACTCTCTATCAGCCAAGAAAAGCCCCCGGGGCGGTGCGAGGGCATGCTGGGCGCCGTCTACTTGGCACGCTTGTAGACCTTGCCGAGGAAGAGGCGGAAGACGTCCCTCCTGAGGCCGCCGTGCTCGGCCGTGGCACCGGCGCCCTCCGGTAGCGCGTCAATGAGGGCGTTGAGCTTCTCGTAGCTCTCCTTTTCGTAGGCGGCAAAGCGGCCGGCGACGTCAATGTTGGGCGCGGCAAACACCTCCTTGACCTTGGCCTCGCACGCCGAGTCCTTGCGGCCGTAGTTGGCGTCGAGCACCGCCCGCTGCTCTGGCGTGGCGTGCGCCAGCGCAATGTTGATGTTCCACGAGCACTTGTTGTCGAGAATGTCGGTGCCGACTGGTGAGAAGGGAAGGGGAAAGAGCGGAGGGAGGGCGGCGAGGAAGGGGTCAGAGACGCGCGGGGACAGGGCCGACCAGGGAGGAAACGAGTCAGCGAGGAAGACGTGGCCCTCCAAGGGCATGGAAGGTTGAGCCGCAAGCCACGCGTGCCAACTCACTCTTGCCAATGTCCTCGGGCTTGCCGTAGCAGTCGAGGACGTCGTCCTGGACCTGGAAGTACTCGCCCATGGGGATGAGGATGTCGAGGGCGTGCTTGTAGAGGGCCTCGTCCTGGATGCCGGCCATGCGCATGGCGAGGGCGACGGGGAGGTAGAACGAGTAAAAGGCGGTCTTGTAGACGACGATGAGGTGGTGCTTCTTGAGCGAAAACTTGGAGAGGTCGACCGAGTCCTCGGGCGCGGTGATGAGGTCGATGAGCTGGCCGAGCTCGGTCTGGAAGGTGACGTCGTGGAAGAGCTCGAGGAGCATGCCGTAGTAGGGTTCGGAGCGGAAGTGCTTTTTGAGGAGGAAGTAGATGGCGGCCTCGAGCATGAAGGCGTCGTTGATGGCAATGTTGCCGACGCCGTCGACGCGGTACCAGCAGGGCTGGCCGCGGCGGGTGATGCTCTGGTCCATCATGTCGTCGGCGACGAGGAAGTAGGCCTGGAGGAGCTCGATGCACCAGCCGAGGATGGCGGCCTTGAGGTACTCGGTGTCGGTGAGCTGGCGGGTGAGGTTTCCGGTGGCGTTGTCGGTGCAGAGGATGATTTCGACCGTGTCCACGACCGAGAGGCCGCGGTTGAGCTTTCCGCCGGGGGTGTTGTAGTCGAGGTTGCGCTTGAACCAGTCGATTGCCTCTGCGGGCATCTGCTCGGACTCGAGGTACGAGGTGAGCTCGTCGACGAGGAGGGGAAAGACCTGCTCAAAGCGCTTTCGCTTCTCGATCTTGAGCTGCGCCTTGTCGGCGAGCGCCTTTTGGTCGATGTCGGACATGGTGCTGGCGGTGATGGTCGAGGCGGAGGGGACAACGGCGGGATGGTGGTGGTGGTGGCCAGGGTGAGGACGGGACCGCGGTTGGAAGCGGGGCGGTGTTGGTCTCTGCGCCTTGCCCTCTTTGCCCTCTCCCTGCCTCCCTGCCTCTCTGCCTCTCCGCCTCTTCCTCTTTTGCCCCTTGGCTCCGCCCCTTCGCGCCGCGGAAAAAGGTGGATGGCTGCAGGGAGAGGGGGCAACGCTGCAAAGTGGTCTGATCGCCGCCGCCCATTTGGGGGTTTCTTCCAGGCAGCAGGCGGACATTGATTAGGTAAGCAGCGCCGCCCAGACCAACACCGGACCGGACCAACACGCACCCTGGCTCCCAACACCCCCCCTCCCCACCACGGTACCACCACCTCAACGACCAACACTACCTCGCGCCAGGGACGGCACCCTGGACCCTGCACCCAGACATGGCCCCCTCGGTGCTCTACTACTGCCCCTGCGACCACGTCGGGCCATCCGCGGGGCCCTCGTCGGCGTCATCCTCCTCCTCCGCGACCACCGCCGCCTCGACCACGGCAGCGGCGACGGCCGCCAGTACCTCAGCTACCACGCTCCAGTTTTCCCTTCAACACCCGCCCAGCGTACCTTCGACCTCATCCGCAGCCGCTTACGCGTTCCACCCGCTCGAGTCTCTCTACTTTTGCGACGAGTGCGACCAGATCCGCTGCTCCCGCTGCGTCGCCGTAGACATTGCCGCCTACTACTGCCCAAACTGCCTCTTCGAGGTGCCACACGCCAGCGTAAAGCAGTCGAGAAACCTATGCGCTCGCAACTGCTTCCTTTGTCCCTCTTGCACACATACTCTCTCGGTCGTCGCCACCGACATCGACGATGACGAGGCCGCAGGCATCCCCCTCACCTCGCCAGATGCCAGCATGGGCAGGCCTCCCTACTTTCTCCAGTGTCCGTTCTGCCTCTGGGACAGCAAGGGTGTAGGCCTCACCTTTGAAAAGCCCACCGGCCTCGGACGCCAGCTTGACAAGCTCGAACAGAGCGCACCCGACCTCCTCGAGCTCTACCACCTCCGTGACCACTTCGACCCCTTCATCACCGCCCAGACCGATGCCGCCCAGGCAGCCGCCGCCCTCGCTCAGGGCAGGCAGGTATCGGCCGCTGCCGCCGCTGGAAAGTCGGGCTCCGGCTCCTCGTCCTCTGCGGCCGCAATGGCAGGCACAAAGTCCAGAGCGTCCGGCAACGCCTCCTCGCTCGCTGCCTCGGCAGCGCTGCAAAAGTCAAAGCTGCTCCGCGATATACCCCAGCTGGCTTCAGGGCGCTACCTCACCGGCGTGGCAGAGAAGCCGAGACCTCATCGCAGAGAGGAAAAAGAGGAGCTCAAGCCCTACGACGCCTTCACCAGCTGGACCAGCGGCAGGACGCCCGGCCAGTACAAGGGCGTGCTGGGTAGGAGGGAGGAGTCGCGGTACGACTACCTTGCATCCTTCGCCGGCTCCGACGCCCGCATCTCGACGCTGCAGCAACGCTGGACGAGCCCGTGGGACCAGCCGGTGCGCTCCGCCGACCTGCCGCCCACCAGGGTGGCGCTGCGGTGCAAGCAATCAAAGAGGTGCCCCACTTGCCGCCACATCATCATCAAGCCGGACCTCAAGGCCGAGTCGCGCCGCTTCAAGATCAAGCTGGTGGCGTTCAACTACGTACCAGAGATTGAGCTCGAGCTAGCGGCGATACAGCCGTACCTCCAACCTGCCGGTGCCGGTGGATCGAGTGTTGTAGGCGCTGCAGGGTCGAGGTTGAGTCGACGGACGAGCATGCTTGGCATCTCTTCGGGCAGCAGCAGCCTGCGGCGCAGGCCCATCAGCATGCTCGGTGGTGGTGTCGGCGGGGGCAGCGGCATTGGCGGCGGCGGGAGCGGCTCTGGCTCGTCGCTGAGCACCTCGAGCCTTGGGCACGACCTGGTCGATGAAGAAGCCCTGCAGGCGGGCAAGACGTACGTGTTTGAGGCGACGTTCACCAACCCGCTCGACGACGCCATGCGGATAAAGCTCGGCCTTCCGCGTACGCCGCCTACGCCGCCGGTGCCGCACTCGAGCACGGCAACACCCATCATGCCGGAGCTGGAGGCGACGCAAGACGAGCAGAAAGAGCGGGCAAACGAGGCGGCGATGGCGAGCCGAGCCAACTGGTCCGTCAGCCCTTCGACGACGTCGTTCGGCATCCACGCCTACAACGAGGTGTGGGACCTTGACGAGGACGATCTGCTTGGCGACAGCGGGGCGAAGGAGGGATCATCAGAGGACGAGGTCGAGGAGGAGGAGGACGACGACGAGCATGAAGACGAGGAAGAAGACGGCGGGATGCGAACGCGGCGCAAGAAGAAATATTCGTCATCGTCTGGCATCGTGCGCCGCAAGGGGCATACGACGACGATTGCGTTCGACGTCACGCTGGGCAAGGAGATCAAAGAGGGGACGGAACTGCAACATCCCGTGCTCGTGACGTACACACCCCACCCTGAATCCAGCGGCGGCGGCGGTGGCGGTGACAAGGTGGAAACCGCCGGCAGCCCATTCACGTTCTGGACCGTCCTGCGATTCGGCAGGGTGGGGAAGAAGGTGGACGTGGCGGCCATGAAGAGGGCCACTTTGGAGAAGAGGAGGAGCGTGCTGGGCCTCTCCTCTGCCTCATCGTCTCCGCTTCCATCATCGACGGCGGGCGGATCGTCCCCTACGATCCCTGCTAGTGCGGCGATGGGACCGGGTGGAGAGAGGGCAAGCAGGACCGGATCGATGAGAGGGCTGGAGGCCGTGAGGGAAGGCGCGAGGGACAGCGTGCCCGAGGTCGAGGAGGAGTGAGGCGTTGCGATGCGGTGCGGTGCGGTGCGGCGCAATGTGACGGAGTTTGACCCGCCCACATCGGGGTGCATCACGCGTAGCTAGCAGACAGAATGACGAGCAGAGAGTGTCGCGCGAGAGGCATGCCGGCAGGACATCAGGCGAGGCTGGCTCTGGCTGCCTCGGCATAAACGACCGGACTCCCAGCTCGACGGCGCCAGCAGGGCGTCGTTCCTTGGCGACATCCAGCGCCCCTAATTGTCATCGTCTTCACATTCATACGAGCGTGCTCGATCCCCGCATCGTGATGATCGTCATTCTAACCCGGCCTATAAGCTCTACGAACATCCACACTGACACTCGCTAGCCAGGTCGGACATCTGGAGGACTGACCAGCCTGCTCGTCTGAGCCCTTCTCGACAAGAGGTCTAACAACTACTGCCGATGCCAAGCGGACGGATTCCGCCCCGAGCTTCATTTGTGCAACCACCCGCCCGTGCCTCGGTGACCACACACCCACGCATGGCCTGCGCTGGGAACGGGGCTGGAGCCACTTCTAAGCGGATACTGTGCGACCACCGCCCGCTGGCGACGGTACCAGGAGGTAAATCCGCCCGCCACCGTATGCTCGCGTTGCACGCGCTGGCCTCTGCACCAACCCCCCTGGAGCGGAAAGCTGCAAAGCAGGCCGCGACCTGCGACCGCTCCGCCCACCCACTTGCGGCTCATGAAGACATGCAGCCCGTAGCGGTCAGACAGGATCAGGCAGGCAGGCAGGCTAGTCGTCGATCGCCGTCCGCACGGTCCCCTTCATTTCGCGGCAGCAGGGCAAAGCAACGGAGCCCGCCGACCTGGCCTTCTGGAGGTGCAGCTGGGCGGACAACTCGTCTTGCACCACCACGGCCGCCACCTCGCTCCTCCTGGAAGCCTTTCCGCACTTGGATCAACCGCCTGTGCTGCCCGGCGCCCTTGGATCTACCTGCGCAGGTAGGATGCAGGCCCGTCGCCGTGCGCCCTCCCTTGTCTTGTCCTACCCTTGGCCACCCACGTTAAGGTTTGGACCAGACAGCGCACCGTCGTGGCCAGGATGCAGCCCAAGTCTCCCAGGAGGGACTCAACATCATCGCTCTCTTCGATCTTCGCCACCGACCACGAAGACGAAGGCAGCACGCGCGACCCACCCGTCCGGCGAACCTGGATCAAAGTCACAAAAGCACGACCGACACGTCCCCCCGCGCCTCCTCCATCCCGACCGGCCAACAGCTTCATCCTCTTCCGCGGCGACTTCAGCCGCAACTACCGCCAGCAGAACCCCAAGAGCAGGACGACCTCGCAGCTGATCAGCCAGATGGCCAGCAAGGCCTGGGCAGAGTCGTCGGAGGAGGTCCGCCAGCAGTACGGCGAGCTTTCCGTTGCTCGGGCCCGGGAACACAGGCAGATGCTCGCCGCCCATCAGGCTGACAAGCCGTGCGCAGTGGCGCAGTCCGGTGCTGCGGTGACCGCCACCACCGGTGCTGCCGATGCTTCCGCGGCATCGTCCGACGCTGCGACACGCGTGACCGCAGCCGCTGCCAAGCGGTGGCGGAAGGTCTCGACAGCATCGCAGCGGAAGCGCAAGTCGATCGACGCCGCCCTGGAGGCAGCGACGCCCAGCGATCCGGCAGTGGCAGCACCGCCCATCGAGCTGATCAAGCGTAGCCCAGCTAAGAGAGGGAGGCGGAGTCTGGATGCTTTGCAGACATCCTCGCAGTCGACCGGCGCGAAAGCATCTGCTCAAAACACGAGGAGCCGCTCACAGTCGGTGTCTTCGGCGGTACATGCTCGAGCATCGCAGCCCGACCAGCCCGAAAAGGCACAGCCGCCTCCCCTTCCCGTCGGCCAAGCTGTGACGACTGAGGGCAAGGAAGACCTTGTGGACGGCCTCTACAAGGCATTGGGACCGGAGAAGGCGCGGAAGCTGGCCGAGTCCCTGAAGCGGCGCGGCTGGACGGTGCCCTCGCTATCGCAGACCGATCAGCACAGTTCCGGTCCTGGCTCACAGACGGCTCCGCTCCCGCGCCGTCCAGAGGAGTTCGGGATGCAAGCGCCACACATCACCCTCCGGACTCGTAACGCTGCTGACCATGCAGCCTTGCAGGACTGGACAGTGACTTCGTCATACAGCGCAACCGCCCCTCGGCCAGACGGCACAGCGGCTCCGTGGGAGGTGTTTGCCAACCACACCATGTGTCAAGCCCCTCCGCGAGCATACTACTCGGATGCGATGCTCGAGCAACTTGGCCTTCTCACGGCTCCGCCTGACACCTGCGCAGGGCAGGCCGCACCTGACTTCGACATCGCCGAATCGCACGCAGCTGATGGAGCAACAAGCGACACGATCCAACCCAAGCAGCACGAATCGCCTCGAGACGGCCATGACTACCGCGGCAAAATGGCGGCAGATCCTTCGCACCAGTACGACATCTTCGATCCGTTTCAGCAGCAGCCAGCGGATCTGCCAGCGGCCGACGGATATGGCCTTCCGCAGCGGCAGCTCCATCAGCCCACGATAGCGTCGACCAACGAGTCAGCCGTCATCGACGATCTTCTCCGCGCCATCTTTCCAGAGACCTCGCAGCCGCGGCTCGACCCGAACTTCGCCACCGAGCTCAAGCTGTTCTCACAACCTCCAAAGCTTGACTCGGATGCAAGCGTGCAAGCTACGTTCAGCAGCTTTGACCGGCAGGATCACCCTCTTGCTCAGACAGCTGTCTGCGAGGCGAACGCGTATGGCGAGTCGTGCACTATGTTGAGCAACTCGGCAGCGGCCGGCGCTGACCACGGCGCGACCGACCTCATGCCGGCCTTCGACATGCCTGCCGCAATTGACCAGCTGCCAGTAGTGTCAAGTCCCAAAGTCGAGGTCCGGAATCAGCCGTTCACAGCAGCTGAAGGCCGTGTTGATGACCTCTTGGGCGAGGTTGGGGCAATGCCCGACAGCTCTCTGCTGCTGACGCAGACTTTCGACCCTCCGATGCTCGGTCCGCTGTTCTTCGACGTTGCCTCCTCGACACTAGCCACGACGCCAGCTGCCGACGCCACGCGCGCCCAGACTCAACAGCAGCAACCGCCGGGCACGCCATCCGGGACGCCGACCCGCAGTCAGTCGCTGCGACATCGTCGGCAGCAGTCGCGCAGCAAGTCGCCGGGACGCAAGGAGCGGCATCAGCGACGCAATTCGCACGCCCCCACCTCGATGCCCTTCTCTCCGCCCGTCACTGGCGTCGACTCGACCTGGCTGCAGGACTTCCTGGATCAGACGGCGGTGCACGCCGCGCCGATGCACAACTTTAGCCGTCCACTCTCCATCACCTCTCCGCCTCCCACGGCTGCGCCGAACCAGGCGCCGAGTACGGTGAAGACCGATACTGAGGTGCCGGAGTGGGGCAGCTGGCTGCAGAACCTCGATCCATCGGCTGGCTACGGCGGTCCGAGCTTGGGCCAAGCGGCTTCGACGATCTCAGCACCGAACGCGGTGCCGCCATGGCACCCAGTCGCCGACTCATTGAGTCCGATCAAGGCACCGTCACCGGTCATCATGAATCACAACTATCCCTCAAGCAGTTCGGCGCAACAGCCGCACCACGCGCACGACCTCGGCGACGCCTCCGCCGCCCCACATCATCCGGCCGCCTCATCAGGAGCAAGGTCGAGTCTCGAGGCGGCCATGACCTTCCGCCGCCAGATCCCGCCGCCCTTGTCTCTGCACAGTCCGCCGTCCTCCACGACGTCCACCGGTGGCGGAGCGAGCACGGGCAGTACCACTGACGCGACGTCGACGTCGGCGTCGACGTCGAAGCTGGCCAAATGGGCCACAAAGGCGACGCAAAAGTCGCGCACCCTCCTTGACCGCTTCAAGTCGACGCCGCTCTCGCCGCACCGGCAAGCTCAGCACGGAGCCTTCTCCCCGCCTCCGAATGTGTTGCCGCGCCCGCTTTTCGTCTACCTGGACGAGACGGCCGAGGCTGCAGAGGGGGAAGGGCAAGCGCAAGCGCAAGGGTCGGCACCGTACCCCTCCTCGGCTTGCCTCACTGCCATTGAGACTGTTTCTGTGCCTCCAGATACGGCCTCGTTTTCGCTAGAACAGCAGCAGCAGCAGCCACAGCAAGCGGGCAAGGTGGAACAGAGGGGAGGAGGAGCAAGGCAGACGACGCCCGTTGCGGAACAGCCGACCATCAAGCTCAACGGGGAGTACACGCGCGAGGAGCTGCTAAGGCTCGTCCAGGGACGAATCTGAAGCGCGTACTTGGAAGGGAAGAGAAGGGAAGGCAAGGGGCGGGCTGCGACTTCACCGACAAACTCCACGAGATGGTCACGACCCACAGACGACCATGTACGAAGCCAACGACTTGTCATTTCCCAACGCGGTCCGGTCCCCTAGTGCAGATCGAGGTTGGCAGGCTGGCCAAAGAAGGCGAGCGAGGAAGGAGGCGCGGTACTCGCGTCCTGCATCCTCTCGGCGGCATCGCGGTGCTGCTCCTCTGCACCTCCCGGCGTCGGTCCCTGCTGCTGGACGATCATGGACTCGTGCATGTTCGGCCCGTGCGTCGAAAAGGGTTGTTGGGGATACTGGTAGCCGAGGGGAAGATCGAAGGTGGAGAGCGGGGAAAAGAGGCTGTCGTTCGCTTGCTGCTGCTGCTGCTGCACCGTCTCTTGGGCCCTGTGCATCGTCGACGACGGTGGAGAGAAGAGGGGGCTGGAGGAGCCGGCCATACCGCTCGGGGCACAGTTGAGCGGCGTGTAAGGAGAGGCGCCGAGTAGGGGTGTGCCGCCGAGCTGGTGGTGCTGCGACGAGAGCGCAGTCGAGGCCGGCGCGCCGTGTCGGACGGACGAGACGTCGTCGAGGTGCGATCGCGGAGTCTGCATCGTCGTCTCCCCGCCACCGCCTCCCGTCGAGGACGGCTGGGCCTGGTAGTGATGCGATGGCGGAGCGTGAAGCAGGTCCGGATGGCAACCTCGCTGGTACGCGCCCAGATCGTACGCGGCGAACGACAACGTCCAGTCGACGTCGAATGTCGCGGGCGTAGTCGTGCCGCCGCCGCCGCCGCCTTCCACGCCTACACCGAGCCTGGCGGTGCCGATGGTGTTGGCCGCAGTGTGGCTGAGCGGAACCGGGTAGGTCGAGACGGTGCACCTCCTCCTCTTTTCGGACATCACCGCCGTCGAAGTCGCCATCGCCGCCGGGGGAGGACCCGTGAGGGGCCTCCTCAGATCGGCAGGATGCGTGACGCCCCTCTTGACGCTTCGACCCGTCCTTGCCGTGTCCTGCTGCGTCGCCATGCAAAGGGGCGTGGCGGCACCGAGCGCACCCACCCTCGACCGCATCCCGCGGACGATGCCGATCAGGACGCGGCGATGCTCGGCCGCGGCGAGATGCAAGGGTACGAGGTGCCGGAAGCTGTTGATTGCCTCCTCGGCCTCGTTCAGCAGCTGAAAGGCGTTCGCCTGCTGATCCTTTGCTGCGCTCGAAGCGAGGAAGCCACCTGCGACGATGAGATACCGAGAGTACTCTGCCGTGGGTCCAGTCATGAGCCAGAGGTGCCGCAAAGGCGTCAGTACGGCAGTACGAACGACCGATGCAAAGACGGCCGTGCTCACCGGCAAGATAGTGACCCGGCGGCATCAGCCTGGCCGTCCTCGACGTCGCCTTGATGATGTGCAGCGCCGTCTGCGTGCATCGCGCCAGGTCCGTCTTTTCCTGCTCGATGCTCGACATGGTCTGAAGCAGGTTCGAGTCGCGGAGGAGCGTCATTTGCAGGTGCATCCGGGTGGTGTGAAGCTGCCAGGTTCCCCATGGTACAGCAGGAAGCGGATCGAGCATGTCAGACGAGACTCGCTCCGCAGCAGCTCGATGGCGTGTGGTCGGAGGCTCACCTGTGAATAGGCCACGCAGCTCTGGACGGTGAGGGCGTCGGCCGGATCCTGACTTCCGTCCCTGCTCCGCAACGTCTCCGGTAGCGAGGCCTGCCACGAGTCGAGTGCAGCATCGTGGGTTCGCAGCTTCTGCAACAGCGCGACCTCGGCATGCACGTTGCCGCGCACGCGGGCCTGGTGCAGCTTGGCGATCGTCCGGGCGACGCGACCGGCCTGCCGAGTAAGGCAGATGAGCGCGATGAATCCGGGCATCAGGCTGAGAGGAGGGAGGCAGAGTCGGGCGGGACGAAGGCGGTCCGACGTCAGTGAAGAGCCGGCCTTGGCGAGGCATCGAGGACGAGAACCTTGCAACTCACAGCTTGAGAGAGTCGCGGTCGCCAAATGGCAGCTGGGCGTCGATGTGATCGTCCTCGATGCCGAAGGGCCTGCCGAGGCTGATGCCAAGCAGCCTGTCCATGACGTATACGCACCACCAGGTGCGCCGACGCAGCTCCCTGTCTTGAGGCGAGAGCGTAGCGTGGTCGACGTTGCGATGCAGACCGAGGTCCTGGGCCAGGCGCGTCGCGTGACCAGCGCAGATCCAGGCCTTGGCGGGAGAGCCTGTAGACGCCATGTAGTACGCCTGCAACAATGCGAGCTGGACAGTCTCGATGCGCGGTTCGGCCAAGCAGCGGAGGCCAAGGTCGTGGCACTGCGAAAAGTACGACGATGCGGCGCCCGCCCGACTACCGAGTGGCGAAGCGTCGAAGCCGCCGGAAGCGCAGAACGGGGCCTCGGTCACGTTGTTCTGGCCCGTTTCTCCGCGCTCGAGCTGGCAGGACGCAAGCTCACCGCATGCCAGCAATGCCGAGACCGTGGCGAGCAAGGCGACGTCAGCCGTCTGGCTGGCCGCCGAAGGTGCCTGAAAGAGACCCTCGTATGCGGCGGTGAAGCTGTCCCGACAGAGGACCGGAAAGACGGGATGGATGCGGTCAAAGAAGACCTGGACGAATCGGTCGCTCACCGACCTGTGCGGGAGGGTGATGCTGCCGGTCTCGCCGAGGGCCGAGGAGGGCGGAAACGTGGATGCATCGTTCGAGCCGAAGAAGAGGGAATCATACTGAGTCCGCCCCACGGCGACGCCGCCAGGGTTGCCGGGGGCGCACGCGCTGCTGGCTTCGCTCAGATCCGTGACCAGCGCAAGGGTGGAGCCAGGCCCAGCGTATCTCAGGTGGTGACTGTAAAGGCGAGGAGAGCAGGAATGTCAGACCGTCGTAGCAATACGCGGATGGGGCCTGACCACAGGGGTGTCCATGCTCACTCTCGGTCGGGCCTGAGAACGCCGAGGTCGCGCCGATCGTCGATGCCCGTCGAGTTTGGCTGCACGCTTGAGGGGTTGAGGTCCATGCTGTGATCCTCGCGCTCTTCCTTGGGTTTCGGCAGGGGTGGTGGTGCAACCATCTCGGTGACAGGAGATGCGGCGTCTGACTGCGACGCGTTACCGTCCGCCAGCCGCAGCCCTTGGACCATCGAGGAGTACAGGGAAGGGGGCTGCAAGTGAGCTTGGAGCCGCCGAGAGGAGCTGAAGCGTCGCTGGTGGGCACACTCACGCTGGTCGTCGCAGGACAGAAGGAAGGCCTGCTCCATCTTGGCCAGACGCTGCTCGAGCGACTCAACGTACCTGTCGGCGGGGAATGAGCGGGCCATGCGGCACGGCCGATGAGGGTTTCAGCAGGATTTTGGTCGAGTGGGGCGAGGGCATGGTGGACCGACTCACCTCCTACTGTAGGCCGTGCGGTCTTTTGTATCGGCGTAGTGGCATTCCTCGACAAAGGCGATGCAGTGGCTGCACGGCTTCTTGCCGTTGCACTTGACCTTCTTGCGCCGGCACACCTCGCAGGCGCGGTAGACTCGCTTGCGCACGCTGCCGCTGCCGCTGCCGCTGCCGCTGCCCTCGGCCTGGTGCGAGCACGATGGCGGCGCGGCGCCCTCCGACATGGCGCGGCTCGAGTCAGACTGCGGCGAAGACTGCTCAAGCGGTACGCTGTGCGCGGATCCCGCGTCTTCCAGCGGGAAGAGCGAGGCGGACATGGCAAAGTCGCCCTGAACGCCGCTGTCTCCGTTGGGTGACATTCCGGTGTTCCTTTGAATATTGCTGAGGTCGTGTGGCCGTGTTTAGGGTCTTGGATGCAGCTGGGAACGGGCACGAGGCTCGCAGGAAACTTGTCGCTGCTGACGAGGACGACGTGTCGCGATGGGGTGTGGAAAGGCTGGTTGGGCCACAAGGCTGGGAGGTTGCCTGGTTTATATGCCTAGCTCGACCGCGTGCGGCTCCATGGACGAGGCAGGAGGGACATCTGGCTTCGCGCGAGGACGTCCATGAGCAGTGTGGGCCATCATGCGCACAGCCTGCTGCTCGAGCGCGGTAGGAACGGAGCGAGCAGGGGAGCGAGACGAGGTGGTGGGACCCTAAATCGATCCGATGCGGTACTGGCGGGACTGGCCATCTCTCGCCTGGCAATCCGGCCAAGTAGCCGCGCGACGGCATCGGAAGCTTGCTTGGTAAAGGCCGCCTCGCTCAGCGCGCCCCTTCCGGTTGTGGCGTTGACGTTGCCTCGGAGGTTATGTATGGCGGCGGAGGTTGCGGAGGCAAGCGACCGCCAGGAATTGGCCGCCCTAAAAGCGCAGCGCCCAGGGTCCCCGCTTGCCGCCTTCGACCTGCTTCATTACGGCCGGAGGGCAGCTTCATTCTGCGTGGGAGAGCTCGGCTTCGGCGATCGCCGCCGTAGGTCGTAGGGGGCGACAGGCGCAGTAGCCACAGGGACCTTTGCTGTAGGCTGTTTGCCGTCATCATTATTGTCATACATCTGCCTCGTGCGGTTCGCATCATGGGCCATGGAGCTGAGCGAGAGAGAGAGGGGAAAGGAGCACGAGGCAGAGCGCATCCCAATGTTGATGGGACCATGTAGCAAGGCGTGTGTACCGATGCTCAGTCAAGGCTACCTTGCCTCACCCTCTGGCTCGAGCGGCCAAGGAAGAAGTAGCAGAAAGCGCCTCATTTGGCCTTGCGGCCAGTCGGAAGTTGGAGGATATTGTTTGCCAGCCGCAGCCTACGGCGCCAGAGTTGCGGCGTCGGTGGCCGCTCGGTGCGTCTGTTGCGTGCAAGCTAAGGCTTGCTGACCTCTGCATGTAGAGCGGCTCAAAACCCCAACGAGGTGCGGGAGGGCACCAGGCAGGCAGGTCGAGTTTGCTGCATGTACATACGTGGCTGAATCGGCTGCTCGTGGGCCACGGCCCGAGGGTGCAGCCAGCGGCGAAATGAATCGTTTTGGGTTATTGTTCCTGAGGCAGATCCGGCCGTTGATCGACAGCATCATCTGCACGCCGTAGCGGCCAGGCACTCGTCCCGCCGCAATGGAGCGGCCCTGCTACCATCGATACGCCCTAGCCCGGGGCCCACCCCGCCCGCTTTTTGGCCCGTCTCGACGCGTCGCCTCGTGTACGTGTGCCTGCGCGGCGGGAGGCCCGAAGCAGGTCTGCGTGGTGTGGGACCCGGTGTGTGTCAGAGCAGGCCCGGAAGGGGGCTGCTGGTTGCCGTGTTCACGTCTCTGGTTGCAACGTCCTAGCGTTGTCGGCACTCGCGGGCCGGGCGGTCTTCAGCGGAGGGCGGTCAGGGCGTGAAGGAGGTAGCGACGCACTGCCTCATGAAGTATCGCTCAGTGTCGCTCAGAACAGTCGAGCGGTAATCATGGAAGGCCATGTCCATGTCCGACTGCGTAGCCAGCCGCCGCATCGCGACGGACGATGGCACAAGCAAGCCGCGGCCCGCTGTGTGGCTGACTCCAAAGGCAAGCGAGCATGCGAGTTAAGGCTAAGCTGGCGGCAGAGCGCCTCGCCCGTGGTCGAGCGGGTAGCGTCGGCCTCGAGAGCTTCGGTTCAGCCTGCCCCGCAGCCAGGTCGGGCATAGAGGGCCAACGTCGGCCTTTCGGCTTCGGACTCGTCTGAAGAGCTCCCCCTTTGGCCAAAGATCGCTCTCCGATGTGGGCCCCGGTTCGGTGTGGCTTTCCGGCAACTCGGGTCCCACCGATGCGCAGGAAACATGCTGCAGGTAATGAAGGTTGGCGCAATGGCGCCCACTCGGCGGACGGCAGAGCCGGCCGTCAAGGTACGTCAAAACGTCACCAGCTTGGATTCCGATCCCACTTGTACGGGAGCGGGCTTAGGAACGGTGTCCAGTGTCTCTCAACTCGTCCTCGCCTTCCTTGTTCAATCCGCCCTGCCTTGGGTCGTAATGCTCTGTTCTCCTCTCGAGATCGAACGAAGATCGAGGAAGAGTGGAGCTCGCGTGCAGGCATGAGCCCGAGCAGTTCTGAGATAGCCAGGACGATTGATCGATAGGGGCATGCTGAGGCGTAGCTGAAGTGGGACCATCTACGCCCGCAGCGCAGCCACGCCACCGTCGAGCCGCGGCACGTCGGTAGCTTTTAGGGTGGCTTTAAGCTCGGCGTTGGTTAAGCGGCAGCAAAGACCCCTTGCGCCCTCGACCGCTCGCGGCGGCAGCGGCCTTTCGACAGGTCGCAAGACGCCGCGCTGCACCTCGAGATCTGGACCTAGCTGTTGCTCTAGCTCTTCGCGCATGGCCCGAGTCGAGCCGTCGAGTTGGAAGAGGCAGATGCGGTACCGGATCGTGCTCAGCGGCCGAGCTCGATGCCCAACGTCCTGGAAGATTTGGCCGGTGCGCCCCGACCGAGGTAGGCTGCGCGAGCATCGCACGACGCCGCCTCGCTCCTGCGGCAACACTGTATAAGGCTACGTCCAAGAAGCGGCCGTTGGGTCTGTCCGATCCCATCTCTGAGGCGTCGAGATTAACACCCGCAGCCATCGGTCGGTGGCTGCGTTGTCGTCGTGCGATGCATGTCTGGCTGGGGGAGAATATAGTACACGGATGGTGGGCCTGTCTTTCCGTCCGGAACCTCGCCCGTACGGTATGGATGTGACGGCGACGTTACCGAAGCCGAAGGTCGAGGGGTTGCCCGCGCAGTACCCTGGCGTTGGGCGAAGCCGCGCAGCGATGCGCCTCAGAGCTCTTCAATCACCAGGTCCTCGTCGTCCGAATCCAGCGGCTCCTCGGCTCCGACGTCCTCCTGCCTCGACTCGGCGTCGTCCTCGAGGTCCTTTGCAGTGGCATCCGACTCGTCCCGCTGAAGAATGTTGACGAGGCGCACGACGGCCTCGGTGATCTTCTCGTCCTTTTCCACCAGATGCGCGGACCGCAGCACGACGTAGGCGCCGCGCGCCCGCAGGCACTGTCGGCCGTAGAGGTTGGTGCAGAGCAGCAGCAGCGACTCGACCAGCATCAGCCGGAGCGCAGGATCCCGCTCCCGCTTCTTGTCCTCTGGCAGCATCTGGCACTCTTCCGGCAGCGTCTCCTGGTCCTCGAAGTCGACCTCGGCCATCTCGGCGCCGTCGCAGAGCGGCAAGAGCAGGTAGGGCAGGATGTCGACCGAGGATGGTGGTCTCGTGGTGGCCCGCAGCGCTCCCCGCAGCATCTCGTCCTCTCCCTCCCTTGCCGGCGGAGGAGCAACCAGCAGCTTGTGCGCCGACTTGACAAAGAGGATGTTCCTGCAAGGTTTCAGGGCGACGAGCGACAGGTCAGTCGAGTCGCTCGCTTTGCAATCTCAGTCAGGCCCGGATCGGACCGGTCCGGCACTCACTTCATGGCGCTGATGACGCCTCCGCGTCGGATCAGGTTGGGGTGCTCGGTGAAGGCCATGATGCGCGCGACCGGATACTCAGTGGCCGCAGGCAAAGCCCCGTCAGTGGTGCTGTCGGCCTTGGCCGCCGCCGCCTGGGCCGATGCTGATGCGGCGGCCGACGAGGCCGAGAGCGGTGCGACGAACCAGTCGCGACCCCTGGGCAGGACGGTGACGTTGGCAAAGACGCTGGCGAGGAAGTTGCAGTTGGTCTTTCGCCGGATCCGTGGCCGACCGTCGGGGCCCTTTTCGACCTCCTCCTTTTCCTTTGTGCCGTCCTCGTTCTTGGCCGCCTCCTGGATGCGCTTCTTCATCGCCTCGAGGGTGCTGCCCTGCGAGTCGACGGTGGCGCCCTCCTCGAAGGCGTCTAGGAGGCGCGCCATGGCGGGCACCTGCTCCTCGGACTGGTTCGCCTGGTCGACGAGGCGCTTGGCGTACGACTCGGCGGCCGCCTTTTTCCTGGCGTACTCGGGATCGCTGGGCTCGACGTCCATGCCGGACACGGCGGCGTCGAGGTCGGCGGTGGGGATGAAGTCGTAAAAGGGGCGCGCCTGGACGCGGAGGTCTAGGAGCTCGGCGCAGATGGGCTCGACCTTTGTCAGGTTCGAGAGGAGCATGCAGGCGAGGTCGGCCAGCAGCGAGACGGGGTCGGCAATGTAGTGCACGAGGAACTCGAGGAAGCGTGCGTCACCGATGCGCCTGGCGACGACCATCGAGTCGGAGAGGTTGATGAGGGCGCTAAAGGCATCGTGGGCGGTGATGGGCTGGTCCTGGCAGAGGCGCTTGAGGTCGTCGATGGTGTCGACCTCGTTGCCGTCCCTGCCGAGCAGCGGGGAGCCGTCCGGGTTCTTGTGCTTGGACAGGAGCAGCGAGCGGTGCGGGCTGGTCTGGGCGCTGAAGCCGACAATGTTGCTCAGCGCCACCTGGCGCACCTGGGCGTTGGGGTCCGTCAGGAAGGTGAGCACCTCGAGCTCGGCGGCCGAGGGCTGCGCCGATGCCTTTCTCGTCGTCGTCGTCGTCGCGGCGGCCGGCATGGTGGCGGTGGGTGCGTTTGTGGCGATCGTGTCGTCTTCCGAGGTCGCCAGCGTCAGCGGGTCGGGCAACAAGCCAAGGGGAAGTCGAGGTGGTGATGGAGCGACGACGGCAACCAAAGCAGGCCTCCCCCTCTGCTAAACGCCGGCGGGCCACTTGGAATCTGGAATCCTGGAATTTTTCCCCCCCGCGCCCCGCCTCTTTCGCCGAGCTTCCAACCCGTCGAAAAAGAGTCGAAAAGTGGAGCAGGCAGGACAGGCCCCCGCCTCGCTCCGCTCCAATTCCACCTCGCCCCTCCTACCGTCCAGAGACGTCAGGCACGCAAGCCCATTCAGTCATACACCTTTTCTTGTCTGTTCTTTCGCACCCGAAAGGGTTGCATACGAAAAACGATATACGATACAGAGAAGATTAGCAACTGAGCCTGCAGAAGGATCCAGTACTTGATCAGAAGAGTAGTTCCTTCGGGAACCTATATGTTTTTGGTCGCCGTCCATCCCCCATCCCCTCGACGGCGAGCGGCGACGGGGGATGGAATGGGCATGGGCTGGGCTGGCATCGTCGACGGCGAGCGGCGACGGGGGATGGGGATGGGCTGGGCTGGCATCGTCGACGGCACTCGACGGCGAGCGGCGAGCGGCGACGGGTGACGGGGTGGCATGCCGATGAGGGGAGGGTGATGGTCGGCAAAGGGGAGGGTTGGTGGATGGCCTTGCGGGGGACCCGGCGTGCGGCGGGCCCTGCAGACGACGACGACCATGGCGTGAGGCCTGGGCTCTTGACATTGCTGGCCTCGACGTGCGATGGCCTTGCAGGTGACGAAGACGAAGGTGACGACGACGGCGACGACGACGGCGAGGTTGATCCTGGGAACCGACCTCGCCGGGCCATCGCGTGCTGTGCCGGCGGTGCTCAGGGAGCTATGAGAGGACGAGCCAGAAGAGGCAACCGTCCGTGTGTAGGGTGGTGGTGAACACCATAGGTACGTGTATAGCAGCCCTCGCCCCGGTAGGGCTTGGGGACCTACCTGCCTCGGCGGACGAGGTGGCCATGAAGAAGGGGAAAAGAAGGAGGGCGACGCTCGACGGGGCGATGGGGGCCCAGCCTTTTTAAGGCACTCCTTGCCTCTCCTCGAGGTCTCGTTCTGCCACCCACATCGAGGGCGGCCGCTGGAGAGAGACTGCTGGAAGGCCTCGACGACCTCGGCCCTATGACTGGGCCCCCCCCACATCCGATGAGGATGCCCCCTACCTTCGTCATCCCCCCTTCAAACAATACCAGATCTGCCACGGGATCCGTGGGCCGGCAACGATGTGCCAGGGTGACCGAGCGTCGCCGTGACGAGGGTCGTGACAGGTGGTCACGCCAACGCAGCACCATCCACGCCTGCACCGCCGGCCCCGTGCCCGAAAGGGGGCTATCATGACCGGGCATTGCCGGTCATTCTCTCCTCCTCCCCTCCCGCATCGATGCTCGGAGCCCAGTGAAGTCAAAACTCGCTTGCCACGGCGACACCTGGTCAAGAGGAGGCGGCCGCGGCAGCTATACGCCCTTCCGGAATATCGGCGTACGATGCGGGTCGAGCCCGGTGGCTTGCGAATGGGTGCGTCTAAAAGTACAAGGAGACCTGGAGCTGGCGGAAAGGAGTGTGTGTCGGTACTGCGGAAAGAGGTGAGTTGCGGACACTGTTCGATGGGCGAGGCGGCCGGGCCCAAAGGTCGAGGTGGTCGCTCCGTCACTTCATGTTGGCAAACTCGCCGACCTTCTGGAAGCTGGCGCTTGACCCCTCGGCGGCGGGCGCCGTTGGCTCGGTCTCCATGTCGGCGTCGGCGTCGGCGGCGGCGGCGTCGGACTCGACCGGGCTAGACTGCTGTACTGGTGCGCCGTTCTTGAGCGCGCCCTGCGCCTCGCCCTTGCTCCTCTGCACGATGAGCTCCTTGTGGTTGCCCTCCTGGACGACGGTGCACTGGTCGCTGCGGGCATCAGATGGGGGATGAAGAGGCGAATGGTCGAGCGGCGTCAGCATCGGATGCAGGCTAGCCCAAGGCCCTGGCGGGATCCTCGCCTTGGAGATTGGGCAAGAGACGGCGTGAAACCCACCGGTACGTGCCGCTGACGCGGATCATGGTAAAGTTGGGCAGCGCCTGCGGGTCGCCCTGCCAGTCGCGGAGGAGGCGGACGTTGGTGGCCGACATGAAATCCGGAATCTCGATGCCGTCAAGGTACTCTCGCCTCTCGCGGTCGCGCACGTCCTTGAGCTCGACCTCTCGCTTCGATGGCGGGCGACCGTGCCTGCGCTCTGCGAGGAGCTGGTTGATCTCGTCGTCGTGGCGCGGCAGGAAAAACGTGTTGAGAAAGTCGTGGACCGACTCGAGGTCGGCGAGGTACTCTGACGTGTCGGGCAAGAGGAATACGAGGGTCGAGATGCGGTCGACCTTTGCGGAGAGGTGCTTGTTGCGCTCCGTCTTTGCCGATCCGAGCTTGGTCTTGCGGTGGGCGACGCGGGCCATCTGGGTGGCCCTGCGCGAGTTTGGATGGGTGGGGCCCGACTTGCGCTTGAGGGAGCGCTCCGAGATCTGGCGGTGAAAGCGATCGGGGAGAAGAGCATTGCGGACAGCGTCAGTTTCCATCACGGCTGTAGACAGGAGGAATGGCGACGGGCGAGGAGAGCAGAGCCGGCGTGCTGCGGCCGTGCCGGTGCCAGTGCCAGTGCTCGAGAGAGCGGCGCGGGATGCCCACCTTTTTGCCTCCCATGGCGGCCGGATGTGCCCTGTGTGGCTGCGAAGCAGGGTAAGCCGGTGTCGGTTCGATCCTCGCTGGCGCCAGGCGGTGGTCGGTATTGCCTCGAAGCTGGCGGTGTTGGAGGATGGTGGCGGGCAGAGGGGTCGGGAGAGGAAGCAAAGCCGGTCGAGGTGTCACCGAGATGGGAAAAGCCGCCCACAAAAATTTCCAAAATCGCAGGGCGACGCAGCTGCACGCCAGCGCCGCTTTCTTCTTGCTTCTTGGCTTCTCCACACTCGAGGCGAGGCCAGGCGAGGGCGAGGTGAGAGAGTGTAGTGCCAGAGCCAGCCAAAGAGCAGCGCAGCCGCTCGGAATTCGGGATACGGGGCTGGGGTCACAGAGGCACAAGCAGGCGCCGACCGGGGGGCAAGCAGGCAGGGCGAGGCGCAGGGCAAGGCACAGAGCAAGGGCGCCGGTGCGGTGCGCCTTGGCTTGACCTGGCCTGGCCTGTGCCTGCCGGGCGCCCACCCACCCTTTGCCCCGCGCAGAGGCAGGCCAGAGCAAGCAGGCCTCTCTCGGCAGCCAGACCGGCCAGACCGGCCTGCCACGCAGCAGCGAGTGGGAACACCACCCACGCCTGCCTGTTCACCTCTCGGTGCCTTCCCCCTCCCATTTCCCCTCGCTGCATCACACCATCCTCGCATCCTCGCCCAAGGGCATCCGACATCGCCGACAGCGGTCTAGCCACGGCATAGAGCACCGCACCGATAGACTGCATCGACTCGTTCGTCCGGGTCCTTGCCCCCGCCTCGCGCGACCGCCATTGGGCCACGACCGCCTCAGCATCTGCTGCTTCCGTCGCCTCTCGACCCCATCGCAGCACCAATCTGAATCTCGAACCCACCAGAGCCGCTCGAAGACGAGAGGGCCATGCTTCCCTTCGACCCGTGAGAGCCTACGACAAGCCAAAGCCCTCGTCGCAAACGAACGATCCCGGCAGATACGCAGCAAGCCTGCTGCCCCGCCCTGACTGGAGCGTCGCCTGGCCGCCTGCTCTGCCCTGACCAAACTGCCTGCTGCCGATCATGTTCTCCAACTTCGTCAGCAGGAAGACGTCGGGCGAACGGCAGCATCGTCCCGAGTCCAACAGCGGCAGCGGCAGTGGCAGTCCGGCGTCGGCCTACGAGCGAATCCGGCACCCTCACCACATCGAAGCCGCAGGCGCCGTGCTTCCCTCGAGCCCACCACCCGCCGAGCGGCAGCGCGATCTGGGACATCCGAGGGGCCCGCGCCACGACAGCTCCGGCTCCACATCCTCCATCGGCATGATGCACAGGTCGCCAGCGCAGCTGCCCGAAGAGATGCGCGCCAGGGAGAGGGAAAAGCAGCTCGAGCGAGAACGCGAGCGCATGCGCGAAAAGGAGCGGATGTCGTCGAGGTCGTCGTCAGCGTCGCAGCAGACTCCACCGGAGCAGCCTGCACCGACCAGGGTGAGTCCAAGTCGGCGACGGCATCGCCCCCTGCCTCGGACCCCCCCGCACCATGCTGACGCCTCTTGCCTGCCGGGACGCCTCCACGCCAACCGCAGTACTCGTCCAACCACATGGAGTCCTCAGTCACACGTCTCCTGGTGGCCACAAAGATGCTGCTCGAGTCGCTGACCAAGTGGTCGCTGGGCGAGCGGTCCGAGGACCAGGTGTCGGACATCTATGTCCGCCTCGGCAACGACTTCAACTCGGCCCGCGTCGCTTTTGGCAGCTACGGCATCGACATGTCCGACCTCGCCTCGGTGCCAGACGACCTGCGCGCCTGCCTCGAGAGGTGCCTCTCGGAGGACGCCTCGCCCGCCGTGCTCGAGGTCCACCTGCCGCGCATCCGCGAGATCATCATCAACCTCCTCCAGGGCCTCAAGATGAAGCAGGCAGAGTACAAGCAGTTCCTTGTACAGCAGCGTGCCGCCGCCGCCAGTCGAAGCGACCGCGACGGCGCCACCGCGTCGGCTTCCGGATCGCGGCGCAGCAGGGGCGGCTTGTCTCGCTCCGAGCGGGTCGGAGCCAGCGATGGGCTGCCAGCCCCGGAAACGGCCGCGGCTGCGGCCAAGCAGGATGCCCTGCAGCGCGCCAGCTCCACTGGCAACCAGGCGCCGGCCGCCAATCCACCCACCAGCCCCAGAGAGGCGCTTGGGCAGACGCCGCTCTCGCCTACTCTCGCCACGTCCGGCAGGTCGAGCGTGCAACGGCCGCCCAGCAGGACCTCGCGGAGCTTCGGCGAGTCGAGTTCGCAGGCTGAGGCCAGATCCCTCCCCTTGGACGGCGAAGCCGCTCTGCAAAGGGCCAGCTCGCATGGCGGCGAGAGGACCATTCTTAGAGGCAGCACAGACGTCGCGCAGCCTCCTGGCGGAGGCGCCAAGCCGGTCCCGGCCGTGCCGAGCGACGTGGCGAGGCATTCGCTGGTGGATCCTGGTCAGGCGCCAGCGGGCGGTGCAGAGCAGGAAGAAGACGAGGAGCAGGAAGAGATCATCCCTGCCGTCGAGAGCGCCGAGGCCAAGCTCACCGGGGGGCGGCTCTCTCAGCGATCCAGCGGCCGTGGCGTCCGGCACGCGACGAGGCCCTCGGTTGACAGCAACGCCGATCCCGCCGACGCTGATCCGAGCATGAAGGCGCTCAAGAACCGCGATGCTCTAGAGCGGCGGGCGAGCAAGCGCTTCAGCGCCTACACCTTCAACAAGATGGGCGTCGGCCAAGGCTTCGGCCAGAGCTTCAACGCAGGGGCGCTCAACATGGCCATGTTTCCGCCCGTCAACGGCGCCCTGGGCAGCCCTTTGCCCGAGAGGCACGGCCGCGAGCAGCGTGCGAGCGGGAGTCGGCGTCTGCAGCGCCCATCCATGCCGGACTCGACGCCGTCCAGCGGCGCCGCCAGCCCGGCGGGCACGGCCAAGGCTGGCGACTACTTTTCCGTCCAGCCGCCGGCGCGTAGCAAGGCGCGCAACCCGACGTCGGACAAGTTTGAGCCCATCGAGGAGGTCAAGACGCCGACGTCGGCGACGTCGGCCACTGGGCCAGACAGCCTGCCGACGTCGCAGGGACAGCCGAGGCTGCGAAGGCCTAGCGACTCGAGGGCGTCGGCGCGGATCAACAACGGCCTGCTGTCGCCCGGGGACTCGCGCAAGGTCATGTCGCAGGCCATCAGCTCGACCGATTCGCTGCCGTTTGTCGACGCCGTCGGACCGCCGTCGGACCTCGACGACCAGAGCGGCGCGCCTCCCGGTCCCACTGCCGAGGAGCGCGTTCGGCTCGACGCTGCGCAGGACGGCGCCTTGACGGGCCGGATCGATGCATCGGCGGGCTCGCTCAACGTCTACCTGCAGCTCGGACGCCAGACGCGCAAAGCGACGCTCGAGCTCGACCCGTCCAACCCGCTCACGCGCGGCATCACCATCGCTCGACTGCGCATGCTCTTCATTGATCGGTTCGCCTATTCCCCCGGCATGGACGACTTCCCTTCAATCTACGTCAAGGACCCGGCGAGCGGCGTCAGCTACGAGCTCGAGGACCTCGGCGACGTGCAGGAGGGCTGTTTGCTGACGTTGAACATCGAGCGTGAGTGCCGCATTATCCTTTCCGATCTGCACAGGGGTCATGATGCGGGGGGATGAGTGCAGCACGAGCTGACTGGGCGTCAACCTTGCGTCTTCCCCGCCATTTCGCCAGCTCTGGACCAGGTCAAGCAACACCTCGACCTGTCGCTGGGGGCCATCACCCGGGAGCTCCGCGAGCTCAAGTCGGCCATGACCGAGAGGGAGCGAGAGGCTCGGCGGGTGTCGCACAACTTTGGCAACGTCGGCGACTCGTCGTTCCTGGCTGCTGCCAACGCGACGCCGACCAAGATCACCGATTCGCAGTTCCAGGCGGCCGGCCACCGCGTGGCCCAGCTCAAGCGCGCCAACACCCGGGCGGCCAACGCTGCTGCCCTGGTTCTGGGCGATGACGGCGTGGGTCCGGCTGGGGAGCGATCGAGGCGGCTGTCGATAGACGCCACGTCGACCACGAGCTCGACGCCCGGGTCGTCGGTGTCGGGCTTCAAGGTGGCGCAGGAGCTCAAGGCGCAGTACGACGAGCTGCAGGCGCTGCGGCGCGAGTTTGCCGTGATGCGGCAGCTGCAGGGCGACTTTGACAGCGACGTCAAGACGATCATCGGCGGCATCCGGGAGCAGGCCGCCAAGGTGCGGCAGATTGCGTCGGGTGACGTGGCGGCGGAGCGCAACTTTATCGTGGCGGGCAAGACGAAGCTCGACTCGAGCTCGCAGGAGGTGCTGACGCTGATCGAGGACCTGCAGGACACGGTCGACGACCTCAAGCTCGACGTCATCCAGCGGGGCGTCAAGCCGAAGCCGGCGCTGGTCAAGCAGATTACGTCGGACATTGAGCGGGCCACCAAGGGCCTGCTCGAGGTGGAAAAGTACGTGCAGACGGTCAAGCCGAGCTGGAAGAAGACGTGGGAGACGGAGCTGCAGAACATTGTCGACGAGCAGGAGTTTCTCAACCACCAGGAGAGCCTGGTGGCGGACCTGCGCGACGACCACGATGCGCTGCAGGAGGTGTTTGCCAACATCCAGCAGGTGGTCAAGCTGCGCGGGTCGGGGCGCACGGGCGGCAAGTACATCCCGCCGCTGCCCGAGGAGGGGCACGAGGGGCTGAGCACGGTGATGCTCGAGGTCAAGAGCCAGGCGGTCAACCACGAGAAGCGGCTGCGGGCGCTGCAGGCGGCCGAAAAGCAGCGTCAGAAGGACCTGGCCTCGCGCTCCGACGACTTTGCCGACGAGCTGGCGGGCTTCGTCGACGGCAAGGCGCTGCGCAAGACGGGGGGCCACCTCGAGGCGGAGCGCGTGCGGCAGAAGCGCGACAATGCCACCTTCAAGGCCATGTTTGGCGGCGGCGGAAGCGGCGGCGCACCCGTCGCGCCGGTGCCCGGAGCAGGGGGAGGTGGCACCGACAAGCCCAAGAAGTTCATCCTGGGCGGTGGGGGTGGCGGTGGGGGTGGCGACAAGGTCAAGGCGACGGCGGCAGCCTCGCCGCCGAAGGCAGCCGAAGGAGGCGGTGCAGTCGGTGCGATGGATGCGGAGGCGGAGGCTGCCGTCGAGGTCGCCGCGCCGTCGATGAAGAAGAGCGTCAGCGCCGCCAGCCAGGCCGAGTCTGTGGCGAGCCAGAGCGGCGATGGGGCCGCTTCACCGACCGGCGCCGCAGCGACGACCGAGACGGAGCAGTAGCGTCGGCCACCGTCGTCTTCGTCGGCAACACACTTCCGGATCCTTGCCAGTCCACGGCGCTTCCGATGGCTCGCACACTCTCCGCCACCCCCCTACTCGGTGCCACCTTCTACTACTGTCTTTCCACTTGCGCCCCATGAATAGACACGCTCTCTTGGTCCTATGCGATGATGGCTTGCGTTGCCTCGGTCATCTGGTCGTGGTGGCGTCCCTGCCTGCCAGGGTCCTCGTGCCCCCAGATTTGTTGCGCTGCCCTTGCGCGCCGGGCCAGGCAGGGAGGGCCCTGGCAGGCCAGACCAACACCCTGCAGGCAGGCACTGGCAGGCACTACTGACTGGCCTGCGCGACGCGTAAAAAGGCCCAGGGCGCGCGCCAGCTGGACCGGCTCTGGCCTACCTGGCCTGGCCTGGCCTGGCCTGAGCCAACGCTTTGGCTGACTTTTGAGTGGGGCAGCCCGCCAGCCTGCCTAGCCAGCCTGGCAGTTGAGAGCTGGGCTGCTGCTCTGCTCGTCACTTCGACCTCGACTGCCTTCTCAGCCCGTCATCGTCCTTCGTCGCTGGACGCCACTCGTACCGTCGCAGCTGCACCCCACGACGCTCCCCGTTCCCCTCGGCTATCTGCGCTTCGCCGTCTGTGCCACCTGCACGATCCAACAGCCTGCCCGCCGCTCGCACCGCCACCTCGGCAGCAACCTACCTCTCGAGCCCCAGCGACGACGACGACGACGACGACAGCGAAGATGGCGCCCGTCCCGACCGACACTGTCGCCACCGCCGCGGCGGCTGCCGCACCGCCGCACCGCCCTGCACCAAAGAAGCGCAAGGTCGACGACCAGCACCACACGTCCGACTTCACCGACACTCTGGCAAAGCTCAAGCAGGAGGCCGACGCAAACCAGCAAATCGACGACCAGGCCCTCTGGCCCAGGCCCGAACTCGACCCCCTCGACCCCCAGATCGACGCCATCACCTTCCAGCAGATCGACATCGAGGAGCACCAGGCCGTCGGCGCACCGCCTGCCATCCGCATCTACGGCGTCACCCACCAGGGGCACTCGGTCCTCGCGCACGTCCACGGCTTCCTCCCCTACTTCTACATCCACGCCCCACGCGGCTTCACCGCCGCCACCTGCAAGGACTTTGCCAACCACCTCAACACCCTCTTTGGCGGCCGCGCCGTGCACAAGGCCGAGCTCGTCAGCAAAAAGAGCCTCATGGGCTACGCCGGCCCCGAAAACGTCGCCTTCATCAAGCTCACCATCTCCGACCTCCGCAGCCTGCCCAGGATCCGCGGCTCCTTTGAGCGCGGCGAGATTGGCTTCCGCGACCTCTTCACGCCGGGCGACGCCGCGCTCACCTACGAAAACATCGCATACACGCTCCGTTTCATGATCGACCTCAAGATTGTCGGCATGAACTGGCTCGAGATCGCATCGGGAAGCTACAAGATCCGCCCAGACAGCCAGAGGGTCTCGCTCTGCCAGATCGAGATCGACTGCGCGCCCGACGCGCTCACGTCCCACGCCCCCGACGGCGAGTGGTCCAAGATCGCGCCGCTCCGCATCCTCAGCTTCGACATCGAGTGCGCCGGCCGCAAGGGCGTCTTCCCCGAGGCCTCGGTCGACCCCGTCATCCAGATCGCCAACATGGTCACCCGCCAGGGCGAGAGCAGCCCGTTTGTCAAGAACGTCTTCACGCTCAACACGTGCTCCCACATCGTCGGCAGCCAGGTCCTCTCGTTCAACAAGGAGATCGACATGCTCGAGGCGTGGGCCAGCTTCATCCAGGAGGTCGACCCGGACGTCGTGATCGGCTACAACATCGCCAACTTCGACTTCCCCTACCTCCTCGACCGCGCCAAGGCCCTCAAGTCGACCAAGTTTGCCTATCTCGGCCGCGAGCGGGGCACACGCACCGAGGCCAAGGACACCCACTTCTCGTCCAAGGCGTACGGCACCCGAGACTCGAAAAACACCGAGCTCCAGGGCCGCCTCCAGCTCGACATGCTCCAGGTCATGCAGCGCGACTACAAGCTGCGCTCCTACTCGCTCAACTCGGTCTCGTTCGAGTTCCTCGGCGAGCAGAAGGAGGACGTCCACTTCTCGCTCATCACCGAGCTCCAGAACGGCGGGCCCGAGGCGCGCCGCCGCCTGGCTGTCTACTGCCTCAAGGACGCCTACCTGCCGCAGCGGCTGATGGACAAGCTCATGTGCTTCATCAACTACATCGAGATGGCGAGGGTGACGGGCGTCCCCTTCAACTACCTCCTCTCGCGCGGCCAGCAGATCAAGGTCGTCTCGCAGCTCTTCCGGAAGGCCAACGAGGACAACTACTTGGTGCCCGCCTACAAGGGCGAGGGCACCGAGGACCAGTACGAGGGCGCCACCGTCCTCGAGCCCAAGTCGGGCTACTACGACCGCCCCATCGCCACGCTCGACTTTGCCTCGCTCTACCCCTCGATCATGATGGCCCACAACCTGTGCTACACGACGCTGCTGGACAAGAAAAAGGTCGAGCAGCTCGGCCTCAAGCAGGACGAGGACTACGTCATCACGCCCAACAACAACTACTTTGCCACGAGCAAGCTGCGCAAGGGCCTGCTGCCGACGGTGCTCGAGAACCTGCTGGCGGCGAGGAAGCGGGCCAAGGCGGACCTCAAAAAGGAGACCGACCCGTTCAAGCGCGCCGTGCTCGACGGTCGGCAGCTGGCGCTCAAGATCAGCGCCAACTCGGTCTACGGCTTCACGGGCGCCACGGTCGGCAAGCTGCCCTGCCTCGAGATCTCGATGAGCGTCACCGCCTACGGGCGGCAGATGATAGAGCAGACAAAGGGCCACGTCGAGCGCACCTACACCATCGCCAACGGCTACGAGCACGACGCCGAGGTCGTCTACGGCGACACGGACTCGGTCATGGTCAAGTTTGGCGTCCAGGACCTCGCCAAGGCCATGGAGCTGGGCGCCGAGGCGGCGGCCAAGGTGTCAAAGACGTTCATCAACCCGATCAAGCTCGAGTTCGAAAAGGTCTACTACCCCTACCTGCTCATCAGCAAGAAGCGCTACGCCGGCCTCTACTGGACGCGGCCCGACAAGCACGACAAGATGGACACCAAGGGCATCGAGACGGTGCGCCGCGACAACTGCCGCCTGGTGCAGACGGTCATCGACACGTGCCTGCGCAAGATGCTCATCGACCGCGACGTCAAGGGCGCCGAGGACTACGCCAAGCAGATCATCTCGGACCTGCTGCAGAACAAGGTCGACATGTCGCAGCTCGTCATCACCAAGGCGCTCGCCAAGGCCGACTACGCGGCCAAGCAGGCCCACGTCGAGCTGGCCGAGCGGATGCGGAAGCGCGACGCGGGCTCCGCCCCGGCGCTGGGCGACCGCGTCGCCTACGTCATCATCAAGGCGGCCAAGGGCTCGGCCGCCTACGAGAGGTCCGAGGACCCCATCTACGTGCTCGAGAACAATGTCCCGATCGACACGCGCTACTACCTCGAGAATCAGCTGTCCAAGCCGCTGCTGAGGATCTTTGAGCCCATCATGGGACCCAAGGCCGGGTCGATGCGTAAGTAGTGCATCCATGTCGGCGAGCGGCCGATCATGACTAGCAACTCTGCGCTGACAACTTAATTTACCCTCTCGCTACCTCCCCGCAGTCAACGGCGAGCATACCCGCGTGGTGCAGGTGGCCACATCCAACGTCGGCGCCCTGATGAAGTTTGCCGTCAAGACGGTGCAGTGTCTCGGCTGCCGAACACCGCTCAAGGACCAGAGTGAGTCTGCGGCGCCGGAGGACAAGACGATGGCGACGATCCCGAATCGGATCGGATCGTTCGTCGTGTGCTGATCCATCCCGCGCTACCTCTCCGCCTTTGTCCCCGGGCAGACACGCCGGTGTGCAAGAATTGTCGCCCTAGGGTCGCCGAGCTCTATCACGAAAAGGTGAGTGTCGCCTCAGAGCAGACTCGACCCACTTGTCCATCGCGCTCACCCATACACGACCTCAATGAACCATCCCTGTCCACCATCACCCCTCATCGCCGTCCCCGTCTACACCTGCTGCAGCTGGCGAGAGCCTCTGCGCTCGAAGTCGAGTTCGCGCGGCTATGGACGTGCTGCCAGCGATGCCAAGGCTCGCTGGCCCAGGACGTGCTGTGCACCAACAAGGACTGCCCCATCTTCTTCAAGCGGTAAGTTCACGCTGCACGCTGCTCGCTGCACGCTAACTCGGAGGTCGAGGTACGAGACGACCAACCAGGCTGATCTCTTTGACGTGTCTCGCTTCGTCTGTCCGCCCGCGCAGCAAACGTGCGCAAAAGGACGTCGAGGACGCTGTCAAGGTCGTCGAGCGCTTCGATACCGCCTGGTAGAGCCGGGGCCGGCCCGGGCGGGCAGCGGTCCGGGTCCAGCCTTGCCGCGGCGTACCGACGCTGGAACCGACTGGGCCTCTACCACCGCCGCCACCGTCGGCAGCATTGCGACTGCCACCACCATCACCGCCAACGCGACGACCCCAACGACGACGACGACTACCGCCACCCGCCTTCTTTCACCGCACGACCGCGAGCACGCATTGGGGCACTGAGCACGCAGGAGATTCTCGAACGGGAATGCAGAATGAAAATGAACAGCAATGCAGCGTCGACTTTTGCACGGAGCGCATCCGACGCTAGCCATCCGTACCGAGGGGGGACACTCCCAGCCCCATCCCTCCTCCTTCTCCGTGAGGGAGGACATTTACTTCTTGACGACCTTCTTGGCTTTGCCCGCAGCCGGAGCGGCGGCGCCGGCGGCGGCGGGCTTCTGGCCCTTCCTCTTCATGTGCTTTGCCAGACTCTTCTGGATCAGCTCCTGGTCCTGCTCGTCGTCGAAGGGCGTCTCGTCCTGCCCCGCCGTCGCAGCAGCCGCAGTTGCCGCAGCAGCCACGACCTCCTCGGCCTCCTCGTCGACCTCGGAAGCACCAGAGACGGCATCGTCGTTGTTGGCCGTCACCTTCTTGCTGACCTTGCCAGTCACCACGGTGGTGGCCGCCTCCGCCTCGTCGTCGGCAGCGGCGGCAGCGGCGGCGGCCTGTTGCTGCTGCTGCTTCTTGTTGATCGGCTCCACCTTGAGCTTGCACAGGAAGAAACCGTCCAGGTTGTGCGCGTGCGGCTGTTTGGCGTCATCGTCGTCGAGGCGACAGACGGACGGAGGAGGACGAAAGGAAAAGGGACGCGGGTGCGCGGGTAAGTCTCGCCGTGTTCGCATCATCCACCGTCCTGAGCCACAACAGGACAGCGACGCCGGGACAAACTCACAAAGATCCTCCTGGCCAGGCTCATTTTGGGGTCAAACTTTCGGTCGCGGAAGGCCGTGAAGCCGTCGCGGCCAAAGTCGATGCCGGTGGGGACGATCTTGACATTGGGGCGCTTCTTGAGGGCGTACTGCACCACCTCCTCGTCCTCCTCGGTGAGGACCGAGCAGGTCGAGTAGACGAGGTATCCGCCCGTCTTGGAGCGCGCATTGACCGAGTCGATGGCGCACAGGATCAGCTGCTTCTGCAGGTGCGTCAGCAGGTGGATGTCGCGCTCCGACTTGTTGGTCTTGACGCTCGGGTCCTTGTGAATGACGCCGGTGCCCGAGCAGGGCGAGTCGAGCAGCACGCGGTCAAAGCCGCCAATCACCTTGGGAAACTGGCGGCCGTCGTAGTTGCACACGACGACATTCTTGCACCCGAGCCGGTGCACGTTGGCCGTGAGCGACTTGACGCGCGCCTTGTTCGAGTCGTTGGCAAAGACGGTGCCCGTGTTTTGCATCAGCGCCGACAGGTACGTCGACTTGCCGCCGGGCGCCGACGCCATGTCGAGCACGCGCTCGCCCGGCTGCGGCGCCAGGGCGATGCACGGCAGGAACGACGAGGCGGCCTGCAACATGTAGTGGCCCGCCAGGTACTCGGGCGTGGCGCCAATGGGCACCGACGACTCAAACACCTGCAGGCCCACCTTGGTCCACTTGCCTATCGGCTCGAGGTTGACGCCGCGGTTGATGAGCGCCTGCGCCAGGTCGCGCCGGCGCGTGCGCAGCGTGTTGGCGCGGATCGTGATCGGCCGCGGCGTCTCGTTGGCCTCGAAAAACTCGATGGCCTCGGCGGGCGAAAAGAGGTTGAAGAGCTTCTCGGCCAGGAACTGGTTGTAGCCGTAGAAGGTGCACACGTCGGCCAGCAGCTGCTCGACGTACTCGCTGCGCGACCGGCCGTCGGTGGCCAGGCGCTTAAAGTCGCCCAGGATGTTGACCACCTCCTGGATCCGCATGTGCACCAGCTGCAGGTCGGCGCCCAGCACCTTTTCCTTTTCCCGGTCCTCGATCGTCGGCAGCATAAAGTCGTTGGCCGGTGCGCCCTCCGGCAGCGGTCCGTCGAGCAGCTCGCCGTCGCTGTCGTCCTCGAAGTCGTCGTCGTCGTCGTCGTCACCCTCGGGGCCTTCTCCGGCTCCGTCGAGGAAGGCAAGCTGCTCCTCTGTCAGGCCGTCGGCCGCGCCCTCCTCGTCATCGGCCTCATCCTCCATCTCCTCGCCTGCCTCGCTGCCGTCGCCCTCGTCGTCGGACTCGAGCGAGTGGCCCTGGCTCTTGAGTAGCAGCTCGAGCCGCTCTGCCTCGGCGAGTGCCTTTTTCCTCTGGGCTGCCGTCAGCTTGGTGCCCTTGGCGGGCAGGCCGAGCTTCTTCAGGTCGTCCTCCTCCTCGTCGCCCTCCTGCTCCTCGTCGTCGTCGTCCTCCTCGAGCTCGATGTCATCGTCGTCCTCGTCGAGCGCATCGAGGCCGTCCTCCTCGTCCTCGCCCTCTAGCTCAATGTCCTCGTCGACATCTTCGTACTCGACACCGCTCTCGTCCTCGTCCTCGTCCACGGCGAGGTCCAGCTGCTGCTGCTGCGTCGCCTTCTTCTTGCCCTTTACAGGGGCGCTGGCGGCGGCAGTCTGCTTGGACGGCACCGCCTTGGCCTTTGCCTTTTCGGCCTTGGCGATGGCCTTGGTGGCCGGGGTGGAGATGGGCGTGGGCTTGGAGCTCGTCGCGGCCGATTTGGCCTTTTTGTTGGCGGCGGCGATGGCGGCCTTTTTGGGAGCGGGGGCCGAGGCGGATTCGGTGGCCTTTCGCTTGTTGTTGAACGACGAGGAGCCAGTCACCCGGTGCTCCTGCAGCGGCTGCGGCGGCGGCTGCTTGGTCTTTGATCGGCGACCCATGGCGGCGACGGTGGTGGCGGTGGGGTTGTTGGTAGTGGCGGCGGTTCGCTGCTGCTCCTGGTCGCACGAGGTGAGGCAGCGAGGGTATGGTGGTGCGGGTATGGACCGGACACCAGCTGCCAGCAACCTCCCCTCGACCCGCTTTGGCTCGCTCACCCACCCACCCTGCCTGCGCCCGACTTTTTTTCTTCGCTCGCTCCCTCGCCCGCCCGGCCGCAAGCCCGCCTCGAAATTTTCTGCGTGCAGCTTGCGCTGCTGGGCCCAGCGTCCCTTTCCCAGGTTCCGAGAAAAACCTCCATCTCGCCCTCGGCCACGCGGTCCAGCATCGGCTCCGGGTCGCATCGCTCCACTTCGCTCCTCGACACCACCTTCTCTCTCTGACACTACTCTCTTCTCCTCTTGCTCGGCCTCGACCAACGCACTTTGACGATGTGCACGCCATCCATTCGTCCATCATCTCACGTCTAGGAAGATCTACAGATCGAGCGACACAAGCACGACCGCCGCCGCTCAGAGCTTGGCGCCGTCCTTGCGCAGCATGGCGGCTGCCACATTCTTGCGCTGGATCTTGCCCGTCGCCGTCTTTGGGATGGCGTCGACGATCCAGATGCGCTCGGGGATCTTGAACTTGCTGATCTTGCCGTCGAGCGCCTTCTGCACCGCCTTTTCGTCCAGCCCGCTGCCGTCCTTGAGGATCAGGGCCGCGCCCACCTTTTCGCCGTACATTTCGTCGGGCATGGCAAACGACACGGCCTCGCGCACGCCGCTGACGGCCAGCAGCGCGCCGTCGACCTCGAGCGGGCTGATCTTTTCGCCCGAGCGGTTGATGAGCTCCTTGATCCGGCCCGTCAGCTCGACGTAGCCGTCGGCGTCCTTGCGCCCCTGGTCGCCCGTCCGGAAGAAGCCGTCGTTTTCCTCCGGACCGGTGCCCTCCGAGAAGCGCACAAAGCTCTCCTTGTTGGCCTTTTCGTTGTTGAGGTAGCCCTTGGTGACGTTGCGGCCGCGGATGGCCACCTCGCCCTCGACGCCCTGCGCCACCTCGTTGCCCTTCTGGTCGAGGATCTTGACCTCGACGCCGTGGCCGATGCCGACGGTGCCCGGCTTGCGCTTGGCGGGCGGCAGCGGGTTGGACGTCATCTGGTGTGACGCCTCGGTCATGGCGTAGGCCTCGAGCACGGGCGCCTTGAACGCGTCCTCGATGGCGTGGAACGTGGCGGGCGAGAGGGCCGACGAGCAGGAGCGGATGAAGCGGAGCTGCGGCAGCGGCGAGGGGATGGGCGTGTTGAGCAGCATCTGGTGGATGGTGGGCACGGCCGTGTACCAGTTGCAGCGGGCGTCGCCGAGCTCCTTCCAGAAGACGGACGCGCTAAACTTGGGCGGGATGACGGCGCTGCCGCCCGAGAGGAGCGTTGCGAGGAGGCCGCAGAGGAGGCCGTGTACGTGGAAGAGGGGCATGACGAGGTAGGTGCGGTCGCGGGGCGAGAGGCGGTAGGTGCCGACGATGTTGCCCATGGTGGTGAAGAGGTTGCGGTGGGTGAGGGGGACGCCCTTGGGCCTGCCGGTGGTGCCGCTGGTGTGCAGGACGAGGGCGACATCATCGTCGTTGGGCTGGCGGACGTCTGAGCGGGCGACGCGGGAGCCGTCCTGGCGGGTGAGCTGGACGGTGGCCGTGACGGGGTCGAATTCGATCTCGACCATGTCGACGTTGAGGGCGCGGGCGGCCGACACGGCGGGGTGAGGCTTGGAGTTGGGGCTGTCGGCCGAGGCGTGGGCGAATGCGCCCTTGGGGAGGATGACGAGGCGAGACTTTGTGTCCTCGAGGTAGAAGGCGACCTCGCTCTCGGAGTAGTTTGGGTTGAGGGGGGCGGCGACGAGGCGCTGTGCGCCGGTGGCGAGGAAGGCGAGGGTGAATTCGACGCCGTTGATGAGGCTGCTGCTGACGACCTGGGAGGGATCGAGGCCGAACGAGGCAATCTGTGCCTGGAGGTCGAGGACGAGCGAGTGGAGCTTGTGGTAGGTGAAGGTGTAGGGCGTGGGCGACGAGGCGGGCAGGAGGATGGCGGGCGCTGCGGGCGTGTAGCCTTGGCGGGGCCGGAAGACGGCGAGGAGGTTCTCGTTGTTGCTCGACATGGCTATAGCTGGTGGGCGGGTGGGAAAGCGAGCGGGGACGGTGAAGGTGGTGGTGGTGGTTGTCGAGATGGCGGGCCGGGGTGGAAGGACGAGGAGGGCGCACGAAGGGAGCGAGTCAGGGCGGCGACTGCTGCTGTGTCTTGCGTGCTCTCTCCATCTTGCTTCTTGCTTCTGGGCTGTTGTGCAGGCCCATGCCATGCCATCATCGATGCCGGCCGGCGTATGCCCGCCCTCGCTTGGCCCTCGGCCAAAAGCTCGGCGTCCACCGCAGAGGCGCAGCGCCGGGGCGACACTCTAGAAGGGGTAGGCTAGGCTACACCTGACTGCGCTTCGGATCCGCGTCTCGCTCTGGCCAGCCTCGCCCACCCCAAAGTGGAGCGGATCTCGCTCGCCGGCAAAAAGGCGGCGCCACCCACTCGCGCCCCAGCGGCGCTGGCTGTCAGCGCCAGCATTCGCAGCGGCACACCACCACCACCACCACCACCACCACCACCACCACCACCACCACCACCACCACCACCACCACCACCACAGCGACCGCGACTACGACGGCCCCTCGTCCTTTCTCACGGACACCACCACCATGCCGCCCAAGAGACCCCTTCGCAACGTCTTTGGCGACGCAGACGATGACGACGACGACCCTTCGCTCTCGTCGACCAAGCCCGCCGTCCCGCAAAAACGCACAAAGACCGGCACACAGCCCGTCAGCATCATCCAAGGCCTAGCCTCGTCTAGCAGCAGCGGCAGCGGCATCAGCACCACCAACAAGAATGGCGCAGTCCCCGCCTCTGCCCCCTCGTCGGGCACCTCGTCGTCCACGTCCGGCGTCATGTCCAGCAGCGTACAGGCACAGATCGAGGCCGCGCGGGCAAGGATCCAGGCACAGATGTCCAACCTCGCCGCACGCCCAGCTGGGGTACCTCCCAGCCGTCCTCCTCAGCCCCCCCAGGCCTCGCCAACCGCCGCCACGCCTGCCGTAGCACGGTCCACCCCAGCCGCAGCACCACGACCACCACCCTCGGCTCGACCCGCCGCGCCCGTCCCATCATCGCTCGAAGACATTCAGAGAAAGGTCGCAGAGGCAAAAGCCAGGCTGCTCGCCCAGCAGGGACTGCAGCACGCACAGAGGCCACCCGCAGCTCCCACTTCGACAATCAGCTCCGCGACCACAGCCCCGCCGCCGTCTGCCAAATCAGAGACCCCCAAGGCGCCCCCTGGCATCCACCCTCTGCTTCTCGGCGGCGATGCTGCCAAGATTCAGGAACAGGTGCGCTCGGTGGCTCCCAAGTTCGCCTCCCTCCAGGCCAATGCCCGACCCTCGACCGCGACCAGCGGCACCCGGGGCGCCAACGGGCGTGGCGCTGTCCCGCCTCGAGCCAACCCCTACCTCGCCGACTCCATCGACGCAGCCGCCTCCGACAGCGGCGCAGATCAGCCAAAGCCAAAGCCAAAGAGCATGCACAAGGGTTTCTCCTTCCACCGACCGGGTAGGCACATCCAGGAGGCCGAAGAGGTGCGCAGGGAGGCACAGATGGAAGACCTCAAGCGCAGGATCCAGGAGAGCGCGCGCAAGGCCGGCCTGCAAGACGACCTGGCCGGCGACGAAAAGGTGCTGCAGCGTCTGCCGCCGCCCGACGTCGAGTGGTGGGACATCGGCCTGCTGCCCAACAAGAGCTACGACGACGTGCCGGACGACGAGGACGTGGCCACCATGCTCGACAAGGGCAAGGCGCGCGAGACGACCGACGTGGGCGCCTCGACCGCAGCCGCCGTCACTGGGCCGCTGCTTTATGGCAAGGACTCGCCCATCGACCCTTACGTCCAGCATCCGATCCCGATTCCAGCGCCCTCGGACCAGATCAAGGTGGCGCCGGCGGGCGTCCGGCTGACGAAAAAGGAGATGAAGAAGATGCGCCGGCAGCGGCGGGCGGCCGAACAGCAGGACAAGCGCGACCGGATCAAGATGGGCCTGCTGCCGCCGGACCCGCCCAAGGTGAAGCTGTCGAACCTGATGCGCGTCCTGACCTCGGAGGCCGTGGCCGATCCGACCAAGGTCGAGGCGCGGGTGCGGCGCGAGATCCTGGCGCGCAAGGAGGCGCACGAGCGTGCCAATGCCGAGCGCAAGCTGACGCCCGAGCAGCGCAAGGAAAAGGCGCTGCGCAAGGTCGAGCAGGACGAGGCCAAGGGGATCGGGTGCCAGGTGTACCGGATCAAGCACCTCGTCGCGCCCTGGCACAAGAAAAAGGTGCGGTACAATGCGCAAGACTACCACCTCACCGGCCTGACCATCTTCAACCCTTCGTTTGCGCTCGTCATTGTCGAGGGGGCGTCCAAGGGGCTCAAGGGGTTCAAGCGGCTCATGACGGTGCGCATCGACTGGACCGATCCGGGAAGGATGAACGACGGCGGCGGCGGCGGCGGCGGCGACGACGACGACGACGATGGCGGCGGGGGCGAGGGGTCGTCAAAGGCTCAGGTCACGGCAGCGGCGGATGTGGGGTCATCGAGCCGACGGGCGCGGTTCGACGAGCTGGCCACGCGCGACGCCTCGGAAGTCGACCTGGCCGAGAACCGGTGCGAGCTCATCTTCGAGGGCCCGCTGCGCGAGCGCAACTTTGCCAGCGGCTTCCGCGCCGTCGCGTGTCCCAACGACCACTCGGCCAAGGAGGTCCTCGGTCCCAAACTCGAGGGCTACTGGGACCTCGCCCGGCGCTGGGTGCCGCCTGAAGAGGATGGGCTCTGATTGGCGCGGATGGGTGAGTATCGAACGGCGTTTCCCTTTCGCCCCTCTGGGACTGGGCGGAGGTGTGCCCGCTGGGCGAGAGTTGCAGGTGCGCGGCGAGCCCGGGTGACGGGCTCTTGGGCAACTGCAATGCGATACCGTGCACCCGCAGCACGATAACTACATCGATCCGGACGGCCCCGTTTCTCGACTTTAGAAGCAAGAGCGATGCCGATGTTGCGCGGTGCGATGCGATGCGGTGCGATGCGATGCGGTGCGATGCTTTTGCAGTGGTACACTCGCCTCTAGCTATGCAACCGGCCGCTCTGCCAACTTGGACGACGACGACGACGCCGCCGACGAACCTTCGCGGCCGGCGCGCTCGAGGCTTCCGTCCTGGAGCATGTAGGCCGGTTTCCACCTGCCGCTCGCCGTCCCATCGCCGACGACGACGGGATGCCGATCCGACGTCTGGGCCGTGGCGGAATCGTCGAGTCGCAGGACGGGGTTGGGATGGGTGTTGTACGTCGATCCCAACGAGGTGTAGCTGTTGATGTTGAGGCAGGGATGATGCCCGGGGGGGGGGGGGGGTGGTGGAGGGCAGAGGAAGGTGTCAGATCGACGTCTCTTCTCTGTGGAGAGCAAAGACGAGCGGGAGTCATTTCTCACCCCTGCTCGTACAGCAGGCAGTACGGTACGCCCTCGTCGCCGCCACCCGCGACGCCGTACGTGCTCGCCAGCGCGTCGTGGTCGACAGCAGCCTGCGGGTCGGCGAGGTGTCGACAGCGCAAAAAGTCCCACACGTCCTTGTACTCCCACGTCAGGATCGGGTGGATGCGCTCGACGCGCGGCCAGTCTGCATCGGTCCAGGAGCGCGCCGAGAGCGAGGCTGCGGGCGGGAAGAGATGCGATCCGCACAAAGAGATGGCGGCGACGAAAGACGAGGTCAGCGAATGGGCGGCGATCCACGACGTCGATCGGATCGAGTTGGCTGGGGACGGCAGACTGCACTCACGTCCATGCGGGTCGTCGCGGCGGGTACCGATAAAGACGCACTGGATGTCCCGCTTCGGTCTTGGCCCGCCCTCCCCTTGCCGCTGCGCCTGCGCCTGTGTCTCGGCATCGACATCGGCGCCGTTGCACCCAATCTGGGTGCTCCCGCCGCCTTCGAGGTAGGTGCGTAGCCCCTCCTTCATGCCGCCGGGTACGGTGACGAGGTCGAGGTTGTAGCCGTGGGTGGGCGAGGCGGAAAAGGCGATGAACTTTTCCACTGTGGGAAAGGGAGAGGGGCAGGTGATGTACAGGCTCTGGATGGGGGGCAGTGCGTAGGTTGGCGACGAGGGCTGAGGGTCGGGTTGGACGCGCGAGGCCGTACTGTTGCTGCTGCTGCTGCTGGTGCTCGATGAGAGCGACAAGAGGCGTCTTTGGACGGCCGCGAGGATGTGTACGAGCACGGTGCCTAGAGGACGAGGAGGGGAAGATAGGAAGAGAGCGATGCGGTACGTTAGCAGACGGGCCGAGGAGGGCAGGAATGAGGGTCGCGCGGTACGACTGGCGAGCGCAGCCAACTTACAGTCCTTTCCGCCGTTGAAGCTGAGGGCGCATCGGTGCCATCCCACCTCCCTGATCACGTCTTCGCAGAGGCGCACTGCAGTCCTGACCTTTTCCGAGAGGTGTGGCGCCTGTGCTGCGATCTCGGGGCGCTCAAAGAGGTCGTAGACGGCATCGATGGAGCGGAGCCATCCCGACGATGGCTGCTGCGGCGCTGGTGGCGGCCGAGGATGCGACGAGGGACCGCCTGCCGGTTGTGCCATACTGACGAGGATGGCTAGGAGGGTGCGCAGGCCAGCGCGGTGCGACCGAGGATGGGCAAGGATGGAGATCGAGGTGGATCAAGAGGCGAGGCGAGGCGAGGCGAGGGCAGCGAGGAGAGAGGAGTGAAGCGGAGCGGTCGAGGGCCGGTGCGAGTGGTGCCCACGGGTGGCCCTGGCCTGGCCTGGCCTGTTGGCTTCCTGAAAGCTTCGGGGGTGGGCCGAGACGTGTGGAGCGGCGGGCTGGCTGCGTAATCGGCCGTGGGCCGGTGCACGCCCCTCTTTTTCGCCCGAGACCTGTCACGAGCAGCAGTGTCCGGTGCAGTCAGAGAGCCATCGAGCGTCCAGGGTCCACCAGCCCTAGCCTCGGTGCCAAAGACCCGAGGCGGGCCTGGCCTGGCCTGGCCTGGCAGGTGGAGGCGATGGCAAGCCAGCAGAACAACAGGTTGGCCAAATCGGAAATCGGTTTGAGCCTGCGATTAACGAGGTTGTTCGTCGCCCGGCCCCCGGCCTCACGCCAAAGCGAGGGTCGCGGGCGGGCTGGCGGGCGGGCTGGCTGGCTGGCTCGCTCTCCGTCGGCCCGTCGTCGTCTGGCGTGCACGAGGGGCAGTCAGGCCGGCCAGGCAGAGCGAGCAGCACCCAAAGCAAGCAGCCAGTTAGAGTCTGGCAGGCAGACAGGCAGACAGGCAGACAGGCAGACAGACAGGCAGGCCAACGGCACCGCGCAGCGGCACCGCACAGCACACAGACACAGCACAGCGCAGCGCAGCGCAGCACAGCTCACCACACCACACCGCACCGCAACCCCAACCTCGCCGTCGAGAGCGAGGCTCGGCCAGCTCGCCCTCCCCACCACAGCAGCAGCATTGCCCAACTCTTGGTCGTCATCCTTCGCCCCCATCTCGGCCTCCTCTCTTTCCACACCTTCTCGCCACCTCTGCCCACTTCCTTCACCCTCGAACCTTCCTCTTTCTCATCGTCGATTGCCGAGCCCTGCGACCCGACCCGTTCCTCCATCCCATCGCCCGACTCGTCTCGCTCCCCTGCCCACCTTCGTGGTGACATCTCGTCTTAAGCTCCCAGCGCGACCCTCTTCTCCCTCGTCGAGCCATTGCACACTCCAACCACCCCTCCTCCCACCGAAAAAGTGGCCTTCTGCGACTTTCGACGTCTCGTTTTCACCCGTTTCAAAGCGCATCTGCCCCCGCCTCCGCCGCCCGCCTTCGCCAGCAACCCGGACTTGGTCACCTTCCCCAAGCTCACATCCGCTCTACGGTCTACACGCTTGCAGGTCGGGACCGTGAAAACCCCTCCTCTGCCAGCTTCGAGTCGTCTCGCCCGGTCTGGAGATTGGGATGGGCAGATCCAGCCTTTCGACATAGCCCGATCAATCCAATCTCTCAGCCTGCTGCCTTCGACTCTTGCCCTGCGACCGCATCCCGCAAGGCACCTCGTCCGGCGACAGGACTAATCAAGAGGAACCGACCCTCCTCTCCTCTCCCCTCCTTGGAAGGCCCTTCACTGCCACCTACTTTGGAGCGCCGGCAGCCCGACTCCTCTCCGCTCATCTGCTCGGTCTGCAGCCCAACGCCGCCCAACCATCTGCTGACGGCTGTATCCTGCCCTACAGCATCGCGTTCCATCAGCTCCGACTGCCTGACCCTGCATCGATCTTGACGGCTACAGCTACCGGCACCTCGCAACGGACGGCGCCGGCCCGTGCTCTTGACGACAAATCACGACACCCGATCACGCAACGGCTTCCTATCTCGATGAACGTAGTCGCCGAGGCATAGCTTTGAGGTGGATCCGTATCAAACTGCATAACGACCTTCCTTTGACGACTGCAAGCTCGCGGCATCTCGCTCACGACGTGCCCAAGCCCGACTCTTTCCCGCCTTCTTTAACCGACCCGTCGCTCCCTTGCAATCCGGAGGTGGCTGCCCCTCCCGAGGCCCTCACCAGCTCGCCGACTCACTTCTCGCCACCGCCATGTCGGGGCCAGGCGCGCATCAGGGTATTCCGCCCGACAAGCGGACGATGGCCTACGAGAGCATCTTCGGCCGCCCGACCGCCAAGCCAAAGGGACCACAACCTCCCTCGGGACCGCCGACGGGCCCCCACGCAGGTTATCGGCCTCCGCCGGCCAATTATGCCGCGACCAACAACCAGAGATGGACCGCGGGCATGATGGGCTACCCAGCTGGATTTGGGCAGGGCTATCCCGACGGCGGTCCGATGACGGCGGCTTCCGCGCCGCCCCAACAGCAGCAGCAGCAGCATCATCACGGCATGCCTCCGTATTACGGCGGTGGAACCGGAGGCGGCACAGGGAACTACGCGCCTTCGATCGTTTCGTCCGGCGATAGCAGCTATCATCGCGACAGCATGGCCGGCGACCGGAGGGTCAGTACCGTCCCATCCACCACCGGATCCGATCCGCGCATGTCGATGGCCAGCTACTCTGCCTACGGCAACGGCCTCGGCAGCGCGGCCGATGCCTACCGCTCCTCGACTCCCGGCATCACACCCGCCAGCGCCTATGCGAGCCACTACATGAACGGCGGCGGTAGCACAAGTGTCGGCAACCTCGGCAACGGCAATGGGGCCACGCCCGGCGGATCTGGAGCGGGGCCGGTGGCACCTGGCGGGTACTCCAACCCCAACAGCCACTCGCCGCGTGGATCGACCTACGCGGACCACGGCCCCGCAAAGCACGACTTTCCCTCGATGGCTTCGATAGGCCGAGGTCCCAGCATCGACCTGATGAGCGCATCCGTCGGCCGTATGGGCATCGCGGAGCCCGCCGCACAGCGGCCGCCGCCCCGCCTCCCAAGCATCGAGCTGGCTCGCGACGATCAGGATGACGACAAGTCCGAGTACTGGTTTGGCGCAACTGCCGAGGACGCGCCCACGCCGACAAGCCCCGCCTCGAGGAGCTCGCGGCGGCTCGACAGCTTCGGCGCATCTGCTGTCGGCAATGCCGCGGAACGAGACGTTTCTGCAGGGTCGAGACCGGGACCGAGTGGCGGCAGAGGACCCGAAGAGGTGCCCACCAGCGGCCTTGATCAGGTCGATTACTCGCAAGGTGAGTCCGTCTCTTGTTGTCTCGAGCAGAGCCTTGGCTCTCTCCGGTGGACCGGACGTCCCGGAGTCGTTTGCGACAGTCGTTGAATCGTCCACGTCGCGGCCTGCTGCATCGCCCCCCTTCCCCCAACTTGCACCGGCAGGCTTCTACGACAACCTGCTGGGCCAGCGGTCAGCGGCGTCTTCCATCTATGGCGACGGCCGGCGGAGAGGCTCGTTCGAGTCTGATCGCCAGTCGATCTCGAACTCGATCTATACGCTCCCCGGCAACCAAAGCGCATCGAGGAACTTCCAGCCCATTTCAACGTCCAGCGTCCATCTGCCCCACACCAACGGAAGCGGCTTCTTGGGCGGTCAGGGAGGAGGAGCTGGCGCCGGTGGGGTCGGCGCTGCCTTTGCGCCCCTCGGCCCATACGGCAATCTCGGCGGGAGTGGCTGGGAGCGCCCGGCCAGGATGCGGACCGCCTCGAGTGCGACACAGGCAGCACAGGCTGCCTACGCCCCTGGCATGGTGAACCCGCTCGGAGGGCGCCACGAGCCCACCGACCTGGCCAAGGGCGCCGGCAGTATGGGCCGTGCGGATCAGCGGTCCATGTCGTTCGGGCAGGCCGCCTCTCGCCCGTCCATCCTGCCGACGCCCGTGTCGCCTCAGGGAAGCGTCAATGGCGTCAAGGCGGCACCAAGCTCGTCCAGTCGCCGAGGGCCTCTCGTCTACCCGGCCCTGCTGTCAAAGGTGGCCGAGGCGTTCCGCTCCCGAGTCACTCTGTCCGAGAGGGCCAAGGACGGCCTTACCTACAGCGACGCCTTTGACGGCAGGGAAGCCGTCGATCGGATCGCCTACATCATCAAGACCACCGACCGCAACCTGGCGTTGCTGCTGGGTCGGGCGCTCGATGCACAGAAGTTCTTCCACGACGTCACCTACGACCACCGGCTGCGCGACTCGCCCAACGAGATCTACCAGTTCAAGGTTAGGGTGCCGACGTCAGGATTCGGTGGCGGCGGCGGCGGCGGCGGCGGCGAGAGGAACGGCTTTGACGAGGCTGGGGAGAGAGGCTCCGTGCAGAGCGGGCGGATCTCGACAACCCGCGCCGTCACGCGGGACAATTCGACGACCAGCCTCAATCCCGCTGCCTCGATCTCGTCGATGTCGTCGAGTCGACCCACTGCAGCGTCATCGATGCGGTCTCCGGATAGCGTCACGCCGGCCACATCGACCCATTACGGCCTCTACGACAATGCCAAGGGCCAGGGTGGGCCCACCGGGGGCATCGGAAGCGACAATGTCGTCGACGAAGACGACGACGCCCTGCCCACAGGTGTGTTTACCCTGCTCACCGACTGCTACAGTCCGACGTGCACGCGCGACCGGCTCTGCTACAGCATAGCCTGCCCGAGGCGGCTCGAGCAGCAAGCGAGGCTCAACATGAAGCCGCAGCCGGGCCTCAAGAGGACGATGAGCAAGGAGAGCCTGGGCGAGCCGGTCGAGCGCGGCGCACTCTGGGCCGAGTCGGTGTCAAAGGACGTCTTCGACAGCACCTCGGACACGGAGCGCAAACGGCAAGAGGCCATCAACGAGGTCATGTACACCGAGCGCGACTTTGTCGCCGACCTCGAGTACCTGCGCGACCAGTGGATCAAGCCGCTTCGATCGCAGGACATTGTCCCCGAGGAACGCCGCGACGACTTTGTGACGCAGGTGTTTTGGAACGTGCTCGAGATCCACGCGGTCAACGCCAAGATGTCGGAGCTGCTCAACAAGCGGCAAAAGCAAGCGGCCGTCGTCGACCGCATCGGCGACATCCTCCTCGAGATGGTGCCGCACTTCCAGCCGTTCGTCAAGTACGGAGCGCACCAGCTGTACGGCAAGTACGAGTTCGAGAAGGAGAAGTCGTCGAATCCGGCCTTCGCTAAGTTTGTCGATGTGAGCAGACCGCCTCGCGCCCGGATCGACTGCGCTTGGATGACCAGTGTGCCGGGGCCTCCGTTGCTGACCCGATGCCCCGATTACCTCCGCTCCGTGGTGCGATCGCTCGTCTCTCTCTCTCTCTCTCTCTCTCTCTCTCTCTCTCTCTCTCTCT